TCATACCTTGCTTCATATGACCATGTTTACTCGGCAAGGTCTAGACTCCAGCATGTCCAGGCAGATTAGCATGCGTAGTGTTGGCCCCTTCTCACATCCACATTAATCATGTTAATATCTGTTCCACCACGTTACACTGATGCTTCCTCATTTGAGTGTAGGCCTATATTATGAACCTGATGAAATTTGCCCAGTTATTTATTCAACATGTTCACAGCACCCCCCCAAAAAAATGTATAACTAGTTAGACTAAGAGAGTTCCAAATGTGGATGCCACTTGACATCCCATGCATTAACCCTTGGAGACTGGTCTAAGAAGTTCTTGTTTTCTGAGTAAACAACATGATATTTTCCCTCCTAATTTTTTTTACTCGTATTAGGGCCTTTATTATCTCACAACTGGATGTGGGGAGACAGTTTTTTTTTACCACAGTGATTCTATTACTTTTATCTTTCCTGTGCCCATCCCTTTGTGATGAACATTGTTAGCATGAATAAAATAATAATAATAAATTGAACTGTTCTGGACATGTTTGTGCTTTCTGGTGGCTAAGGGGCAGCATGGACATCTGGGAGTTTCACAAAATGGTGGTGAGCAACCACACCACACCAGTGAAAACAACTGCAACGAACACGTGCTTACATACTGATCAAAGAAAAGATTGTACCTGATGCTTAGACTGGATTGTGCAGGCGTACATGTACGTCGCCACGGTCGCTGTTTTCATTGGTGTAGTTCCTGCCATTTTGCTAGAGTCCCGGATATCTGCGCTATCCCATTAAGTCACTGTTGGAAATAATTACTGTTATCCGTATGTGGAACACTTTCCAAGTTGAGTGTCATAGCTATGCTTAAGTTGAGGAAACTCGTCTAACTCTCCCCCTTTTAAAACTTTTTGGGTGTACATGTATGTTGATTTTTTTCCTTCCACAGTCCTGCTAGTCCTAGTAGCTACTCCGGTCACCGATGCAAAATGCCACTTCTCCCTGGAAACAAGTTCAACACCAAGAAGACCCCTCCTCGACGATCATTGTCACTCAACAACCTCAACAAGCTTGAGAGTTCCATCCGAGAGGAAGAGTACGGCATAGACTATGGCCAACCGGCCATGCGTATTGCGGGCCAGGTTATTAAATTTGACACAGAAAATGGCATCTGGATATCAGGTAGGCATAAAGTGAACTCTGTAATGGGGCACTGTACTACTTTTTGAGTTATATTTGAGTTGGGAAGGGGCCAGTCATACCATGGTCATACTGCAAGTGCGACTGACCAAAAATTAAATGTTGAAAATGAATTTATGGTACCTATTGATCTCGGCAAACAGGTGGTTCTGTAATAGTTCAAATCTGCGAAATGGGAAAGAAGGGTTCATGTATGTCTATGGAGCAAAGAATTTGCTAGTTTGGCTTACATGTATATAAATCCATGTCCTCATTCTATTCAGTCACTTCTCTGCTTCTTCACTGTCTGTTTTTCCCTCCAGAAAAATCTGGCAGCAGTGGCGGCGTCAGCCAGAAGGAATTCATCAAACTTAGGAAGCGGAACGAGTCACTCGTTGAGGAGAATAACCTGCTAAAGCTGAAAATCGAAATACTGCTGGACATGGTATGTTGTGATGGACATTTCTCCTTCGTGTGAAACAAAATTCCCTAAGAATTGCCAACAATACCCAACGGGAGGCCATCATGGACTCAAATGCAGTTGCTAATGGAGTATACGCTCAAATTTTTGTCTGTCTTGAAAAGCCAGTGAATGAGTTACCACATGTACTAAAACAAGATTCATTTGAGTTTGTGTATTCATTTTGAAATACATGTACCAGAATCATAGTCGAGTCCGTCTCAAATGAGATTACAATTGTCTCTCCTCAAGTAGCATATCATGCCTTTATCACAGCAAATATGAAAAGCTTGTGACCTGAAGATGGACTAAACTTCAAAAATTGTAGCTGATCTTTGATGAATTGTCGAGGACTACAGCACTGTAGAAATCTTTGAAATATTGTAGTGTTGTAGTCGACCATCACAGGACCAAGCACACGACCAGTCATGGGTAACAGGGGTAGCACAGTGACAAAGGAGTGCTTTCACTGCGGTTCATTCGAATAGTTTGCAGCTTGGATCTAGACCAGAGGTCCTGTATTTGTCTTGTGAGAGTATTGTGGGGGTCCTGACCCCAACAGTCCTCAATCCTCCAATTTAAATTTGACTTTACATACATCCTAGGGGGTTAGGGGTCTCGACTACAACACAAATTTTTCTATCGATTTGTTAATCCCGTTAATCCCAGCTGACAGAGACAACTTCTGAGAAGCAGGAACTGGAACAAGACCTGGAACACTACGGATCAGGAAGCAAGAAATCAAACAGAAAAAGATGATTACAGACCAAATTAAGTTGACTGTTGACTGAGATTGGAGGTGGGTGTCACCCAACAAGGAACCTCTGCAAATGCTCCTAGCCCATGGGAATAACACCAGTTTTGTTACACTGCTTCTGCACTTGGACTTCAATACTAATTTGTATGCAACAAAGATTGTCACAGATGGTCTAGTAGCCCCTGGCAATTAATAGTTTATTCCATCAGTGATTAGTGGCACTCATACTCACATGAGTTACCTGATACCTTGTGGAGCTACCAACTCATAGGATTATATCATATTGCCAGTGTTGAAGTACCAAGACCAGGACTCATGCGGAAGTACTGGCATTACACCAAGCAGTTAACGGCAATACTCCTGAGCCAAGAGAACGAAGTAGTGAACCAGTGTTGGAGCTTAAAGGTTTTTCTTCTTTTCTTGTTGTATTTACCTGTGACCTGTGTTCTACTTGATTCAAGTGTTAAATTACAAGTGTGTCCTGTTTTGTATTCAAGGTTGTGTTTTTATGGACTTCAGAATAACATCAAGCAGAGTTGAAATATGTATTTATTTTTAAAGGCTACTGAAATGAGATTTTGCTCAGTTTTTCCAAATTCCTCATTATTTGCAGTTGAAGTAATTAAGCGTTTACATGAAAGGTTAGCAAACACTGCTGCTTTCTGATAATTTTCCCTTAGGATTGTACAGTGTATCAGTAACCTTGGGAGTTTGATCAACTGACAAGGAAACTGTCATTACAAAAATATCCCACAGGACTCGAAGGACAATTTGTAACTAAGTTTACAAGCTGTAACAGGTGACAACCAAGAGAAAAGTACTTTACCAAGTGAACAATTAGAAAATGTAAATTTTGCAAAGTTCCAAGCTGTTTCAACTTTGTTAAATTAAATAATTAACCTTGTAAAAATGTAAAGTTATACATGTGAATGATTTGCAGAATCATTAAAGTAAAATCTCTCGAAACAATTTGTGTGTCACACTTTTTCTACTTTACAAGGCTTCAAACTGCCGTGACAATTTTAACAGAGCAGTTGGATTGTAGTTTGTGAAAATTTATAAGTAGACCTTGAACAGGTTTGTCTAACAAGACATTTAGTACATGACCTGTATTCAAACAGTGAGCTAAACGTGACTATACAAAAGTGAACAATACATCCCCTGTGGGGCCAAACCCAACAAAAGGGTATACCCCAACTCTGAAATATCTTAAACTACCTAAGGCCGTGCCCAAAACAGACCTCCAGAGCTACGGCTAGGTCTACCGTCTGCATGTGTCTGTGCATTTCCAGTGGAGTGAAGACCTAGACCAAGCTCTAGACAACAGAGTTGGATGCAAGTAGCCTTACATAGATGTAACAACTGAAAAAGAGGGCAGGTGGTCTCAAATACGAAAAGTGCCAATTGGGTCATGAGGGGCCACTTTGGGATTAAAGTTATTAACCTTTAACAAAAGCAAAGCCCCCTCCTCAGTAGTATCCACTCCAAACTTTCACACTCTGCATGATTTGTGAGCTGTAACCAAAGCCATACAATGTCTTCAGATGGCTGGAGTGGGGTTCTTTGCCCAGTCCAAGTGGTGCATGTATAAGGGTCAGTGGTGCATACAAGTCATCAAGCGTACTGGACTATTTCGGCAGAAGCAGTGACGACGGATTGTTCCTTTTATACTTGGTGCGACAAGGCCTCATGCAAGGGTCTTAAAGAGAGTTGCAATATCTTCAATCAGAAGCCGTTTCGGTCCCAAAAACTGCGGCAAAAGCACACTGCCTGGGTGCATATCAAGGCAGAAATGACCAGCTGTACAGCTGTTATCAATGTTTGGCCATTTTCCAGTTGGTCAACGCAACCTCATGCACATGACCTCCTGTGGCAACTTTATCATATACAGCTTTTCCTCAAGCAGACCAAAGTACCGATCAACAGATGATTAAAAATGAATGAGCAACCCAATGACGCAAATTTCACACATCCAATTAGCCTACGACAAATCCCCTACCCAGCCCCTCTAAATCATTCCTGTCTTATCTTCATAAAAAAAGCCATTCTGTCCAACAGCATCTCGGGTTGTGTCCACTTCTGTGCCCTCAGCACACTAATGATACCACTGTCCACAAAAGTGAAGTGTACTATGTTCTATCTTGGCATCGCAGCTATTGGCGGAGTCATCCCTCCTGGTAAACCCCCTGCACCGGACATGGCGGCGTTGGGCCCAAGTAGAATCTGTTAAATGAAGTCAAAAACAGAGAAAAGTCATTGAAAGTAGCAAAAATTATTACAGAAGTGACTGTAAAAGCACAAACACCCGTCATCTTCGAGGTCAGGCACTGTGCCGTTTTCCTTGTTGGGGATTAAGTACTTCTTGTCTTGTTCAATAGACAAAAAGCTGGAATTCCAAGTAAAAAAATCTGAACAAAAAAGCAAAAGTCTGCTAAAATGCTGAATTCTTGCACCTCTCGTCTAAAATAAGTAACAAGCTTTCACCCAATCTAACAGGTTTTGAAGTTCCATGTAAACCTTACATTTAAGAAACACAGACGTCAACCTACACTGCAAATCTAACATAAAGAGCAAACCTAAAAAAAAATAGCAGGCAAGGAAAAAGGAGGCAGGCAAGGATGGGGAGCTGTTTTTTATTCAAAGTATCACTCTGAACATCATGTACCACACTTGACAAACCGGCACCCTTAAGCACTTGCCGCTGGGGTTTCCAGTACCGGACACGTATTCTTTATTTGCGTGGCTGGGGTCTGCGAAATCGGACAAAGGGGACTGGGCCTTGTAACAAAAGACTGTACTCGTAACAAAAGACTGAGCTGCTGGGCATTACCAACATTTTTTCACTCTCAATAGTTGAGATAATCCAGTCTTATTTTGAAACAGTATACAACGGTTTGGGGGATTTAGCGCGAGCGGATTACCATCGGAGACAAAAGCGCTCCACCACCACAGCGATGAGCCACACAGTACCGCTACACGCTAATCTGGCCCCTATTGAAAAGAGGTCAGCAGCACACTGTGCCAGTTTCGTAAACAAAAGAAAATTACGTAACACTGCAAGATCTGGGCTCTTTTTACAAGGCTGTAGGCCTGGCTGAAACACTTCAGCGTCAATAGATGTTGTCTGTCACATTAGAGTAAAACCAGACAGTCTTTCGTGTGGGTGTAAGTGTCCAGTAAATGACGATAGGAATTTTTAAAGAATTTTGAAAACATAAAAAAAATGATAATTATTCCGCCAAAGCATCATCAACATTGATAACTGCCACCGGCGTGAAGTGGTTAACACACACACATATCTAAATGCACCTGTCGCTGTTTCTGCAGTTGTGCTTGCTCCATCTGTGCTATCTCCGTCTCGAAGATGACTGGTAACATCAAGACCATGAACGATGTGCTCAAGATCCAGAGGGCGCTGCGGCTGAAGTTATAGGACAGCTTGACGCCCTTCAACGATGCACTTGTGAGGGCAGATGCACCATTGCGTACACTCTCGGGAAACATCTCTGTCAGTCCGTAAAGCCTCTCCGCTAGGGTTTCATCTTCAAAGTCCTACAAATGTATTTGGAATAAATGGGAGAAATGCAGACCTTTCATATCTGTTTACATTACAAACACTGCTGGGGCGGCTAATCTGGTGCGAAAAATTCTAGGAAATAGTGGAACCAACAGACCAATTCATGGCAAAGCGAGGACTCAGGCTATGGTTACCCCGCATATACATGTATGATAGAGGCATTTTTTATTCCTCCATGGTGACCCAAACATGACGAATCCACTGAATTAGCATGATTAGGTCTATCGGATCAATCACTGCAAACACATGAAGATGTACATGTAGCCCAGCCTATATCCAGCCCTAATATAATACCAGTGACCATAACAATCATCATCAGTACCAATCACTTCAGTCCGAGTAACTAGGACTCTACAAGTCACCTCTTAACATTTGGACATGGTCAGGCGATAGCAGAGAAGGGACCCCTTCTTTTTAACCTGTCCCCCTTTAATTACTAAACCCCTTTCACATCTCTAGCCCCAAAAATATTGTCCCACATTCAATTTCCTGACAATTTCAAATGATAAAGAGTTCCATATACCCTGTGCACAAACCCTGACATGCCAGAGACTTATCCGACATGTCTAAAAAATTCTGAGTGTATTCTACGAGAATACCTCAATATTTTCCCTGCTAAATTTGACTTTTTAGGTCATGTTATTGCTTTCAAATGGCTAATAATGTTGTCTGAATATGCGTAAATACTATTGGATGCATGGAGAAACTGGTAAATTCATGAATATTGTCATGCAGTAAAAACAGAGTTATGGGTGCAATTCAATAGCTCTCATTCTTATGAGCTTTTCTTCTGTGCACTGTTTACTCGTAAATTGAATATTGTTTAGTCATTAATGGCCGCGTTCAGAAAGGTAATCATTCAAAGGGGTCTTGAGAGATACATGAACTTGAAAGGAAATCTGCCTCAGTAAAATCTTCCAGCAATTTTTATTCGCCTCCACGAACTTCTTACATGTACATAACAAAGTGTGTTTTTTCCCCTCCAACAATGACTGGGACAGCACCTCGAACTGCAAAATTCAACAGCCACAACAATCGAGTGCACCACGTCAACACTGCATTTCCGTGGTCAACGTTTTTGTGTACATACTATGTACATGTTAAACCCTCCAACGCAAAGACACTCTTGACACAGTTGTCCTATCAGTCAAAATCAGTTAAATTTCCCATATGTGTCTGTGTACTGGGAGAAATCAGGTGGAAGGGATTTTTGACTGTTTTTGACAGTTACAGCAAAAGGAGGGTTTTAATTGTAACAATATGCACTGTGCAGTGCAACCGAACAGTATTGTGCATGGCACACATGCACGCTGTTTCATCGATCCTGATTTATAACTTCATCAAGAATAACAGTGGTTAACCACGCCATTATGTTTGCGCAGATATATTACCATAACTAGCATTTGTCCAACGTCCGCTCCCCTCCAATGTGGGAGAGGAGTGGATGTCGGACCCCACAGTTCTGGGGGTAGTTACAGTCATGACGCATGGACGGTTATCCACTGCGTTCCTAAACCTGTCCCTCTACATGTAGCCCAGGTTAAGTATTAAAGTAAACCAACGTAAAGTCCTTATGCTTAAACACTGTCACGCCTACTCCTCATTTCCAGAACATGCCCTGACATTGCCTGACTGCCACATGAACACGACGACGGAGGCTCAATCATAAGTGAACGAATCTAGCATGTCTAGGCCTACGCCATAATTGCGGCGGCGGACGACGAACCCCACTCCCGTACCAAGAGAACTAGGGCCCATGGCATGTAGTAGGCCTATGGCCCACGGGGCCTAGGCCTACCCCCAGACATGCCAGAACAGTAGAGTTCGACGTCCACCACACGTACACGGACTTACATCGTCGTCTACGAATGTGACGGCTTTGGAACTCTTTCCAGACTCTGCCATGTTGATTAATTAATGTTTTCGCAAACTTTGTAACCCTCCGGTAAACGAGCAGGCCGCCACCACTACTGTACTCAAGTCCTGGTTATCTTTGCTGTACCAACAAGACCAAGGCCCGGCAAAGGAACACACAGTATGCACATGGGCAAAGATCTTTGCGCATGGGCCGGGTACCGGGTATGGCCGGCACGTACGTGCGCAAAAACGCATGGGCGCAATCCAACTATGCATTTTGAGGTGCAGTGTTTCAAATTCAAGGAAAATTCTGCGCCAGGCCAAGGCGCTGAAAAAGTACCCCTGCAGATTCTTTTGAAAAGAGGGGTCTGTTTGGGCCAAGAAATTATGCAATTGTGTCAGTATGGCCTGGAATCATCTCTGTTGATTCAGGGGCACCCATCTAGGAGGAAAGCTGACAAACATGTGATTAAACATTTTTAAGAAGAGCCAGAAAAGGTCAGGGATGTCATTTGAAAAATGGCTGCTGAGATGACCAGGGAATATTCACTTGGGGGGTTGAGTTTGTTTTGGGCGAATAATTAAAAAAAATCATTGATTAACCCATTAAAAATCAAATGATATCTGAAGGATTTGAGGCCTCAGGAACTTTAGTTGCCTGCCATGGGGCTCCAGGCTTTGTTGATTTTACACCATATTCAAAGGTTCATTGCACCCTTTGATGCGAAGCGCAAACCTAGTCGCTTATGCTTGTATGGTGTATTATTTACGACAAAAATTTCTCTCTCTCTTGGCTCCCTCCAGGCGACGCAACCAGACGACCGCGGCACGACGGACGCACGACGCAACGCGTCGTGTGCTGTCGCCCTTTGCTTTATGGTGTTTATAGAGGGCGCCTTAACTGTTTTCTTTCATTCCTTCCCGCGGCCCGTGCTTGCACAGTACATGCCATAGGTACTGGCATTGATTCTGTTGTTCTTTTCCGTGCCGAGATTCTTTCTAACTTTGTGTTTTCATTAAGAGTGAGTCGTTGAAGAAAACCCTTTTTCTTTTTTTTTAATTAAATGTAATCAGAAAGAGCTTCGCGACTAATCAGCATTGTCTTCAGGAAATATAACATTAACGTCAGCCACAACAATGTTTTAGCTTTTCCTGATCTAATTCTGATTTTTCGAATAATTATTGTAAATCCATTCTAAGATACAATACATCAATCATTACTACGTGCTTGCAAAAATGTAACACGCGGATCTGATGAGAAATTGAGCGCGAGGCCAAACAGAGAGGAAGAAAAGACACCGTCACAGTGGTATTAGGATCTACAGTGTTTTTTAAGAAACAAGGACTGATATCATTGAAAGTGTGGTGCTGATGAAATTAACGAGGAAGACTAAACTGAAGGAAGACTGAATACTGAATATTCTGAGGATAATAATATAGTGCAGGCTGGATGGTAACTACCTAAACCCGTGGTCAAACTTGCAGCCGTATAATTGTAGACAAAAATTGTCTGGAGGAGTGGGAGAACTACTTGGAAACTGCTGGCAGGACCACAGAGAAATATTTATAAGGTTACAAATCTACCACAAATGGGTACTTTATCAACGGTCTTAAAAAGAAATTGGACGGACATTCGAACAAGGATCAGCCGGGTAAATTATAAAGTGACGAATTCTGGGCGTACACTTATTTTGTGAGAGCACCTACATGCGCTGTTTTTCTTTTTGTTCGTTTTCATTTTTTCCCCATAAAAGATGACAAAAACTAATTCAATTTGATGAATGGATCGAAACAACCCCCCCCCCCCAATCAACGCCTGCGACTCAGGGTATGTATTTTGCAAGCGCGATGGACGGAAATGAGAGAAACAAAAGAAATCATTGGCTGGGAAATTAAAGAAGTGACGAATTCTTAGCTTGCGGTTTCCACTTATTTTGAGAGAGCAGTTCCTACATATTCGGATTTTCTTTTGCTCTTTTATCATTTTACAATAAAATATGACAGAAATTTAATCCCAATTAATGAATCAATGAGATAAAAACAATGAAAAATCAAAACCATGTACTTTGAAAGAAAGATGGACGGAAATGAAAGAAAACAGTAAAGGCGCCCTCTATACACACCATGAAGTAAACGGCGACAGTATATGACGCGTCGCGTAGTGCGTCGTGTCGTGCTTTAGGCGATGCGATGCACGACACGACGCACGACGCGACGCATCGTGTGTGTACAAACGAAATGGCAAATAGGCGACCGTTCAACCCGACGGCACGACACAAGGGAGCCGTCGTGCTGTCTGGTTGCGTCGCCTGGAGGGAGGCAAGAGAGAGACCAAGAAATGTTTGTCGTAAATAGTACACCATATGCATGTGTAAGTTTAAGATACTGCAACCTCGTTCCCATGGGTACGACCTTGCCGCACCGACTCAAATTATGGCAACTTGCGGCTGGAAGAGTGGGAAGTTAGGCAGATAATTTAATTACAGCTCAGTCGAAAGTTGGGCAAATATTTCATGGCCGTTAACTGACTTGGTGGATGGCAAACAGTCCACGACTGTTATAACCCTGTGGAAGTTGGGCAAGTATGTATTCTCATAATCAGTGAAAAGTTCGGCAATCTTTTCCCACTCAATGGTTCTTAATGGAAAGTTAGGCAAGTATTTGATGACTGTTCGGTAACTTGTTGGAAAGTTAGGCAAATAGTCCAGGATCGTGAACTATTCCGCGAAGTTACCCAAGTATTCCCATCATCGTCAATTAACAGGATCATTGAAAGCTCGGTGATCTTTTCCTATCTATTATGTTATCAATGGAAAGTTAGGCAAGTATTTCACAACTGTTAACAACTAGCCAGTACTTTTGGGCAAATAATATGTGTGTTAATATGGGCAATTCACAATAGTGTGCCTCCAAGAGTTTGTGATGCGTTGGCCGATCACAAAGCGCAAAGTTTGTTGACCCTTTCCAAACGTGTGCATTGGGTCGACAGCCAATGAGCTGCAAACTCTTGGAGGCGCACTACTGTGAAACGCCTGTATCGGATCAGTGGAAAATTGCGCAATTTTCATGGCCGTTTAGTGCCGAGGTCTGAACAACCAATTTATTTGCTCAACAGAATTTTGGGCAAATTTTTACAAGCAGTTCATTCAGTGGAAAAGTAGGAGACTCATTTGTGTAAGGCAGCTTGCTTGCTTTTTATGTCAGCAAATGTTATTCACATGCAATGTTACTGACCAATCCTCTAAATATCTTCACTATTTCTCTTTTATTGGCAAGGGTGAGGCTGCTGAAAGTCTCTTACTGGGCTTTTCTGAAACATGCCAAACAAAACTATTACAGAACAAAAATAAAAACTCACTCAAGGCACTGCTATTTTTTTCTGGTTCTTTCAACCTTTCTTTATTCCATCATCTGTATATAACGTCTCACAGTTCACGCCCATTTATTCATTTCTCAAACAAGTGTAAAATGTTGTCACTTTTTCTCCTTTGACACTGGATGCAGTATGATGTCCCCCCCCTTCAGTCCGCCTTCTCATCGGAGGAATCAGAAGAAGAAACCCAGGATCTTTCCTCCGACGTGCTTCCGTCTTGCCTCTTCATGATCCATGATGCCACTGGATGTCGTGAGGACGATGTACCTGCAGAAGGCGATCAAGGGGACACTCGGCTTAGAACAGCTTCGTACCATTGGTAGACATGTGAACGTAATCACCAAAACCACACCAAAATCAGCCAGAAGAATATTAAGCAGTCATCCATGCAACATTGTGTTGCTCTTTAGTAATACAAAACATGCATCTTATGTGAGGGTTGATCCTCGTACCATCCACTTTAAGTATCTGTTGAAAGGATTTTAGTCAGAAGATCTAAGCCACATATTGACTGCTATAACGACAAAGGTCTGGTTGATGGTTGATTCATACATAAGACTTCTGATGAATCAGCCAAGTCTAGTCACAAAAGGAAATTGGCAGAAGTCAGAATTAAACTGTTGACTTCTGGAATGGAGCATCGCTGTTCTACAAACTGAGCTCTTCAAACATTTGTTGGTACTCTTCAAATACGCCTACATTATACCTTGTGGGTACTCTTCAAATACGCCTACATTATACCTTTGTGGGTACTCTTCAAATACGCCTACATTATACCTTTGTGGGTACTCTTCAAATACGCCTACATTATACCTTTGTGGGTACTCTTCAAGTATGCCTACATTATACCTATGTGGGTACTCTTCAAATTCACCTACATTATACTTTTTTTTTTTCAGTGCAGATCACAAACCATGAAAATCCATTTATGCTTGCAAGGGGCCAGGACCCAGTGCCACCATACAACCCAAAGTCAGAAAAAAACAACGCAATTCTAAACTCTAGAAAAGTTCAGAGTTTTGTTCAGTAATTTTGTCTTTTATACCTGTAATAATGTACATGGGAAGCAAAAAATCAGAAAATCAACTAATTTGAGAATGAAGAAAGTCACAAAAGCAAATCTTATTTGAAAGGAAAGCAACAATTTCAGCTATGGAAATTGTTTTGTTTGCAATTGTACTGTTTAAACGGTAAAAGATACAGATACACCACCATCAAAATTCCAACACACACTCACAAACACACACACTCAGAAAAATAAAAGGAACAGCCAAATGGGTCTCCATAGAGCAGTTATTCGGTTTATCCATATATCATGTCACACTCTCGAAACTCACCCAAACTGTCTGGAGGGTAGCAAATTACCAGTCCAGGTCTCCAGCTCTTTCAATGGGACATCAAATCGAGGGCTGATAACACCACACTGAAATCAAACAAGAATCTCACCAAGTCAACGCAAATTTTTAACATGCTTCAATTTTTTAAAGGACTAAATTCAAAGTTCTTAGAGTAAAAAATACGGGCGTTTCAATATAGTGCACCACCAAGAGTTTGCAATGTGTTGGCCAATCACGACGCGCGAAATGTGTTGACCCTTTCCAAATGCGCACTGCCAGTCAACACGTCCAGACGTGTCAACCCATTCAAGAGCACACTGCGTGCAGTGGCCATCACGTTGCAAATGTTTGGCAGTGCACTGTTGTGAAACACCCATATTGTGGTGTTGTCTTGATGGACCATTTCACAACTTGCTGAGATTAGCATGATCAGTGTGTGAAGAACCAGCCCCATCAGCCTGACTTATAAAGAAAAATCAGGGCTGATTGAAGTGTACCTTGTTAAGACGCCCTGTGAGGTTGACCACAATCTTGCCTCCTCTGTGATCGTCGATGATCTCAAACTCGCCAATGTAGCCTAAACAGGAAGAAAATACGGTACACTGCTGAAAAGCATGAGCCACAAGTATATCCCACACTGAAGTTGACCATTTATGGTAAAAAAGGAGAAAATTAATCACCTGCCATTTGCAATCTCCTCTTAATACAGAACACAAAACTGTCTAGTACAAAACAGAAGACAAGGCAAACCTTAATATTAGCAGGCCAAGAGCTTGGGACAGAAAAAAACAGTCAACATTCTTCCTTTAAAAAGTGTGTTTTGGAAAATCTGGCATCCACTTCCTAGTTTCAATTTATATGTACATTAACTCCACTAATCATGACAGCAGCAAGTAAGAAGCGAGTCCCAGACTTTTGTTGCATTGCAACATTTCATTCACTGCAAACGGGGCTTTAATTTGAATAACGTCATCAAAATCTCTGTAGATGGACAATTCAAAAATATTTGCTGACTACAAAGCAAGCAATGCTATCTGATTATGCTTTCTGATCAACCATCCAGGATTAACATTTGACACAAATCACAATAAAGGAAGCTAGTCATGTAAGCAGTGTTTCCCCTATAGTAATCAATTTCCTGGTTTTTTTTTTTCCTAACACCCAACAGAATTTTATACTTGTCAACAGGCATGCAGACTGCGGTTTGACTGAAACAGCGCGGCACTTTGTCTTATGACAAAGTCGTCCCATTTACAGTCAAAAATGGAGAGGAAACTTGACTTCTCAGTTTTGACAGTAAAATGGGCATTGGCTTTTATTTCAGAACGGTGATTATAAGATCTGGTCTCAATCTGATTATAGCCTCTACACTGATAAAAGTGAAGAACGGGTTGTGGAGTGCTCAAGGTATGGCAAGAATGGACAACCATTAGGGAAACACAGCTGATGTGATGGCGCCTTACTGGCCCTCCTTCATGTGTTTTGGGCCATATACAACCGTGGGAAGTGGCAGCAGCGGCTCCCATAACCGAGTGTGTTATTTCTAGCCTCAGCCGTAACATTCCGGCTCAGCCCGTTCCTCACATTTCCTTCTCCATGCCCAGAGAGACGGCTTACCGTGCTTCATCATGACCATGAGGAACTTGACAATGACCTTGGAGCAGGGCCTGATCATCACCTGGCGTTTGCAGCGCTTCTCTGCATTGCAGATGCACTTGAGTGCATCTGCCAGAACACTCATCCGAACCATCTTGGCTTGGCTGAAAACAACAAAACAATGTCGCACATTTTTGGAGGGTGAAGTTTTCAAAAGTAAGCACAACTGACCACAGTGCACAGTGCAGTTTGAACACATTATCAGAATGACACAACTTGGTAAGGAAAGAATGCAGTTTTCAGATGCCATTTCATTACAGCACTTTCAAAAGATTTTTAAGAAATCTTTCTCAGTCTCAAATTCACTTTTTTCCAAAATGTCTGTATCATATCAATAACCATAACTGAGAATTTATATTAATGATGCAAAGCACTGCATAAGAAAACATTTTTAATCGATGTCTGAATGGAATGTCTTTTATGAAAGGAATACAAAAATTAAAATTCCAACATTAGTTTGACACCCCTGACACGTTTTCACATTCACAACGCATGTGCATCATCTTTTATCGTAAAGGCCAGTCATTAAAAACAGCTTGAACAATGACTACATTTTTTCAGAATTTTTAGAAAACACACTACAGGGACTTATATTGCATGTGGCCTGATTTGGCTGGAAAGGACTGGTGGATGCTTGATCAGTACATAGCATAGCACTGCATCAGTACTGGTCAATCCTAGACGAAGTATCTGTCTTTCGATTGTAATTCTTTAGGAGGGGAATGAATTCAACATTGGACCTTCGTAATTTTCGTACACACCAACCAGTTAATTATATCCTATTCCCAAAGGTACTGAGCCGTTTTCCTGGAAAAAAATCCCCTGGAAATTAACGGGAGATCCTTTTAAACTTGATGTTTAGAACACTAGAAAGTTTGTCAAACATGTCAGACAGGCCCAGCCCTACTACTGGATGCAGAATTCTTCTCCTATTATGGAAGGACGTAACTCCACGTGACATCCCGGAGCTTCATGACCTTTCACACGGAAAACAAACTGCTACATTACATCAAGTCAATGATGCTTTCACCACACTGTGAACTTGGGTTGCAAAACCTCCCTGACCATCTGACCACCATGACTTGTCTGAGAAACTGGTCAGGTGATTGAAGAGCTCAAGTACCATTCACAGGCTACTCCTTCCATTAATCTATTTCACTCAAAATAGCTCATACATTGTTGTAACCCAAATCAAAATCCTCAGAACTCACCTCCAAAACAGTCGTTATTCTGTTTCATGTGCCCACCTTAAGATGCAGTGGGAATCAAAGATTCCAATGGTGGTGGCGAGGTTTACTCACACATGGGAAGAAACGAGAAATTTGCCATGTCTGTTTCCTGAGCAGAGCAACATTCAGTAGCTGTGAGAGTTGAGTTGTACATTGGACGCTGGACACTGGTACTGCTCATGAAACGGTCATCAGCACACGCATGCAGACACCGCAAGCTTATTGCGAATGGTCCGCTAGCTCGGTTAGTGCATCGTGACGGAACTTCCGGGTATATTAGCATACATGAATCACTCCATGGAGATGGTAACTTTAAGCTGAACAGACAAGAGCATTTCCAATTCAAACAGGAAATTTCTCTTTTCTTCCCATATGTGAGTATACCTTACCACCACCACTGGCATCTCCAACTCCCACAAAATCCAAAGGTGGGGACATTAGACAGTTTAAAGTGTACATGTAGTGAATTCTCTCAAACACAATTTTCTGCAACAGTCCATTATTTTTGAATGTATGAAAACTATTTGACATCCTTATAGGTTAAATGCATAAACTCGTTTTTAACAATTACAATTATCCATACTTTCTTGGACAAGTGAAGGCATTGTTGCTGTCATTTAGGGACAGCATGGTTTAACTTGATCCGAAGGTTTCTGTTTAAAATGTCAAACCTGAATTAATTCACTTAAAATATTTATGACGAAGGGTTGATTGCTTGCTTATTGCTATGTTCTTGCTATAGCTATGTACAACAATAAAAAGCCACAATACAGAAAAGTCAGGCCAGCACAATCTTTAAAATATGCAGGAGCTTTTGTGCTCAAACCAATGCAAGAGAGATTTTTTCTTCCTGAAATGACATCAGCTTTGTTCATGAATATGGAAAACTCATTAGCATAAAAACCAAAAATGCAGCCAAAAGATCTTTGAAATAGTGAGACAAAAATTGGAAGTGTGAGGTTAAGTGAGACACAAAGGTGCATTTTGGAGCTTTGTATAGAGAATTCCATTGCAGCTACTCTTTAAGGACAGTTTTGGAGGTGAATTCTGAGGATTTTGATATGGGGTACGACAATTACGAGCTATTTTGAGTGAAATAAATTATTGGAACTTGGAAGGAAAAGCCAATGAATGGTACTTGGACACTATCAATCATCTTAACATGTCGAAATGTTTAAATTGGCAATTCATAGAGTCCAAGACCATCGAGTTAGGGCCTACTCAGACTACGTCATGACCATAATCCACTCAGCATGCTCAGACATTCTCGCAGTCAGACATCCGGGACTTATGTACATCATTGAATAGCACGAAGGATAAATTTGCCCCTTTGCCGTGTGTTACAAGTCCAAAGTGACGTCACGCTGACCACGAGAATGTTTTTATCAGACTTTTGAATAGGACACTTCCTGCATGTCCTGAGTTGCCAAGTGGCATCTGGATAGGCCTACTAGTACTACACTCCTTGCTGTAAAGTGGCTCCCATTGAAATCATTCGCCCAAGGCCTAGCATATTACGACTTACAAGGAGTATGCAAACGCTGTCACGGCTGTATAGGCCAACATTAAACACGTTAAAATGTGTGCGTACATGTACGCATACCGTGTATGTTTTGCATGTACAGATGTACGGTGTGTTAACATGAAAAGACATTAACAAGTTTAGAAACATTTTGAGAGATTAGCAGAGGATATCTTAATCAAAATACACTATCCAAAGAAATAAAACTCCTGTCTATCAGCTACTAATAAATCCCAAAGAAAATGTTGTCCATGAAACAAGATGTTAGGGGATTTCTAGCCCTCTTCGCAAGACCACTTACAGGCGAGCTGCGAGAAAGTGGAAAGAGAGCTTAGTCAGGTTCCGCTTTCGTAATTATGAAGATAGAGGTATAAATGCAGTCTGGGATTCTGACTGCTACAACCTCGTTTTTAATTTAGTTCGGGTCACAGTGTGTATTTGATGGGAATGAACAGTTGCCACCGGGCACGTTTTGCAGCAGGCGCAACAGACAGCAACGATAACTGGCAACTGACAACAACTGTTCTCCCGTATGTGGAGGGAGGCAAACTTTGATGGTAGATGCTTGCTAATTCAGCCATATTTGTCAGTACAGTGTAAGGATCATAATAATTAGGTATTTGAGCGGAGAGTCCGTCGACTCTGTGTTATATTATTGTTCTGCAGATTTGCACTGATAGTCACAGCACAGTAGGCCTACTTATCACCGCCGGTAGTTAACACGGTTTAGGGCCTTAGGTCTATTTATTTAGCTAATGATTATGCATGGCATATGCGCTAACGCAGAGATCAAATGGTCTTTGACCTTGAAATTTTACCAAAAGAAAGTTTTAACGCCCAGGAATCTCTGTACCAGAATCAGTGACAATGGCCCAAACAACTTTTTGACAGATGACATGGATAGGGGGTTAGAAGCAAGAGCAGAGTGGCCCAGGCCGTGCAGGCCCAGCACATGTATGGGCAAAGTGGCACATGGACAAATTGTCGTTGTAGGCAAAGTGGTTATGGGAGAAGTGAAAAATAGGCACAGTGACCTACACCCTCTGTTGTATAGCATTACTCCTTCGTACAAGCCATTGTTCTGTGCACAGCTGAAAGCTTGTCAAGGATTTTCACTTTAGTAATCAGTACTAACTTGTAAGGCCAAATAGGCCGTATGTGAGGATCCAACACCTGTTTACATTTTTTTTTCTTAAACAGAGAAAAGGAAAATGACAACTTTAACCGAGGTCCAACACAATCAGAGGAGGGAGAAATCTTTTGCTGGGAAGCCGAGACCAGTCAAGAGTGGCATTGCATTAGCCAGAGTCAAGCCGGTGTCACATCGCTCAGAAGTGCTCCTTGATGATCAGGTACAGATGTGATAGATATTGGGGATAGGGCATACCCCCAAATTGGCCAAGGTGCATCCACTCTGTTTAACTTGATACTATATCAATTGTCCCCCCCCCACACTTTTTCCAAAACCTAAATGAAAACTGTATACCTAAAAAAACTGGCTAAAGTAGCCAGAAATTGTCTCAGATCGCACCTAAGAGCATCTATACTCCAAAATTTTCTGGGGCCCTTTAGTGTCCCACGCCGCTCAGGACTTTGTGCTTCATGCTCGTATTTGTTCTGATTAGGGCTAAGTCCCCCCCCCACACACACACTTTTCACAATGGCTTGACGCTCTTGCTTGTGCATAGCATTTGTGGGATATCAACACCATGTGCTTGTTGGATCTACAAAGGGTTGAGCACCTGTGAAAAATTGCCAGTTTGCCAGGCATTTTGGTTTTGACTAAACTTCAAAAAGATCTGAGCCCAGAATCAGGATTTCATCTAGGATTGAAATATCTGCCTCTCCCTTCCCAGCCAAGCTTTAAAACTGCTTGTCTTCTCCTGGAAATTTAAATGAAACTGATGCTCCTTGGTGCTGTCTCGGGTTACATTTCCACTGCACCCAATATCTTGGGTGCAAAGATGAAGACTTAAAATTCAGCAGTGTTAAAGATTTATGCAAAAACAACTGAGGGGCTTGTAAATTTTGAACAAGCAAAAACTGCCTGTCTAAATTTGGTTTTGCCTGTCCTTGGGATAGATAGATGGCTAGATGAGATACAGGCTTTGTCTCTCCTATGTTAGATTGTATAGTTGTCGTCTGTCTATAGGTTGGGGTACAAAATTATTCCTGCTTTACCTTAAACCTAAATGTTGGCATCTAATTTATAAAATGTATAATCCTATTTTATGTGATGTTACTCAATAATGGCCAGATGTATTCAGTACTTAAGTAATGTAAACGTGTTTGGTTACATTGTGAAGAATGACAGCATTGAAATAAATGTTTCATCATCATCATCAAATAGAATACTGCTGCAATGAATGAATCAATTATATCACTGCACAGGTGTATCAAGTTCTTTTTCTGTGTTTGCTGAATGAAGGTGATGGTTTTTCTGTGCTTACAGATTTCCTTGGTGACCCAAACCCAAGATGAATTGGAAAAAGCGATGGTTTGTCTGAACAGCGCCCGGAATGACCTTGAACTGAACAAGTGGAGGACAGAGGTCAGCAACCTCAAGGCCAAGTGCGATGAGATGATTCTCATACTTACGGTGAGCAAAACATAAGCATTGGAGTGAAGTTAGTTACTCATTTGGCAGGCCGGTACTCATTTCTGTAACTTCAAATGTGTGGCAAGCTCACTAGGCAAGGGACAGCACTTTTTGTGTTCGAGAGCTGTAGCAGCATGGCAAAAGAACTTATCGGCGTAAAGTGTCTTGCCTGAGGACAAAATTATCGCACTTGTTTGCTGGTTTACAAAATTAAATACTCAAGAGTTGCGTATAAAGAATCTGGTAACTGATGCTGCTCATCTGTGCTTTAAATGTGTGAAATGTCTTTTGTTGGCATTGCAGGTGGTGGCCAAGTTGAAGGCGGAGCTAATGTATGCCAAACTGGAGCTGGATAAGGCGAGTAAGTCGGGAGGTGACATCAGGGAGCCAAGACGGAGGGTGGTGATGCTGGAAGACAGGATGGAGGGTTTACTCAGCAAATATCGCAAGATGCCCAGGAAAATGCAGGTATTTGCGGTATATGCACTGAGTAGTATGCAAAATCTCTCTCCCCCCCGCAGGTTAAAAACTAAGAATTTCTTCAGAAAATCTGTGATGTCTGATTGATTGGGTTCTCTTTGTTGGAGAACTTTACAGTGTGTTTATTACTTGTAAATACTTCCCAAACATGAAATATGTTGAGACAAGGCCAGTTACCTATTTGACATGTACATGTAGTTGGAAAACAAGGTATTTTCTGGCCTAAACTGTGTTTGAACAAGTCCTTTCCCAGCCTGGTTTTTCACCTGTGAAGCAACCTTTTGAAAATTGAATTCTTTCTGATATACATGTATTGTCTTTGACGTTTAAAATTTTGTTTTGCTGAAGCCTTTGGCTGAAAATGCAGACAAGAAGGACCAGCCTCAACAGGATGCCCTCATTGGCGAGGGGAGCACAGCAGAGGCATTTTCTTCAGTTAGAGAAAAGCCACCCCCAGAGAGTAAATCAGCCGTCCCAGAACAAAGAGAGGAACACGGTGGCGGGGATGGGAAGGAGGTGCTGAAACCAGAACGTTCCATTCTGAAGCAGGGAGCTGGCAGCAACAGAGGAGCTGGTGACGGTTCAACAACTCCCTCCGAAAAACGTGGCAGCGAGAGGAGGCTGTCTTTTGGGCAAGGTGATGTTGTTATTCCTGCCGCTGTTAATGTTGCTTTTCATGTTGCTCTTCCTGCTGCTCCAGTTGACTTCACGCAGTAATGACAGTTATTGCACTTATACAGTTGCTGCAGGGTTTACTCTGTTTTTTTTGGGGGGGTGGTTTTTTTGGGGGGGTTTATATTTTGATAAACGTCACAGATTTGTGATGTCCACTCTGGATGCTTAGAGCAACATCTTACCTGAGTGGAAGTAATGATATAAATGACACATAAATACACGTATGGGAAGAAGAGCGAAATGCAAAACTTAATATTATACACTGTTCTTAGTACATGTACTTACAGTAGTACTTCAGGTACTTGTATAGAAAACTTAGATAAGCAAAGTACCAAGTTCACAGTCTAATGGGTGATGAGGTGGTGATGCGCTCTATGACAGAACTTGTTGTTGCTGAAGTGACTTGTATCCTACTCAGTTGCTACCGAGATCCTCTTTTCACAGAAACTTCACGGGAATTTGTTCTGTCTGCTCTTTTCTCTAGGTACTCCCACTGGGTCAAGAGAAATTCTTGAGTTAAGACCAACTACAGGCACCTCAGCAAGTGAGGTACAAACAAATTAATAAATTAAGAAATCTTTGGAGATATGAATATAGAATTGCCGTCGACTGGCTGTGATATCATGCAAAGGAATTTGGTCCATTTCATGAATTTCACTTATGTCATAATTGTTGCGATCAATAGGGAGTGGATTCGGAAGACAGTGATGACAGAGATGATGATGGCAAGGAAGAAAATGAAGACAGTGTAGAGGAGGGGAGATATGAAGACGACAAACTAGACAGCAATGTCTTCATCACCGAAGGTTCTCTGTCGGCATTGGATGCACCCTTTCAGCAGCTACCTGCTCCTCAACACCAAGGTGTGCTCTTAACTCCATTTCTGATGATGCTTTCTCATGAATGGACCTCTTTTAAGAGGAGCTGTGCTCAACCTCCATGTTATCCCTTGTTGTTGGCTTTGTTCATGCCTTGAACAGAATCCTGTTTTATGGGCCTTTCTAATGGAGGGTAAAACCGTATTCAAATCAGAGCAACTTCCACAAAAATCAGTCAAAGCCAATCTACAGGTACCCGAACTCTGTGCAGAGTGCCTGATTTGAATATCAAGTGCAGTGTTGTTTTACAAATTTGACATTCAGGCCAAGAATCCATGGATTTGTGTATTTGGAGTTAATCAGAATATCAAATGATACAGTCAAAATTTATGTAAGGGCTCTTTTTCTTTAATCTGAAGAATACTTTCAAATTTGGAAGTTTACGTCGCTGTCATTTTGTGTGATGCTTACCAATTGCATTTAGTCTGAGCTAGAATGTATAAACTCAAGAATGGTAGTACTGTTAAATGAAACAAAGTCAGGCGTGAGACTTCTTAGCTTTTTAGCTGATTTCAGCTTTTTTTCCTCACTGGCTGTGTACAAAAGTATAGGAGATTTTTACATTTCAGCTTTTTTATGCCTTTTTCAGCTGTTCTCGGCTATTTTTTATGATTGGTCAAACTCACCCCTGCAAAGTGTTAGTGCCAAAACCATTATCACACTTAAAAAGGACTTGTGTATTTGTTTTCTACATGAAAGGTCTTTTTTATTTGCTTGAAGCAGATGATACTGCTGAAGATGATGACAGAGATTTAGCCGCAGAGTATTGGATGTCACCACACCACAGGTAGGATAACATTTCAGGGGGAAGTCAGAACAGACAGTGAAATTCAATGTAAAGAATTTACCAGCTCAATAAAAATGTCAGCACCGAAACATCTTTGCCAAGTAACCGGGGGAGAGTTGAGGGGTTGGCTATTTTGGCAACTGAAAAATAAACTTTTTTAATATGTTTCTGTCAAGTTTACATCCAGAATTTACTTCGACAATCAGCACCAATTGTGTGGAGCTGTAAATTAAAAGCCCAGAAATCTGCCCAGCTCACAAGCTTTTAACCTAGCAAAATGAGATTATCGACTGGAAAGTCCTGCAATGCACATTGCTTGTGATTGATTCCCAACTGAGAGGCTCTGTCTGAAGCAACTGGCTATGGCTAGGATAGCACACATTTCCACAGGAAATGACTACTGCTCACTCATCAATGGGCTGCCATAACTTCAATCACAGCCTGACTTCTGCTTAGGGCAGAAGATCACTTGGACATATTTTGCTTACCAGCTTCATGGACATAGATGTTAACAATGTTTCTTACTGAGAGAGTTAATGTCAGGTTTTCAAATGGACTCATTGTGTTAACGGACTAGTTTGTTTACTGTGTCAACAGGTTTGAGTACAGTGAACAAAGAGATGTGATAACCAGAGAGAATCCTCTGTCTTATCACAACCTTGGACTAGCTGTCCAGTCGTCTTTCATTGAACCAGGTAAGCTGTTAGCCATCATCAATACATCATCATGTAAAGCTTGGGCTATCAAGAATTATCGTGGTCGGGGATGTACGTTGTTGCACCGCAGAAGAGAACAAAATGAATGCGAAATCATTGCAGACAAAAATGGAAAGATGTTCATGGATAAAAAGCTTATCCATTGCAGGAGCTTACTTGCACCCAGAAGGGAAGACCAGCTGATTTTATTTGCTTTGCTTGAAACTCAGTAACATTTTTGTCAGCCATTGCTGGAAAGTCTTGTCCAGGTTGATGCCTAATTAGGTAGAACAGATTCAGGAAGAAGAATCTACCGGTACTTCTGCATCACATTTGAAGCTAGTTTCCCAGCATCCGACCAGAAGTCAACTTTGAAGGGGCAAAGCAAAATTGGACAGAAATATCGGCCAAAGATACTTCAACCTCGTATTCCCATTTTGCCGAGCCATGTTAGTGGAGTCATCCCATGTTGTGTGTTGAATGCTAGTAATGTGTTTCACCTGTATTTCTTGCTCAAACCAAAGGGACGAAAATTTCCTTACCCAAACGTTCCCAAAGCCAGCCAGCGACATACCTGAACAGTTGTAAGTGCATTGAGGAGCACAGTGCACCGATTTCACCTGTCACTGCACTGCATAGCACAGCTGTTGTCACACCCGATGACCACCACAGGAAAATGATTTCCTCTTCAGAGACAATGCATTTCACCCTGTCGCTCTTCTATAGCATTTCCCATGGGTCACTGGGATGTGTTTGCCAGCCATCAATATGAAAAGTATTCTGTTTTGTAGTCATTGTATTCAGGGCACACTTTCATTCCTTCCTTTCTCCACAGGGTTCACTAAAAGTGATTTTCTTATCTGAATAAATTGGCGGTAGCATGATGTTTTTTTCCTTCATCTTCTTCATCCTTTCAAACGAACACTGCATTTCACATTCTACACCTGATTATGTGCATGCATTTTAGATTTCAATCTAGTAATTTTACTGCAAAATCTCACTTATCTGAAAGACGTCTGTCTTCCTTGTCCTCCTTACCCCCCAAAAATTCCCTCAAGGATCTTTCCTGCTGTCAGTCCATGTTTTACATTTTTCCCCTGAGATCAAACTGAATCAACAATCCTGCTCTGAGGTTGATATTCATGTCTGTTTTTTCCTTCTGCATTGATACAAGACTTCTTGCAAGCTTTTCGATGCAGATGAACCTACCGGGCTAGCCTTTGGCTGGTAACTAAGGATTGAATATATTTCACGAACTTGGCTGACAGTTCGTGAACAGTTAATTTTGAGGCCAAGCCTTAAGTTCCTGCATACTTAACTCGGTGGCCAATCCATTCAATCTATTCACAAGAAAGACGTTTTCTACTTACTGTTAAATTTGTATTTGAAAATCGATTCTTTATACTGAAATTTGTTCATCAGTTCTACAATATAAGAGCAAAAACCTTATGAATCTCTCATCTTACATCACTAAAACAGTGCCCTGCATTGGAGGCAGTGCTTCCCCTGGTGTTATTGGCAACTAGCTATCTGTGTCACCTTTTCTTTAGTAAGATGATGTTGCAGCCCTGACTTAGATCCTCTAAGGCTATAAACCCTTGTTTGTGTCGCCTCTTGTCATATATAGCTGTGATACCCTTGAAATACCCCCAACATATTTTGTGGAAGTGACCTTGGCCCTGCACTTGCAGGGACCAAGTGTCAGAATAGACCTCTGTATGCACTGATGATGCCACACCTTGCACTAACGTTACTTACCTGTTGTTGACTTGTGAACAAAAGATGTCCACGCGCAGGAAGGGAAGATGTTCTGTTTATGTGTGTGCTTTCCCATGATGGTCAGTCGTTTGTAGGCCCCCACTGGCTCCATTGGAAAGCACACATGTAAATAAAGTAAGATGTCATTATTACATAGGCCTATCACTACGATGCATGTTGCACTTCACATGAGTCTTAAATTTTGTAGAGCTGTAAAGCACAAAAGTTGTCTAAACACAGATAATAAATGCTTATCGAACTCAGTCTTTATATCTCTATGAACTAGTTCTCAAGAGACAGTTTTCTCAACACACAAATTTTCTGCTTAGAAGCTCTCTGAAATCAAGTGTTGCAGTCAAGACAATCACAAGACCGACACAAGACCATGCATAAGACTATCCAAAAAGCCAGTCACAGGACCAGTTACCAAACAAAGGAATGATTTTGTTACAGTTCATTTGATTAGCTTGTGACTTGAATTCAGACTAGAGGCCTTGTGTTAGGTCTGATGATGGTCTTGTGAGGTCTTTCAATTAACCACAACACTGGAAATCAGGTCATGAGTTGAAGATCCCTGATCTGTTGAAGTTACTTCATTCTGTAGTTGTCATATCCTTCCATTTGTCATTTCAGCACCACCCGCAGCGGAAGAGCTACCCTGGAGGCCACGTCGGCGTGGCAGTGACTTGCCAGATGTGCACGTGAGTTGGAATATGACCTTTATCAAGAATGCAAGTGTAGTTTGTGCATATGCAGATGGCGACCTTTTCCAGTAACTCAGCAACCTTTTCCAGTTACTCACTACAGCCTAAATGTACCTCACCCTATAGAGAACCGAAGCATGACAGCATTTGAAACGGGAAATGTAGTGCAAACAAATGGAGTGCGCGCATGTTGGTGTACACACTGGTTCTTGCACTGATGCCTGTTACAAATGTAATGTTGCATGTGACATATTCACATCGGTACTCTATTGCGGGCAAGAATTCTCCCTAAACAGCTTTCACTATTTTCCTGCAAAACCTTCCGGAAACTGTTTCACACTATCCAAAAAGTCACCTTGCCGCCCTCCCCACTTTTTGTGAGAAAGCCAACCCCCTATTGAGCGATCCCACATGAACATACTGCCGGACCACTGTCTAACAATTGCATCCATCTTGATATAAGCATTTCCTTCTAAAAGCAAATATGTAGCTCTATTATCTGGCAAATCCCCTTGCGACTCCATTAAGAAATGACACTGCCTGTCATTTTGCACAACCCAATCCACCGTAGCCCAGTTACCTTTCTCATTTCCAGAAACCCTTATTTCCTCTCCTAAAAGGCTTGCATTCTGGTCCGTAAACCTCTCTAATAAACAGCTCCTTTCCTTCCCCCTTCCAAATGAAAAAAGGATGAAAACAAAATCGTGCGAAATGTGTGTTTTCCTAATCGCTGTTCCTTAGATCAACTTCTTTAGGGAATCAGAAGGTGTAATACAATCAGCCAATCAGGCACATTACAAGAAATATTTTCAATTACGTTGAACCTCGGTCAGGATGCTTACATAGGTAATACACAAGAGCAGTAGACTACTGGAAGCTGGGGTTTACATCCATCTATCCATTTAGCTCTTCCCAACCAGTTCAGTTTCAGCAAATCTACAAGTCTCAAAACAAACTTTCAGTTCTCAAATTTCAACATCTCACCAAATCTAATATCCAGTTAATATTATTAATTTTAAGTGCATGTAGTTATTTCAAGTTTAATACTTTGGGAACTTTGGATCATCACTCTTACATGCATTACAGATTCGTCTGAACAGAGACATGTTAGAATTAATCAAAGCAAGTTTTCTCATTTTACTATCGTCTTAAAAGTGCATATAATTTTAATATAGAATCAATCATCAAGAACATATTCTAATATTATTTAACCCATAATGTCAGCAGCTTTTAATAATTTTTATTACTACTGCATAATATTGCCATGATTAATATTTCATGTTTCTGCTTACCTGCCGCATGACAATCTGCTACTAGCTGGAGGGTGTAAGTTTCTTTCTCCTGGCTCTTTATTACATCTGTTTTGAATAATGCTTCGTTGGTTTTTGTGTGGTGTGATCAAACAGCTCGCTTGTTATCAGACATGTTTGCGCTGGACATAATTATGGGGTGAAGTTAATCCACAGGCACACTTCAAATACAACAAATGCAAAAATAGATTACTGGTTTGATGCATCATGGCAATGGCTTTGAGCAGCAGCCATCTTGTAAGTCAGGGCTTTTGTTCCACACAAACATGTGCAGAAGACTTACTTATGTTTATCCTTGTGAAACACAACTGACCTCCAAGATGGCTGCCATGCAAAGCCACAGTATGTGAATGGGAAGAATGAATATTTTGTAATTTGTGAAAGTCACAGTAGGCCTGCAGTATAAATGACAACATCGGTCATGTCCCTTGTTTTTGCACTTAAATGAGACAGTGACCAAACTATGGGTCGTGTAATCATAGCCTTCATGGAGAACCTATGATGTGTTATGCGCACATGGCTTTGATTAGTTGCAAAACTTTTTCATTGTCAGACTGCATTTCCATAACAGTTTTGCTGTGTTGTTTGTAACCAACTAATGTGCATGTGTGTGCTGCATTTCCCAGCTTCATCGTCATGCTGACTTCAAATCATCACAGGTTGGTTGGTTTCAGTAAAGCTCACTGTGTGTGTGTGACTTTGCAGTGCGATGTTTCCCCAAACTTGTGGCATTGACAAAAAAATTGGATGACTGATTAGATACCTAAGAAGGTCTCCCAATATTGGAAAGTTGTGATTGCAGATACATTTGTGGTTAAATCTAGTCTTGCCTCACTTTACCAAACCTAATTCAGACGGACTGGCAGTGTGACAGTTTTCTGACTCAGTAGTGTCCTCACCTGTCAAGTTCTGTACCACGTTAGTTGAAGACTAAATAAAGTAGGCTTGGACTTTCAGCTTTTTTGAACTAGCCCCCCATAGGCAAGTTAATTTTTTGTCAGCCCACTGGAAATTGTTTAGCAGCACTAATTTTGACCGGCTTTTTCAGCATTAATTTTTAACTGTTACTTTGGAGTCATGTTGTCAATTTTAAAACCTAAAGTGGAGGATTCCAAACTGCTACAATTAATTAAAAAACCGACAATTAAGATTCACGTTTGAAACCTTTGTTACATTCATTGCAGATTTAATGTGAGAACACTTGGTGCTGTCATCAGTGTTCCTGGCTCTTGTCATTCATTTCCTCGTTTGTTACATCATGAAATTAGTTCGCTGTCATTGGTTGAATATTTGTGTGCAACATCTGTATTATTGAGGCTGGAATTTCAAGATTAACCAAACAGTGAGGACCAAGCATGGATTTCTGTATTATATAGAATTTATGTATCATAAAATAACATAGCTTTTAATTCATAAAGTCTCATCTCATTACGTACATGAGACTTGATGAACTTAATTCCTTCAAAGATACTGACATATGGGAAGAGCTGCCGAGGTAGGATTGGATAGCTCAGTTGGTAGAGCACCAGTACGGTGTTCTGAGGTCCCAGGTTTAAATCTCACTCCAGTCTATTTCTTCGTTCACCTTTATCATGAAATATGTAAGCAACTAGTCAGTGCCCCTAAGTAGTTTGTTTGTTGATTTGTTTCAGTATTCCACAGATTAATAATTGATGGAGAAAATGGGAAGATTAGGTGGGCAGGTACTTTCCTCAAAAAGTTTAATCAGTCAATGGGAATAGACGGGACTGCTGGTCACGAATAAGCGACCTTATTTATCTTTGGCAAAATAGAAAATAGCACTGGACAAGTTATCAGAGCGAATCCACAAGATTTGGAACAAGATGGAGGATGCAACCAGGAAATCTATTGACTGCAGTAACAGCCAGATTAGTGAGCTGAAGGGATCCATCATTCGACAAGTGGAAAGTAAGTGCATTTAGCCCTAATTCTCCGGGAATTTTGGGGTCAGAATAGTCTGAAATTTGCTAAATTCCTGTGCTGTTCAGGACACCAGTGGCACATTCTTTGTATTTTCAGCCTGATTTGGCAGTGACTTGCCTTTTTTTTAAAAAGAGGGTCAAGGTGGAAAAACATTGCACTGGACCTAAGGCTTCTGTACTATTTAAATAATTACATTCCTAAGCATTTGATTTTTTATCGGTGAGTCACTAGTCAGGTTACACTATTGTCCTGCTGTTTGAGTTTTAGAGAAAAAGCGACATTTTCCTGAACAGGTAAAATGTAGCTTGGGCTTCAAGACCTTTTATGTTTTAAGGAAAAGCTTAAACAAAAGTTTCTTGAACTTCAGCATTATTAAAATAGTCATGTGTACAATACTCCATGAAGACTTGAAGTTAGTTTCCAACTTTATGGTCAATATATCCTGCTTACATTTACATGCAGACAGTCACAAGAGTGTATTGTGTTACCACACTGACACAGCAAATTTGAAAGCCCAATAAATAGTACAGTCATTCACTAACTAAACCTTCTAACCAAAATCACATCCATCCATTACCAAAAGCTGCTGAATCCTCTTGTTTTCCCAAGTTGACGTTTCCCCCAAAGAATTCTCAGCAAAAATAGTGTCTCTGGCCCACTGTAACTTCTTAGTTGAACATTATGAGTTATTGATCCATTACTGACAAGATTTCTGATAATTCAAGAATTTGCACAAACTGTTTTATCGCAGGCCGCTTGAGTGAAGATTCAGCAAGTTCCTTTATGAAGGTAAGGTTGCCAAAATTGGTGGCATAATTACATGTTTCTGAGAAAAGCACCAAATAAAATGCAAAATATCAAATCAATTTAAAAAATTGTAGAAGTTGGGGAAGCATCACAGAAACCTAAATATAAGATGAGAATACCACAGAAAAAAATGTGACATTAAGGATATTTGATGAACAAAAGAAATGCTTAAATTGAAATGTTAAACAGGCTTCTTAATGCTTGTAATTGAAAGTTTTTCTCTGGCTTCCCATAGCCAAGCTCACTGGTAGTAAAACTAGTAAATTTAAAGAAGATAAGTGTTACACCGATAACAAACAATCTAGGAATTACTTCCATCCTTCTAATCATCCCCCTTCCTTAGACTGACTCCCTCAAAACAAGCAGGTCCTCAGCCAGGGGCTTTGCCAAGGGTCCCGCACCCCCTTCAGACAAGGCCTCTGGGGATGTCGTCATTGAGGTGCCTAAGAGGCGAAAGGGGCTTGCAGAGGGGCCCATGATGGTGTACCATCCCCGCCCAATTCCTGAGCCTGAGATGTTGCCACTCACCAGAACTGTAAGTTTTGTTGACACAGACATTTCGTGCAAACCACCTTCTTCGTGTCACTTTCAGCCCAGAGATCTTGAATTCTCTAGTGACATGGACTTCAAGAGTTAAGCCAGGATTGAGTTGTAATGGCAATTAGGTTGCTCCACATCTTGTCAAATTCACGATTTCTAATCTCTGTTTTTCTTTACCGTGGATTAGCTCACAAGTCATTTGGATCAGAACATAATACTGTAGTGATGAAAGAGATGTTACTAAATTTGATCAATGCACGGTGATTGTTGATTGCTAGCATCAGACACATTTGGATGTTAGATTTGTGGCCTTTATTGGCATGATTTCATAAAAGCTTCATTTTTAGATAATATGCTTCATCCCAGGACCCTTCCAAGAAATTCCCTCGGATCTCGAGTGACTGGAACGACACTCGACAAGAGTCCATGGACCCAACGCTGCGATTGGTCAATCAGATGAACGTTGCCAAGGAAACCAACCTGTTGGTGTACAAGAGCAAGGACAAGAAAAGGAAGAGCCTGACAATGTCTGCTGCGGCCAGACAGCAGCAGGATACCGCAAAGTAAGTTAAAGAAAAACTATCACTGCCGAATGTACTTATATATTCTAGAACAAATCGGTAGAGACCCATTGCAAAGCAGGACACATGGCCTGACAATTTGAGTGAACTCCAGAAGATGAATAATTGTAGTCACAGTTATTTGAAAATATCTCCAAACTTTCATCAAGATTCAAAGATTTGTTCAATTCGATAAATGCATATCCGGTTCGTAAGGGATTTCGTCACAAAGGCGGACATGCCACCATTTGCAGGCTCCCATTGGATGATCGCTGAAGTTGCGCGTTAACTTCCGGTTCCATGGTTCCACGTAAATGGTGATCAATGCTTGTAACTCTGTGTGCAGTGCATGGGCAGTGGGCGTGGTTTAAACTGAAGTGACTTATTGTACAAACCGCATATAGTTCATGACTTTGTTGTAAACCCTCCTAGGGGCAATAAACAGTGTGCTTAATATGCAAAACATGGAAAAAACAGGAAGTTTTCTTGTGAGCAGGATTTCAATGTTCACAAATGTTAAACTGTTGTTGTGCTCCGAATGGTTAAGCAGCATATGGAGTACGTCAGAGAGTGTAGCACAGGGTCCACACATAATGTACTTGTTACTGGGAAATGGAGACTACTCACATGTTGAAATATATAGACATCATGGGGACCAAAGCTATTACGGGAACAAACATTTCTCCCCACGATGTTGTTCCAACTTTCCAAAACAAAAAGAAATTAGCCCTTAAATGGGGGAAGGCTTGCCTAACAATAGTGTTTGTCCACTTACCACACAAGAAAGCCAGTTAAGTGTTTAGAAAGGCAGTGTATTCTCCGAGAGGATTTCCTGAATCGGTGCTAAATGTTACAGGAGTTTCATCAGCTAAATACAGGAGGGGTTGCGATATTTTCTCGACCTCGAAATAGCCTTCCTTATTTTGTTGTGTTGGTGACAGGAAAAGATGGAAGTTGGCAAGCAATCCGGCGGTGACAGTAGCAGCGGCTGTCGCCCATGTCAACACCAGTAAGTCTTTAATTTTGAAATGTCGTCAAATTCTCAACATCCTGAGAATTCACACTAGCAGATCCTGTGTCTAGCAGAACAGTCAGCTTTCTGACACAAACCAAGTCAAGGATATCTAACAACAGTAAAGTTATGTCATTCTCAGGAAAGTTTGAAAATCTCTCTAAATATTGTTATTTTAGCTTTAACTTTCACACGATCCTTTTTTTGTCAGACTTTTCAACCATTTGTGAACAGAAAAACATTCCAAGTGTTATGCTTCGCTAGGTATACCCCAGTGAAATTTCAATATGTCACATTTCAACAAAAGAGCTGCTGCCCATTCCTCTGCCTCGTCGTTGTGACCTGCAGTGCCCTTCGTTCTGGCTGATGAGGTTGAGAAACTTGTTTATCTACCATGTGAGCTCCTTTTTCGTGTGGTGGAAAATAAACGAGTCAGTTTTTTCTGATGGTCTCCATCTTTTCTTCTTTTTACCCAATAAACTGCAGGGAGGAAGCTCAGTACGCTGAACTTAGACAAAGACAGCCTCAAATGGAAGAGAATTTTGGTAGTTACCCATTTTTTCTAAAACGATTTGACTGCCGCAAATCTGATTCTTTGCAGCCGGGACAAGTGATTTTTGTCCAACAATTCAAGGCAATTGTTAACAACCATACCAGAGAAGTCTTAGGCTCAAACACTCTTATTTGTATGTGCTATGGAATATTGTCAGTCTTACTGAGGAATCTTTACTCACATCAGTATTTCCAGACTCTGACAAAGTGATATTTCTTTATACCTTTTTTCAGCTGTGTCCAAATCGTGCAACTCACCAATAAAAAGGTTGATAATAGAAAAAGGTTTTGCCCTTGTCTCTTCAGGATATTTTGAAGAGGTTGACATCAGAAAGAGTAGAGGAACGCAGAGATGCAGCCATGGTGTGTATGTTCAACATTCATTGGTCAATTGGTGGGGGAATTCAGTATCAGTATGTAGGAAACATTTTAATCGGTGTAATGGCTGTGGATCAACTCTAAATTGCAACATTTTTGCCCCAATTGAGTTTAGCCAGGCTGTAGAACATTGATCTCTGTTGATATTAATTTCTTATAACTTTCAGTTTGTGAGAGATTTGATAATGTTTGATCTTTTCCATCTCGAGCTAATGAGCTAACTAAGAAATAAATTAAGACGAAGTTTTTTGGATTGTAGAATTTTTTCAGAAAAAGGCATTTCTGAAATTATAGAGTGTCATTAGCCTATAAATATGATACTCTATAACAAAACTCATTTTCTTGCCTGTTCATAACTATGAAAGTTTCCACTCTGTTAACAGCATCTTGGCTCATTAGACTGCAGCCAGAAAGAGGTCTTGTCAGCCCTTGTGAAAGCGGTGAGTTGGTTGAAGTGGTTCAGTCTACAATAAACTGATCTAGTGATCAACATCATTTGACGTTCTACCAACGGTTCATCCAAAAAGCTATAAGAAAATACTTTTTGTTGTCTACTGAGGTCAACTAGATGCTACAGAAATGGCTCACTGCCGAGCCTGGTATTGCTCGTTGCGGTCAGAACAAAGAAATTCCTTGCTATCATGAAATTACAATGCATATCTACTCCTGTTGGCCATGCAGGTACAAACTGACTCGGATTTGAGGGTTCGGTACGAAGCTGCCAAGTCCATGGTCTCCCTGGGGTACTGGAGCGAACATGCACTGGAAGTCATTGTCAAATACATGGAGGAGGGAAACCAGGATGTCAGGTCAGATCTGGTCAAGACTCTCATCAATGCCAGGCACATACAGCTGGCTGATAAGGTAAGACCAACAAGTGCCCTGTCAATGAAGCAAAAGCTCTTGGGTGAAGACTACTTTCTAAAAGAAACATTTCATATTTCTTTTAGTGATCATAAATACCCGTTCAAATAGCAGGAAGAATTGAATTCATGTTGTAATTTGCATGATAATCTGTATTATAGTTTTCAGCATAGAAGTCAGCATTGAATTCTCCTCCTTTGAAGCACCTGTTGGCTCTGACCATTGAAATCTTGTGGAAGATAAGGATGGACCTCAAGTTGACCTATAACCTCTTTGTAAAAAAGCCAAAAAAAGGCTTCAGTGGATATTTTTTTACTGCGTTCATGACTTTTTTACCAAGGAAAGATGTCCATTGTGTGGTTGGCTGTTTGAAGGATGGTGGGTCACAGATCTTGCTTGTTTCACCACAGAAAAGCCCCCACACCAAGAAACTGATCTCGATTCTGAGGGACATCTGTGGGTCTAAAGACTCAGGGGATCTTGGCTTTGACTGTGCTGTCTGCCTTGGATGCTTTGGTGTGTCTGATGCCAGTGCCAAGAAGAAGCTGAAGGGAAGCCTGACAAGCAAAGACACCAATGTCATATCAAGGGTGGGTGTGCTCATGATTCCGTGTCGCTAGAGACCAAATGAAGTTCACTGCTGTGAGCATCTTACATCATTACAAACAGCGGATATAAAATGTTCTTTGTATTTTGCTCTTATCAATTTAATATCATATTTGTTTTTAAAATTTTGTAATTTTATAGGGCTTGAATAAATGCACCGTAGAATTTCAGGAGTATTCCACATCGATTCTCTTGCATATTGCAGAATTTGTGATTTCGAGCATGTTGCCTTTGAGCCTTCGTTGCTCTGTTACAACTGTTCATTTCTCATTATCTTTATGTTATCACAATTATATTGTGCTTTTACCCCTTGATCTTGTTTTCTATGGAGAGTTCATCAGTTTATTGAACTCCCTCTCATTCGTCTTGCCTCTCCATTTGAGTCTCATCATTTCTTGTTTTACCCCTTGAACACTTGATGTAGATTGCCTTGTTTTGTAAATCTTTATCCAAATACATCATATCCTTTCGTTTTTGATATATTGAGTTGATAAATATTGAAACCTTGAACGGATGAATTTTTGTTGATCTGTTTTTTGTTAAAAACTTACTGTGAATTTGGAAACAAATTGACAAATGATAACCCAACATTTTCTACACCATACAGTCGCTTGAGATTCTCGTCAGACAGATGAATGCCCGGGAACCAGACGTTGTCAAGATGGTCCTCCACCAGATGCAATTCTCTAAGTCCTGGAAGCATAGGGTGGCTGCAGCCAGACTACTGGTTCTTCTTGGTGAGTACAGAGTACCATCCTACAGCAGGTGCAATACTCCAAATACAAAAGCACAATATGGCTGTTGCCAGACCAACATTCCTCAAGGTCAATAAGTACTTTTGTTACAATTTTTCCTGCACTCAAAATGCTAGGTTCATGTATGCAGAGTCATGGCAATTGTTACTGGGTCCTAAGTGGTAGGTAGCTGTAGTCATTTCATCCCAACAGCATATCCAGAAATTTTCAAGTGTGTTCATCATACATACTAGTTCCCATGATGTTAACAAAACTGATTAATTTTAGTGCACTAAGTAAAATGAGAAATTTGTTCATGGAGCCATTTACAGTTTTTATATGGATTGAAGGATTTTGTTATTGCTTATTCAGGCACCAAGCACATGAAAACAGATGAAGATGTTCAGATGGTTTTTAACATCTTGGAGAGAAGACTGTACGATGACCCAAGCAGGGTAAGAGGCCCGTAAGGTTTAAGATCTTTAAGGCTCATTAAGGACAGGATTCCTGCCTGTCAAATGTTTGCCGTACCCCAACGAAAGATTCCTTCTTCAGAAATGCATTGATATGTCTTTGCCCTGCAGGAGGTACGTAGTGAAATAGCCACCACGCTGACAGCCTTGGATCTGAGAGAACTAGTGGCAGATCTTGTGGAAAAGTAAGTTGATAAAAGTTTCATATTAAACAGTTGCACACTTTTACTGTCTGTATCTGGTATGGGCGAGGGTATAGCTCTTTAAAATTCACAAGGTACATCGGATCTTGGAGCTAACCATATGTAAATTTTTTCTTTTGTTTTAATGATTCAATAACATGTTACTACGTATCCTGCCATAAGTTGTTGCTGGTGTAGAACTAAATGTAGTGAAAATAGACTAGGCTTGTTTGGGTTGGATAATAGACGGAAATCAGCTATCCCAACAAAAAAGAGTGCGAAGAACTTTTGAAATTATGACGGATCATTCCCTTCTGAAGAAAAGTGACAACAGGCATTAAATTTGTCCAGCAGTCGAATCAACTTGTGTTCCCTCGAAAGATTTCTCAAGCAGTCGCAATTTTTTCTTGTGGGTATATTAGCTGCATTTTTCTTCATCGATGGAGGGAAAAAAACTGTTGTTTGATGGCATCCAAGTACAGCTGATGCTTCCCTTCAAACTCATTTTATATCTGAAAATTGGCACAGGCTTTGCTGTAACTAAGTTCTGCGTTTATATGAAGATGAAGACCCTTAATTGTTTGTAATTCTACATTTCCTGTATTTCTTGTCATCTCTACAGGAAGTTAGAGGATGACGATGATGATAGCAGAGCTCACGCAGTCATAGCTGTGGTGAGTATTCCTCTCTTAGAAATAGTCATACATTTCAATATCTAATGCCATTTCAAAACATTTACAAGATAGCAGTTCTCTAAGATTACTTAAAAGCCAAACCTTCCACCGTCCCTTATTCAGAGTGCAGCTCTCTGCTGCTGGACTAGTGTAATAGTGGACATCGGGAAATGCAGACTGGCACTGACAAACTCCAATTCTATCATAAAACCCAACAGGAAGTGTGGGTTTTTCCACACCCATAAAAAATAGAGCACACTCAATGCATGATAGAAGCTGGTAAAAGTTTGATGCTCTTGGGGTTGTACCTTATTTGTATCCCACTCACCTTTTCTCTTCACACTTATTTAATGCCTAACACGGTGAATACTGTATGAAAGTACAGGTCACAAGCAGTAATTCACAAGTAGTAATATCCATCAACGAAACACCTGTCCAAAAGCATGTGCATGGTATCTTTATACCAAACCCAATCAGACTGTTTGGTTTTTGTCTGAGTGTTCCTCTGATCTCATTGGATATGTGGACCATTCCACCCGCATGATGTTGTCCAGCTGAGCCATTCTAATTTCCACTCTTGGAGAGAATTACAGAAGACCCTTGATCCAAGTCCTTGCGACCCAGTCATCCATCTGCAGACTCTTTAAGGCCTGGGCCCTATTTCACAAAGCTGCTTGACAGTCAGCAGAAAAGTCCTGCTTACTATAGCAGAAGATTTTACTTACCATAAGCACTATTTGGCTGTGTCTACTGCTTACGGTCTCCATGACATACATGGAGCCTCTGTTAGCATAAAAATGTGCTTAGCAGGCTCCTTACCTTGGTCACTTTCCCCCCGTGCCCTGCTTTCCAGGGTGTCTTGGGCATGAAGGCAGACAAGATTATCCGCACACTGCTGGAGATGTTGGAGTTGGACTCCTGCGACTATGTCCGCCTCCAGATCATCCGGACCTTCGCCAGCCTGGGCCTGACCAACATCAAGATCATGAGGGCACTGAAGGAGAGGGTACGATCCGAAGGGCCACTGGCAAGGTACAGATAATCAGAAGTAGACATCATTATTGATATCGGGTGTATGATGTAATCGAAGCCAGTGGTACACCCAAGGTGGCAGCTTGGGGGGCACGAGCCGGTCAGAGGTTTTCACTTTTGGGGTTTTTCGATTTCTGAGTAATAAAGATACAATTAAACAGCCACATCTTATAGCCACACATCATAGTACTTTGTGGCACAACCGGGAGTTGGGGTAGCGGCCTTGAGAGTCCTGAGCTATTTCGGGGGGTGAATTCCAGTCCAAGCCCCCCTCCAACGACAAACCCTGGGTTACACACTGATCCAACAGAATTAAGTTGGATCACCAAATCCAGTTTTTCTTGTTCAGCATCAAAATTTCCAACTAAGTCTGCTCAAAGTTCGGAAGTGTTTCAACTCTGTGGTGATGAGACCACCATATGCAATTACATGCGAGCACAATACTACCAGGTACTGTGCACTGGTAAACACCTATGGTTTCCCATGCTCCTGAGTGATAGGGAACCACCAAAATTGATATCAAAAAGGACATTGTGATTGTTCCTTGTTCTTTAGTGATTTCATGTTCCAGTCAATCTGGCTGCTTCGTCCAATAACGGCACACTGATTTAATTTTAGTACTTGGAAATCCAATATAAATGACAATACTGGATATTCCTTTATGAGCCTTGTTTCCAGTCATTGAAGCAAATATGTAAATTATAAAATGCGGCATAGGCAATACTTAGTTAATATGAGAAGAGTACAGTAGTTCTTAAATGATGAACTGCTTATTCATATATATAAACATACTGCACCTCGATTGAGCAGTTTGCACTTCCCTAAGATTGTTCCCTTTCCATCATGTTACCCTTCCCCTTTCAGTCCAGTGGGATCGACTGCCCACTAAGGCAGTCGAACATGGCGGAGATATCTCCCCAACTTGCTGTTCATGATGATTTGGATGTTGAGGAGTGTGCTGTTCTTGTTGTTTTTTGCAGGGAGGCTGCCAAATCGCTACAAATCTTGAATGACCAGAGATCATCTCAGGGCCCCAGGAGTGCCACCCGCACTCCTGACCGATTGAGGAGCTCTTCAAAGTGATCTCATGTATCTGAGAATTTGCGATGGCAACCCATGTAGCCTGGCGGTTAGGGTTTGTGACTCACAAACATAGGGTTGGAGGTTCAAATCCAGCTGTAGGTCACGCGTTGTGACCTTGGGCAAGTCACCTTACTCCCACTTGCCTCTCTCCGCCAAAGAGTATAAGTGGGTGCCTGTGAGGGTAGAGACGGCTGCGTTTGATTTACCGTTGGCGTAAAAAGTGACTACATTTAGCTGTATGCTCCCCAGGGAGCTGATGTTTCAAATATGATTTTGGCACGGTGAGCAGGGATGATTATAATTAGGACAACAGCCGGGGAACCAAAGTCAGAACCAAAGTTAGAACCAAAGGAAGATCAGCATGATGATCGGTTCATACTTCAGGCAAAAGCGAAGCAAATTTGGCGTCACGAAACATTTGCAGCAAATTTCACTCGAGTTGAAATGTGTCGAGCAGATACTTGATTTGATGTCAAATATTGAGCTCGTGCTCACGCCAAAAGCAAGCCAGCCTTATGGCTATGGCAGACTGAGAATTAGGAGACTAAAAGTATTCTGGTATTACTGATATTTGACAGGAGTTAAAGGTGAAGTGGAGGGCGGGGCACAACATTACCTGCAGGGGGACTGTTCATGATACAGATGTACATCTTTTGTTGCACGCTTACCTGCCATAACCTGGCATAGAAAAGTTTTGTTTGTTCTCAATTTTACAGTTTGAACATTTGAAAATGAATCCAAAATACACACTTCTGGGGGGTCTCTCTCTGCCAAAAATGTGTGTGGGGGATCAAATGGCCCATTTCCCACAGTCAAAAGGGGGGAGATATCTTGAACACCCCCCTGCCCACTCACACCCATGATTGCATTTCAAGCAAACTTAGAAAAACAGGTTGGAAACAAGTGGAAAGTCTGGAATGCCGGTTATATATAGTCAGCAGACTTTATTATCAGCCTTAAAATAAATATTTGTATATTTTATACAGTGAAAAAATTATCTGTGATCACTGCAACTTACATTGAACCAAAAATAGCTTGTTGGAAATGAATTTTTGCTCAAATACAGTGTTTGTTTTTATACATTTTGTATGTACAGGTTTTATGACATTTATCCACTGTTTTTAACAAAAGATATTTTAAGTCTGATGTAAAATAAGATCACCCAAATATTTTGGTCGACAGGAGCCTATTTCCTTGGTCATATTTACACAACTAAGTGTGTTTTTTAGAATCAGAGGCAATCGGTGAATCGTGCTGAACTTGTGGAACAGGATTTAAAACTTTAAAGTGATTCTTGATTACATATATACGAGACAGTATTTCTGATCCATCAAATAAACCGTTTATTTTTAAAAGTTTTATACACTCGGAAGAAAGGTTTAATATCTGTCGTTTCTTTTATTCCTCGATGTCTCTAGGGCTTCATCTTACACTTGCACATCTCTGTAATACTAGATATAAATGCATTACATCTATCTCGCATTTTCGTTGACTCTTGAGTTTTCAAGGGGAAGGACCGGAACAGTATTTTGTGAAGGAACGCAGTTTACCTTTGTCTGAAGCAGATTTCCAGGCCCAAGAGTTTTGCTGGCAATTTCCTGACTTTAAATGTTTTGCTATCATCTTTATTGGTAACAAACCCTCGTGAAAGTAAATCGTTTGTGGATTCCTTGGCTTTACTTGAGTCCTTCAGTCGTGAAATTCCAAATTCCAATAGACCGATTGCGCCCGCTAAGTCACGTGACCTATGGTCGGTATTAAATATCATCAAACACGTCCACCAAAAGCAAAGTGTTTCATAAGTATCATTAACCAGAAATAAAGCCGACGGTATTCAGTAGGTACCGTACTCAGACTACTGATGTGCTGGGTTCCATACTGTAAAGTGGTGCTATTTGTAAATTGGCATTATTGTTTAAACAACACTCGAAACACACGTCATGGGTTGATACCCACTTATAGGTCACGTGATTTAGCGGGAGCGATCGGTCAATTCTATTCAATGTCTTGTGCTTTTCACGTTCCAAACATTGTGTTCTCTCGATAGAATAATTCCAATCCCCTTGTTGGAGCGTCCCAGACAACTCGACCAGCTGTAGTTGTTTACCTCGTCTCGAGAGTTTGTTTTTAAGTCAATGGTTTCACAGGCTTCACTTTGTTCCCTGTTGACGTCACTGCCTACATCGGCCCTGATCCCTCCACTTATTTTGGCGCCATCGGTTGCAATAGCAGAAACCTTTTTTGCCGCCAACTGACAAATATCGTCCGATCTGCCTATTGATGTTTCGCGCCTTGCCTCATCCGATTGACAGTTGGTGGAGTTGATGCTGACCCCAACGTGTGGCGGATCGTTAGATGCCGGAGTTATTTTCTCACTGATACAGCCGAAGGCGGGCTTGGTGGTCTGAGTTACTCCCCCAAGCTCCGAGAGATGACTGTCTGTATAATCCGATCTTTTCGGCTCCTGATGGGAATCCCTTCGGACGAAGGGTGGAATTACCGCTGAGATGTTGCCCCCGGGGGGAGGCGAAGTCAAGGCATTGACGTCATGGTTGGCGAAGGGAGCGCTGTCGTACCGCCAGCCCAGCTTGAATTTAATTCCTCGAAGGCAGTCCAGCTGCCGCGGGGCCCTGCTCGCGTGTTCACGCTCGCGGTCTTCCGATTTCTGCGTGGTAATCGTGGGCAAGGTGTCGGGTCCTCGCTGTTCTTGATTAACGGCGCTATACCTGTCAGGTGCAGTGGGCGAAAGACGGCATAACGGGGCGACTAGTGCATCCTCAAGGCCAGATGGCGACTGCGTTGATGAGCTAGAATGATGCGATTTATTTCTCATCCGATTCTTCTTGGTGGCGTAACAGCTTTTACCATCCTGGAGGAAAAGTAAAAACTTGAGAGTGAAAAACCAAACAAAAGCAAAAAAAGTTGTGACCATTGTGCAAACAGTTACAAAACCATAGTGATCATAGCAATGTTTTTTTTTTACAAAGCTATCAACTTGAGATCAATGGAAAAAAGTTATAGCCAGGGTGCCGTTTTCACTTTAATGATCAGCTTCAGCATGGTTAAGTGCGGGCCACTATTTTAAATCCGATATTAAATCGTTAAGTCTCTAAAATCTATAACGCATTGCGCATGAGCATTTTAATTGAGGTTATTTATGTTCATTGGACCAAAGTGTACATGGGAAAAAGGTTTTGAAGTGGTCGATATTGCGTTCGCAGATACCGCAGTAGAAAAAATCCATGTCGAGAACGATTAAGGGGGCACGTCACGAGAAACAAAGACGTCACGAAGTACGTCTTGGCTGATCGTATTATTGCCAAGTATGGATAAACAAATTCGATTTACTGTGAAGCCCTCACTACAGGTATTTGATTACCTGCTTGGCAAGAGTGTCCATGATGATTAGTTCTCGTTTCAAGATTGCTCGCGTCAATGGTACATGTACACGTGTATAAACTTTAATAAGATCTTATTTTTTTACGGTATGGTTGTTGCGACATTTGAGTTAGTTGGTCACGGTGTAAAATAGTCCCCGGGCAGAAATAATGTTGAATGTTGTTTTATGGATGTTAGAAAGGAATGGAGTGAAATCAAACAGACTTTGAGTGTGATGCGACCTTTGCCTTAAGTTGAGGGCAAAACATGACAACTATAGTGGGCTAAACACAAGTAGATATAAATTCATTGCGAATAAAGGTGGGTATGACGTACAGTATACTATTTAGGGAAAAAAACCCCATTTTTTACGTGTTGGTAATTCATGACTTCTGTTTTGTGAGTAACGATACCGAAAATATTTTTTAATACCGAAAATAATCTCCAAAATAATGCGCATTTTTTTTTTTTAAATCGCGTGTTCGATCGTTATCTTAAAGCATACACTCAGGGTTTCCTTGAAATGCTACTTGCTGTTATCTGGAATACATTTGCTCTTTCCACTGGTCGTTCGCCCAAGGCAGTTGAAACAATACGCAATTAATATGTTTACTTCGTTACAGATAACCCCAAAGTATTTACGTCTTGGTTGAATAAACAATGTCCGTTCTAATTTTAGACTACCGTGCTGGCTGTATAATAGCCGAAGGTAATGGTACATGAGCAACCAATATTGTTAAGTTAATTGAAACATGCCAAACGAATACAAATTCGAATGCAATTTACAGACATCGCTCGAGAATTCTAACTTGTGCACTCAAGGTATATTACAGTGTGTTTGCTGGTCGCAGTCACGAACCATCGATTGATTCTTGAATGAAATCGCCAATTAGGAGGTCAATTTGATTAACTGACTGACTAAGTAGGCGCGAAAACGATCGCCCGAGAGCACAACAAGGTCACGGACCCAGCAGCTGACGCGCTCGGGCGCCATCAGGATGAAGCCCCAACTGTGGATCTCCCATAATGGCGCACAGTGTTGGCCTATATAGAGCTACATGATTAATCCTTAAAATTGAAGAGGTCCGCCCACGATATGTATAGATATAAATACATGCATGGACCGCAGTTTGCTCAGAGATGACATCGTCAACAATTATTTTTTATTAATGGAGAATCTTCCTCGTCGATTTAACATAACCATAATGTTGGCTAATTCGATTGCGTGTTTATTTGTTTGTTTGTTGCTGTATTGACTTTAAACTCCTAGTTAACTAAATATCTCCATTTCTATTGACGTGATATTTTTGACACTGATATTCAAGTCCGTTCCCTAACGATTCCCATGTTGTAACATGACATTCACATATCTAAAATACTACAATAAAACCGCAGATGGGCGTGATTTCACCGTAATCCATTCTAAAAAAATTCGAGAAACAGATCACAAGAATTTTAACATCAGCGAAAAGAACATCGGCCAGAAGGAATGTTGGAATATCTATGTGGGCGAATAATTTACATTCTTCAACGGCTTCTGTTAACCTCCAATATAGTTTATGCCTATGTGTATATGCAGTCTCTGCCAGCAAAAAAACTAAGTAAAAAAAAGATATAAAAGCAGATGTTCAGGTCATTACTATGGTATTTGATGACTTCCTGGCATAAATCAATAAATCGTTTTAAAGCAGTTTGAACGACGAAAATGTTTCGTTGATTTTTTTAAAGGAAAATTGTACATAAGAAAAACTGTATTACACCGACAAGCTAATAAAATGTACCATTTTTGTATCAACAGTCAGTATAACAGTGGTGTTTGTTTGGTTATTTCCATATGGCGGAAACCTGCGGAGTGGAACCGTTTCTCGGCCAACATTGCGCGGTTTTGTACATTGGGTTAGCTACTGCAGAAGCGTGTATCAGTTCCGTTAAATATTAAACGCGGGTGGAATGGACTATAGGTTTTAATGTACCAATACACGCATGAGAGTGTGTAGGAGTAATGAACATTTATCTAGCATATCGCTTGCATGGGACTCGTAATTGAAGGGGGTACTAGCTTGCATTAGTCGCACAAGTGACGACTCTCAAGTGGCAGATATCCCCATAATTTAGAGAGTTCCAAGAAAATTCTATTCACAGTTTTCGAGAAAGTGATCCGCTGAAAGAGGCATATTTATTTTGATGCGTGCATCTATACAACATTTCCTGACAAAAAATAATTGGTTTGGATTAAGATTTGTTTTGGTGTTCGCGGGAAATTGAATGAATTATTATTCGTATCCGTTCTTTTTACATTGATCTTTTCTTGTGCAAAATAAGTATGTAAATATATAGATGAGAAAGGATAGTCATGACTCTTGCCTCTGAGTTTAAAAACTCAGTATTGTTTTCCAAGATAACGGTTTGAGAGAGATAAAAAAAGACTGCTGCATACCCTTTATGTTAAATCTTCTCTTTTCTGCAAAATCAATGATTGCACTTTTCAGAAACAAACATCCTGCCCTGTGGCTTCCACCTTCATTTTTATTTCCCAGGAGACCCAATCCCTTTAGAGATTTTAAAAAAATAATTGTTTACTTCGGCCCACGTACAGCAGTTGGTTTAATCAGAGATAAATTCACGAGACCGATAATTACCTTGAGTATTACGACATGTGGTGGGCGTACGCCCGCTTCTCTGGCCCCGTTGCAGCTCCCACGGCGGGCGCTCAGTTTGCGCTGCCGGGCTCTGCCGGTAGAATGAAGTTATTAGTGTGAATAGATAACCAGCATTTCTCTGTTTATAAACGGAAATATGGGCTATTGGTGTAAATAAAAACTGTCAGCCTCCGGGGTGTTTGTGAGAAACATGCACCGAATACCGGATATTAATATTTGATGTGTTTTTCAGCTGGCGAGAGGATGTCCTTTCGTAATCCTCAGTGCGGGGTCTATAAAAGTGGCCAGCGCAAGTACCAGCTTCTTACAGGTGATTTTTCTGAGTTCTTAAACTTGAATGGAAATCCTCACATGGGGGACGTTAAAATTGTTTTCGTTTCTCTTGAGATATGTGCCGAAACCTTTTGATTTGGAGTGTATATGACTTGCCCCGTGAGGTTGCTCAAATGGCGAATATTAATGTGAACGTCATGAAATACGACTGTGTTATAAGGAAATTAAAAACTTGGTCAGTGCGGTGAATACTTCAGGACGCGCAGCAGGCAGGTTCTGCAGAATGTGAGTGAAGAAAATTACGAAAAGAGAAGACACAGAATCTTGTAAATGATGTCGTGTCGGTCGCACTCAAGTCCGGTCACAACGCTCTTTCAGAATGAGGAAGGGCGTAGGCCTACCTCTCTTTTCGTTGCTGAAAGAGTTTGATGAGAGTCACATCCAGGATGTTTTCTTCGGGTTCCCAAGTATTGAATCTTCACAGGAAAGGAATAATTGAAATTGATTAGCACGACTTTAAAATAAGCGGATGTTTTAGTTCCCTTTCTAGTGTGATTTTTGGTTCTATTTTGACTCGAGAAAATTTCTTGATTAGTTTTAGCAACGACTTTTTGGCCAACACTGACCCATTGTTAATGCCCATGCATCCAGTGACCCAATTACGAGGGGCACGTCCCCCGACCCCTCCTCTTGCTACCCCCATCCCCCAACACAACCTATGTACAAGACTGCACTTCTTCGGCTTTCGATGCCCCCTGCAAAAAACAATGTGTGCACCCCCGGGGTGTCCCTCCCTGTAAATTTGACACCTCAAAAGTTGGATTTTCGGTACTAGATTTCCCATTTTAGTTTGTTAATATTGATGACTTTTCAACTGAGACAGCGTATAAAAAAAAATGGTTCATGGTGTCTGTAAAGATGTTGTTAATAGTGTCAGGATTATACTACGGAAATAAAACCTTGAATTTCCTGAAATTTGTAAACACTTACTTGGCAGGCCATCCTTTCCATTTTACAAGGTACTCTAGCCCGCCCTGCAACCAACAACAGAAGTAATGTATAATTTGTGATAAATGATTCAAGCGAAGAGTACACTCTAAATAGGAAAGGGTGAAATTAGGGACAAGACGTTTAAGAGTGAAAATCACTCTGAATTTAGACTGAAAAAGCTGAAATAGCCCCTTCCGGTAGAAGCTCGAATGAAATTTCAGTCTTTTGGAGTGAAAAATTTTCACTCCAATTCGTCTGGTCCTTAATTTCAATCTGTGGGATTGAACTTTCACTCAAATTGAGTGAATTTTCATTCTTTGGAATTTAGAGAGTATGCCGATATACGACGAACGCACAAACTTCAAATGGAATCAACTTAAGCGAGAATCATTGATGGCAGTCGCCGTGTGAAAACACTGAGCAAAAGGAAGGGAAAATTATGAATGATCTCATGTAAATTTTAAGCTCCGTTATCATGTCAGGTTCACCCAAATGGGATTTTGAGCATGTAAAGGAGTGAAAAACTCACTCTCAAAAACCATGAGTTCCTTATTAATTCACTTTTAAAAAGCGAAAACCACTCTAAAAAGAGTAAAAAATCTCTTAAAAGAGTGAAATTTCCACTCTTCCACAGATCGATGATCAACTTGAAAAAGAGTTGTCCTTCATATCGCTTTTATTTTGAGTGATGATCAGTCTTTTGGAGTGGTTTTTATTCTTTAAAGAGTGGTTTTTCACTGATTTGGAATAGAATTATGAGAGACTCACTCATTCTTTTGGAATGGAATTATAAGTGACTCACTCTCCTTGAGAGTGAGTTCTTCACTTTTGCCTTTAGAGGGTACGCCCTATTTTGTGTCATGAGCAACGAAGAAGGGTGTGGCATTTACTTGTTTTGAGTTTTGGTTCTACGAATGGCTAAGCAATGTCGCAATCCTAATGATGATTCAACCCTTAATCTTTCTCTGTCGTTTACGAGGAAGGGTACAACAAGATTTTACGGGCCTTCTTTTCCAGATAAAAATAATGATTTCAAGTTGTAAAATCTGGGTAAAAGAACGAAAGCTTAATTAATCGGTGAATTGCTATATTAAACGTGGTGAGACGACTTCCTCCATAAAGAATTATGAAATGTCATTATCAGAAATTTATGGGAATTTTAGTTGTTGACCGCAGAGTCAACATCGTTTCCATGAAGCAGACTCGACCAATGTTTTAATATGTAATGGCAAACGGGCAAGTGGTTTGGAACGGATGCACGAGGGAGTTCTACAATCAAGGGAATTATTTCACAATAACGCCTTGTCCTCGTGCTTGTGTAATTCAACAACAAATAAGCTTAGCATGCAATGTCAAAAGTGGGTCATTGGCCACACACATTCACCATTCCTGCTTAACGAGTACAATTAATTTCAAGCGCTTCCGCTCTGCGTACATAGATATAATTTAGCACTCAAAACCTACCAAATGCAAGGGCCTTTATTAGAAGGTTTTAAGATAATGCTTTTTCTTCGTAAGTTGCTCATTACACCATATTACATCACACGAAGAAGGGATGAAAATGGAGGCTTAAAAAATAAAGAAAACTTTACTTCAAGAGAATAAAGAGAAAGAATTAAAGATGTCTCCAGTGAGATTTTAGATACGACGGTTTGAATATGCATACTTCCAGTTCTGTTCTCACTTGTCAATATATAAGTATGGATGCTTTGAAAGTTGAATCAATGTAAAGGTTTCGTGCAGACAAAGTGGCCAGTTACAATGTTGATCAGTTCTGCAAACAGCAATCAGAAAAGCCCCAGCCATGCCGTACCTTTTTCCGTCGTGTTTTCCTGATGGAGTCCACGATGTACACCGGCCCCATATGGTTCTGTGAATCCTCAGCTGGGATCGCATCTCCTGTTGCCATCGCTGCGTTGCTTGGTAGTGCAACCTCCATTCCTCTAATTGTTAGTTGCTAATAAATTCCCCCTCTTGTATTTGTGTTATTATAGTTCTACCGAGTTTCTGCGCAACCAAGAAATATGTTGAGCACTTCACTGCAAGCCCGATTGTTAATAGGCGCACGTACGTCTATAAAACTCTCAGTCATCACACTGTCATCTGCGGTATTTCGTAGCGCTCAGCCAAAATGACGTCATTGCATGGATGTGACGTCATCCACTCAATTCGAGGCCGGCTGCATTGGAAACGACAAGCGTGGATTGGAAGTGCGATGGAAGCGTTCCGATTGCTTTCGAGTGCCTACGATTGCTTTACTGCGGCTGCTCTTGCCGATGTCGCTCGAGCGTCTGCCGACAAGTCACCAGCTATCGGGGTGCTGGCGTTCACTTTAGGGAGGGGGCGGTGAAAAATGCTGTGACTTACCAATCAATTACTCTAAAATATGTCATACTGTTACTAAACGATGCATGGTAGGCGTAAATTTGTTTTTGTTGTAGGAAATGGGTTGGGGCAGTTTTGGGTGTCCATTTCAATTTTACCTGTTTCTCAGAAATTGTTGACGACGTACGTCCTTTGTGGTATGTTTTATAAAAAAAAAACCATTGATTTCGATTTCATAGGAATATCAAAGGACATAATGTTTTACTCGAGACAGGTATAACATGTTTTAATGTTGGCATGGAATAATCAGTCGTAACACAAACTCATTTATACATTCTAAATTGGGTTACTTTTCGTTGTTTTTGGTTAAACAAGAAGCGAAAGAATCATGCTGCGATATTCTTCTTTGCACGTAAGACTACTGTTCCCCGACATCCAGCCTAAGCAAGGCTGGGCTCATATGTGTGTAAAACTAACATAATCCACTTATCCGTAGGTTGACAGATAGTGGTAAGCTTTTGAGGTGAATTGTAAATTTAAAACATAAAATAAGTTATGACATATAACCTCAGAAATTGCTCCACGGTAACTCATTAAAAAAGTCATAGAATATTAAAATCTAATTTTCAATTCTGGTGACAAGAGCGCAGGCCCTGCAATACCAATCAGCGGCGCACGGAGTGCCAAAAATTATAGCCTTTTCCCAAGTTCGAATTCATTGTCAAGGAGTCCGTGCAATCAAGTTTTTTTTAAGGCAAATTATTGTCAACTTTTCTAAAGAACTGGAGCAAAATCGGACTGCAGAAACTCTAAGGAGATCACAACACCAGTGTTGGTTGAATGGCCGAAAAGATTTTGCACACTGCCTAACTGTAACGAAAATAGCAATCGTCATCACTAAACTAATGTCAACAATAGCGCCAGTTTGTAGTTTGTAGCATTCCTGAATTGGTAAGTGTGATTTATGACGGAACGAAAATATGCCATTATGCCAAAACGCATAGCTTCCTTGACAGTGCGCTGAGAAACGCGTGTGGCCTTTTTGGATTATGCACAGGAGTTAAATACGTGACTATTAAATATGATCATGTCGACTTAAGTTGAGGCTCTCCATTTCTGATCAAAAAAACAAAAAACAAAAACCGACATTCGACCATAAGAACGTTCAGCCTTTTGGAGTGGAAAGACCTTGAGTTGAACGGCATTCAGTTCTTTGGTATTTTCCATTCTACTCGCTACTGTGTCAATTTTGACGTTAATTGGAGTTGCTTTTTATCCAAAATCAGCCAGGAGGACGAAGGAGAGCAGAATGCAACAGGCTGGAGAAAGTAGATGTCAAGCCGAAAATCGGTACGTTGACAGAATAAAAGCTCGGAAGACAAAATTGAATTATCACTGAAAACTAGAATTGACACTAAAAACATTTGGGTCAGACTGACCCAGGTGTTTTTAGAGTGTCCAAGTACTGACCGCAACGTTTCGTTTACAAATTTCGCCATGATCGGCTGTGAGCTTATCAGTGTCTCCTAGGCCTAGTGTGGTAATCCATTCTAGACGGAACGACATTCCATTTCACAATGGAGACACAAAACTCTGACAACGCGCTGGATAATTAGGCTGGATTCCGTTACAAGTTTAAAGTCATACTAGCCTACACTAAAGGCAGGTTCATACTTCAGGCGAATGCGACAACGAAGCGAATTGAACGTCACGAACAATTTGCAGCGAAATTTGGCCCGAGCTGAAATAATACATGTTCAACTTTTACAAATTCGCAAAGCGAACATTTAATCTGACGGCACAATTTCGCGTTCGTGTTCGCTTTCGCGCCGAGTATTGAACGGCCTTTACTCTTTCACTCAGTCTAGCCTGATCTTCTACTAATAATCTTCTCACCTCCGGTAATGAAATTTATTTTAGCGATGACGTCAATGCACACTGTGCTACTTACAGACGCTGATTTTGTAATGATAATGACGATAATGTTGCCAGTGACAACAAGAAACCCTTGGTTTTGCCACAGTTTTCACAAGCCTTCATGGGAGGCTGAGCGCACAACACATATGATGCCGAGCGGAAACGTCACTCGACATTACTGAGGGCCATCACAGAACCAAGAACATTTCAAGGCATGTTATCGCCATCCAAGGCAGCGACGTGTTGTTTTTTTTTCTGCGTCGTCTAACCCTGTGATATTATATTTACTCCCACCACTAAGGCCAGTTCATATACTCATGGCGAATGCGACAGTGAAATGTTAATTGCGAAATTCGCTTACGTTGAAATGTGCTCAGGTTTTTACGAAATCGCAGTGTGAATATTTGATCTGACGTCACAAAATCGCGTTCGCCAGTGTTCGCTTTCGCGCCTTACACGAACAGGCCTTTATACTTCTGCCCGTGCGCCAGGAATGCACGTGGGCCGATGCACAAGCAGGATGATTGCTTGATTGTCGTGACAGCAGTTGGCCCAACAAGGACTCCATTTCTGGATTGGACTCCATTTCCCGTACGTGCTGAAAACACAGCGAAGACCAAGGCCTACATTTGCCGGTAGTAATTTTCGTTTCCGACCATGGAGGAGGGGCAAAGCGAGAGACTGGAGGGGGTTAAAAGTCTCTAGCGAGAGGTTACCTGCCCCTTAGCTTAGGAGTCACTCTGTGTATGAAATCGGTGAAGGCCCTCTCCAGATCCAAGATATTTGGACAAAGTGGAAGAGATCAGCACAACGACAAGAATTTTCCGTCGAAGTCAGAAATTAATGGAACTCGTGCTCGGGACCAATCGACGTAGCGTTTTGAGTCATTCCATGACGGTTGGGGCACAATTTGTGATGGTATCACTTGTTACATGGGTTCCGTGAAAATTAACAGTTATTTCCCTGCATGTAGATTCCAAACTGACATTGTCATGCACCTTTTGAGGCTGAATACAGAGGAGTGTGTATTTTTTACTTGGTAAATTACCTACACTTCATGGCAGCCCGGGTGGTAAAAGTTACTGATGTAACAAGGACACCGTCACAAATTATGCCCCAACCTCATGGAATGACCCATTTACATGGAAAATTTCCTCCAGCGGATGTCCTTGCGGGGTTCCCCCTCTGAAAATCTTGATATGAACACAACAGGTCCCCACAGTTTACGCTATACTTCTTGGAGGTAGGATTATATTGGCAATTTCCCTTGTGCGAAAACGTTGGTGGTTACAACATTCCACGTATGTGTTATTTTAATCACAGGACTGACAGAGGGCGGCAGACTGGGAAAACAGTCGTTATTTATCAGCTGGCGCTTGCTGTCGACATGTCGTGCGAGCGCCAACTACAACCACGGATCTACCAACGTCACGCGAATGATAGATGACTGTCATACTCGCCGAACATCAAGGAACCATACCCAGGGGCGTGGTTACATCGCTGTATAGTTCTCAGTACCGTCCTTATCACCTTCCCTCGGGAAGCTGAACCAATCGGAGTGCTCGCAAAATTCGCTAGCGATTCCCATTAGTTGTGCACAAAACTAAAATGTCTTGTCCCAGTTGGTAATCAGATAGCCCCTGCACAAATACTAGACTAGTACCAAATCTACGGTCGCTCAAGTCTTACCCGCCCATGTGCCCACTGCCCATAACCAGCAGCGGTATTTTGCGTGTAGTTTATCGAGGCCACTTCCTGTGCTACAAAAATTATACTTTTAAACTCCCAAGGGGAATAGCTGAAATGCAAAGAAAGTTAGTGATTCGCGTTTGTCACTTTAAGCCTCGTGCATTATTTTCAGAGAACAAAGTTCAGTGTATAGTAAGCTGTGTATAAATTTATGCGCAACATGTATGCAACTTAATGTAATTTCTCGACATTCAGCGAGTTGTTATCTTTCCATTACACGCATGCAGAGCTCAGATTTAATACTGAACTGAAGCATTCGTTCTTTATTATATTCAAATATTTATTACGTAATGGAATGAATGTACAACTGAGATTTCCTCCCGATCGCCTCGTGCTTATGATTGAAATAAACGCAAATCTCTTGTTTCCTCTTGAAAATGTACCTTCTTAGCCTAGGCCTACCACTTATTTGATGCAGGCCCGTCGCCAAGGGGGGCTGGGGGCGCCCTCGTCGGTAAAATCACAAGTATTGTTGTTCTCGTGATGTGCTCCCTAAACAGCTGGTACTGTTGTCCCTTGATGCCTGAAGCTGGCGACGGGGCTGGTTTGACGTCGAGGCTTGGTATAGACCTTTATCATGACCCTGCGATGTTTGTCTTGTTCCCTGTAGACCTATTGGCAATACAGTCACATATTGATAAAAGAGAACAGACTCTTTCCCCTTCCAGCCTCAGTTAGGTTACATGGGTTTGAATGGTAGAAAAGTAAGATGGCTGCTTCACGATAGAGATCTATAGCTTCAGCTTATTCAAAATACCTTACAATGTCACCCACGTAATGTGAATTTAATTGTAAATGCAAGTTGGCTCAGTGTTGCCAAGTTCCACCTATCTGAGTTATCAATATACTCGCTTATACCACGCTTAGCACCCTGTCTCAAATAGTAATCTGAAATAAATTGATTTCTTCTTTCGAGAATCACGTGATATGAATTATTCTGGGAACAAGCTTGCGTGATGCACATCACCTGTCACGTGTGGTACCCATTTTCCATCAACACTATCAATTTGTCACAGAATCACGTTGGTTGCCTTGTCAGTGTGATGTTACATCCAGACGCATGTTTGAGACGAGTCCAATAAACTGCTCTCGGCTCGAGTAGCCCGGAACATTCTACTCTGTTTGGGAATTAAGTATCAAATTCTTTTCTGAGAAAAATATTGTTTCGTTGATTGCACTATGTCATGGCATGTAACGAAATGCGTGAGTGCCGTGCTGTGCGTGATGTTGGTTCGGTTCAGCGGATGTTACGGTGAGAGCGAGTCGTGTGGAGAGTTTACCCACCGCGTGGTGCGTGCTCTCGATGGGGCACTGGGCTTCTTCAGCCGGGAATATGACAAGGTCAACTTGGACGCTTTGGTGGGAGTCCGAATGGCACAGGGTAAGTTACCTACTTGCTAAATTCAAATTCAAATGGCAAAAAAGGCGAAAAACTAAACTTTGAAGTTGTGCTGACAGGAATTACAATGCACAAAACGACGGAGTTGAACCTGACAAAGTGGGCAATGCTCTGTTAAGACGACAAACGTAAAACTTAAGATGTAGGCTTTTGTAGTTGTATGAGGTACATCGTGTCTACGCATGGAACAGGTTAGATCTAGTGGTATTAAATAAACTAATTCTTCTAAATGGCATTTATCCCGCCAAGCCCATGAATCATTGTGACAGTTGTCACTGTCATGTCATGTCATCGTCCGTGAAAGCGAGACAAGTCACTGTGACATGGTTACCTGAGCTTTCGGTGGTTGACACTGCGTTACGAAGATATGGCACTACGCTGCGAATGCGGAAATGAAAGCGCATTGTCCCTGTTCGGTTTGAGGAAGTCCACGCGATTCGGCAGGTCTTGTAAATGGTGTGCAATTCTTTAAGAGACATTATGCGTTTTACACGATGCTATCGAATTGCCCCGCAGGGACTTTTCGCTCTTATGTATTGCGGAATGCATATCGACGTTTTCCCCCATCTGGGCATTGTACTGAAATGCGACCCTAATTTGATACGATAAAGGAAAACGGGAAGCTTGATGTGTGAAACACGAAACCTTTTCCTATTTGTCTTTAAGGCACTTGAGGTTTTTCCGCCAGTCTCATGCTGGGGAACCAAAATGCTAACCTGATGAATATATTGGTGAGCTCCTAATATCATAAAATGCCAGCTAAAGTCTACACGAACGAACTGTGCTGTGCGCTCGAGAAATAAAGTATCTGTATGATGCCTTCAGACGACGCGTTTGCTTAAACTGGCTTTCACATGCGAACAAGTTCAAGAAACAAATCTTCGAGCTCAAAATATTCCCTTCATTACCTGAATATTAAATCAGGTATACAGAAAAGTGACTTGCCACTATTCTGTTTTTCTAAAATGTAGCTCTTGGCATGCAAACAGCGTAAGCAGCATGATTCACAAAAATGACAGGGTTTATCATAAAACTGATTCCCCTATGGTTGGATTGACCGGCACTACAATGTTACTCAAAATAAGAATAATAATGTTACTCAAAATAGGAATAATAATGTTACTCAAAATAAGAATAAGAATAAGTCACAAGCGAGTTATCCAAACATCAAATGAATTAACCATAACCACGTTGCAACTGATCTTGCTATATTTCGGTGCTATAGCTGAATGCTTCAAAATCGGACCGCAATAAAACCATGTGGAAAGAAAAGGTATGATTCTTGTGGCAATTCAAATTAAACCCTGTTGGATTGCAGATTTTAAAAATGAAACAGTATACCAACTACCCCAAAAGCAGTTTCTAACGATGCAAGCGGTCATCGTTTCACTTTGGATATGTTTTCAAGATTTCAAACTTTATTAGCCGTTGCACTGGAAATTTTTGGACTTTTCCGCCAGGCAAGACTTTCCTGCTTGAATATTTTCTCCTTGCAGTTTGCTGTGTCACAATCTTCACTTCACGCTTCGCGGAATCCCCGGACGACTGCAATGTTTGTCGTTCCGCCTAGCTGTATATACACCATCTTTCCCCGTCAACACGACCCCAAACTTGGGAAAAAATTGATAATGCCAGCTCGTCCCCGCGGCGATGCATTTATCCCTTTCCGCGGTGTTCCTTCCGCTTATCTCTGCAACTAAACCGGGGACCCCGGAGCCAGGCCCGTCTGAGCTGGGAAAAGTTCGCGATCCATCGCTGGAGTTGCTTAATCCGCACACTCATCGCGTCTTTCTTAAAACACCATTCTGAGACGATAACTGTCCGCCGCATGGACGGTGATAGAACGTGGGGGAGGAGTGAATCTGTTTGATCGGTCGTTTCAGGGCACGCTTTTTAAGTTGGGCCCAAATGGAGTTTAGAAATGTATCGGGATTTAATCGCCAAGGGTTGTGTTTTTCCTTGCAGTAAGGATTGTAAGATGGACGGTCCTGCGTTTGGTTTGCTGCTAAATGGACGTTTGTGGCATGATTGAAAATCCTCAGGGCAACTGCATTTATTTTTGCAAGCGGGTTTGTGTGTGTATGTTTTTTTTAATGCTTCGTCACATTAGCCGAAACAGCTCATGTTGTGTTTTTGTCTGTTTCGCTTGACATGTGTTTCTGTAAAACATTTTGTCCGTAAAAGGAAGAGAGCATATCGGTATGGTTCCCAGTTGGTTTCCTTATTTGTTGAAATTTGCGGCTATACATCGATCCTTTTTTGTAAACGCAAGGAATACTCAGTTCAAAAACGAATGACTGAAGTCTTGTCACAAAATTTATGGTGCTTAGACGTTGCTTGGGGTACTGTGAATTTGATTTTACAGCAGTGGCGTAGCCACGGGGGCGACCTGGGGGCACGTGCCCCCCCCCAATAAAATTCCCGGTGCCCCCAGGTGCCCCCACTGAAAAGAACGGACGAATGGAGATTGAACAAGGTCAACAAAATGTTGCCCCTAAAAGCCACACCACTGAAAGCTGGTGCCCCCCATAAAACACTGGTACCCACTTTGTGCCCCCCCACTAGTAAAATCCTAGCCTCGCCACTATTTTACAGGCGGGTACAATGCCAACACGAGACAAGAAAATGTCCTCTTCTCCCATTACAGCATAATAAGAGAAAAACACACCGTAACAAGGCTCAAGTCTTCCTCCACCTTCAAACAACGTAATAATAAAAACGAAAATACTTCTTTCTCAATATAACATGATAAAGGACACGAAAATATCTCCATGGACATCACAATACTACTATAAGAGACACAAAGATATCATCACAATGTACAATATATGGGGTAAAAATCTAATCTAAAGTCTGGGGTATATACGGTATCTAATTTCACTTATGTTTTTCCTTCGTTAACAAGTATGTGTATTGTCTTTCAGCTCTTGAAAGCAGTGGACGCCATGCTTTCAAAAACGAGCTTATAAATATGTCGGCCGTTTTTTACGCAGTGTTGAAACTATTACTTCAGTGGCTTAACGTCACTTTGTGATGATGAAAATGAGACTGATTAGCATTTACCTTCATCATTTCTCAGGCCAACTCCGAGCTACACTTGCGGAGGTCGATTTCGGCAAAACACCTGAGCTGGAGACCTTTCGAAACGAGCTAGAGAAGTTGTCCGATCGGGCCGAGGCTATCTGTAATCAGGCCATCCCCGTGGTCAAACGCCAGTACCCAAAGGATTACCAAGGTGGGCCCAGTTCTAGCAGATGCGCTCAGTTCTTCTCTTAATCGAGAAAATGCCGTCAGAAAAATTTCTGTTTGTGACCAGGTGCCCGTTTTTGCAAAAAGTGTAAAAATTCAGTTTGATTGCGAATGAATTGTGTTCTTCAAATTTCTGAAATTTGCGTTTGACCTCACCCGGTCTACGAAGCACATTTGAGCGCTTTTCTACTACACTGTTTTTCCCCATTAAGTTCAAGAGGCTATTGTAGTTAATAGATCAAGAAGGCAAATAAGGTTTTTAACTTGCATTAAAATGAAGGAAGTCTCTGATTAAACATTCCAGCTAACAGCTATCATCAAAGTAAAATCTCATTTTGAGTGTAAACAACTTATACACTATATCTTGAACTTTATACGCATCTACTTATTTCATCACGACGAATCAAGAGTAGCCAAAATGTTTGTTCGTAACAGAAAACAAGAGCAGTGTTAGGAAGTATTGGTATTGCCAACAATAGGCCTCAGGGATAAAATATTAAACCATCATGCAGAATGGAGAATTGCATTTTGTGATCTTGAAGAAGGATCTAAGAAATGGCCTTTCAAGGACACCGCACAATGGCCACGTTTTCATCTGAAGTGTCCGCCCACCTCGGCACTTTGTGTCTTCCATCGTAGCGAGTAATCCTATCAAAGGCTCATCTCTTAATGGAAAATACAACTACATGGAACAGGGCTTGGTTTTCACATCCCGTTGCGCATAACTCCTTTGTGGGAACGTAGAGCTGTTGGGTTGGGAATATGGGAAATACTCACGGAAAGCGCATAATGTTTCTCTATTAACGAATCGTATCTTTTGAAAAACAAGGATGGTCATTATGACCACAACTTTGAGTCAGGTTGACGAGAAGCATGACCAAATTGGACGGTGATATACACGTTGAGTTAGCTGGCAAGATGGAAATCAATCAGCGAGAAAAAAATATATACTTTCTGTATTTAACACCGTTGTTTACAATCCAGTTTGCAGTCAGCAGCTTCCATGTTCTACAAGAAAACACAATACTATTGTTAAGTTTGAGACGCGGTATACATGCAGATTACACATTGCGACCGTAACAGACCAACATCAGCATTCCTTCGCGATTGACCATTTCGCTCAGTAGAAAAGCATATAAGCATGGCATATATCAGTGTACACAGATTTACAAGCAGGGGCACTGAATCTGTACATCGGTGAATATAATTATCCTGGTCGGGAAAACGCGATGTAAAACGCCCAAACCCCCTTCCTTTCGGGCGAATTTCTCCCCGGCTGCGTGATTCCCCGTGCAGTTCTTGTCTGATTTAATTTAGGACCCGTCCGTTGGTTCTATTGGCTTGTGTGGCGGGACTCCTAATGATCAGCATCAGGTGGAACGAGGCATGGAGACGACCCTGTAATGGAGGCATCAATTTGTCTCTTTTGAGTTACTAACGATGCCAACGAGGGCTAAAGTAATGCACCTGCAATTTTGGCGTCTGAATGAATAAACATTCGCCGCGCACATGTCGCGGGAATGAAGCGGCCTCGCCGTCCGCCCGCTGAGCTTATAGCGTTGGCGCTCAAGAACTGCGTTGTCCTGTAATTCCCTAATGCAATGATGGAAGAACTACGTGTACAAAGCCTCCTTCCTTAGCGTATTACGAGAAATGTGGAAGTAAATCTGGCTTATTTGTTCGTCCTTTTCTCCAGCATCTGCTATCACAGTGTTCTAAAAATAATGTATTATTTTTAGAACCTACCAACATTTCTCCTTCGTCGTCTCTCGTGAGGCAAGATTTTGCATAATACAATTATTCGGGGCTAATTGTCAATTTCCATTTTTACATGAGCCCTACATGACATGCAAATTCATAAATTGTAACAGTCTAAAGGAAAGTTCCCTTCCAGATCACGTGTTTACAGTTTGCTTATGCAGAAACATTTCAACTCCGGAGAATTTTGCTGATATTTTTGTGACGTAAATTCGTTTTGCGCATGCATTTGTGTTAAGCTCAAGTGGTCTCAAATCAAGGAAAGATCTGCTTTTCACCATTGCTTACTGAAAATTGCTGAAAACCTAACATTTAACCTATGTTAAAATTTATGTATAATTGTTCAAAAGACATAAACATGTAGAAACATGGACATTAACAGCCGTTTAACATACATGTAAACCTATTTTTCCCATCGTAATACCTGGACCACCCCTCCTTTAGACTTGGGTAGGCTGGTTAGCGAACACTTTTGGCGTGCTGGGAGAACGGTGAAGAGGCGCCAAACGGACCAGTCTCTCAGTAGCTACCCGCAGCAAGTCGACGGCTGGGAACCCCTCAGTGAACCGCTAACTGATCGGTGCATCAGCCAGCTTCTCGGAACAAAGTCAGTGTCCCAGCAGGCTATTGCCGTTTCACCCTTTTTCATGATGGAATGCAATTCTAATTCTATTTCCCTATCATACCGTCTGGTTTCATTCTTGTATTTGAAAAATGCATCATAACAAATCTGAAGTCGATAAAATGTTTTCACTGTACACATTACATGCCGTTTTAATTGTAGATCCCAGCCATGTACCATTACTCCGTTTTGCTGGCTTGCGATGACGCTTCGAGGCTATCGTAGTTACTCTCTCAGTCACCAGGTTCTTTATCTCATGGTCGGATCAATGGTGAGTGATTATCGTTCGACCTACCTTTCAAACCACAGCAAGCAGAACGACATATAAATCCAGTTGATTTTATTTAGGACTTCAGAAATTTAATTAGCACTGCTTGCATAACTTTCCTTGCCAGGGTTGCGTTTAAATCTCGGGATTAATAGAGTCTGAAAGTTGATCCCTGGTGGCGCGCTTCCGGAACCCTTGGACATTAAAAATAATGTGCAAAGATGTTAGAATTCGTAATACTTGTTCGTTCAGTTTCTTCCTAAAAATCCAACTTGGAAAAGGGACTTTGAAAATTTTTTGCTCGTATATCAATTTATAGAAACTGAAAAATTACCTGACCTAACAGAGAAATATCCTGCCCAAACTTGACTCATTACTTCTGAAAATCTAAGAACAGTGCAATACGGCAGTCTCGTACGCAGATGAATATTCACGGCTTGAATTTCCCTAGTAATTATTTTGGGAGAAAACAATGTCACTTTGTGTTTTTTAGGCATCAGCCATGGCCCTGAGGATCAAAGCCTTTGCTCCAACACTAAGGCAGAAAAATTAAATGTACCCAAAATTCGCCTTTCTCTGGTTATTTTTCAAAAGAAAATTTTGGCTCTTTTTTATGGGGGGCAAGTTCCCCCCGTCCATCCTTGTGTTCAGGTGGTATCTAGCTATGTAGAACTACTGATGCCCTCTGTGACATCAGGAGTCACGACAAGACATTCCCGATGAAACTCTCTGGAAATCTGCGTCCTTTGACCTCCAGATAGTGACCAATCGTTTGCCGTCTGTCCAACGCGATACTCTCATCAGTTTACACCCATTGTCAACTCGACGGTCTTGGTCCTGGTTCTAATCAGCCAACTAGCTTATGGAAGTCACATCAAATTTTCACTCCGAAATGCCAGGTTCGTAGGGAGTGGTCTCGATTGGCAGGAAGAATAGGCGATACTCAGCCGACTAGATTTTAATGTCATTTGTCTCTTTAACATTTTTTCGAGATGGGTTGTGACTCTCATATGATAAAGCGACTAAGTCAGCCAGGAATGGACGCACCGGGTGGGTCGGTGCTAGAGTCGCTCATGGATGGGTTCTGCGCTGACGTCTTCAGGGAAGCAAAGGCCACAGCCGAGGAAGCTTACCCGAGCGATGATCAAGATCTCTTCCTGGAACAAGGTACAGAAGGGCCCCAGCCGGCAATTGACTAAAATACACAGGCAAATCAATTCAAATCAAACATCATGTTTACCACGACGAGCGGGCTTTAACGAAAGTTAGTGTGTTGCAAAAAAATGGAAAACGTGTACACATCACTCCGTGCTGTTTATACCCCCCCGGAAAGTCACCCGAATTCACTGAAAGGTAACTCAACATGTTGGAATATAACCATGTTGGTAAAAAGGATCACGATTTCAGCTTTGAAAGCTTAATTAATCCTCTAAGAAAAGGAGTTTTCAGGGACACACACAAATTGGTGAGGAACACATGTAACCAGTTTCTGGTGGAAATTTTCTAGTTAAAAAAGGAAATTACTGGACTTTGACTGGACTTGACTGAAAGTTGGGTGGACTGATTCCAACGACCTTTTAAAGTCTTACTTATCTGTACTGTGTGTGTAATTCAGGAAGATGGATGCCTCCTTAGCGACGCTCGTGTTTGTGTTATGCCTCAACTTGTGCGCTGTCAGATATGGGGGTGAATACGCTAGGCCTCACATAATGATTTTCTCACGGGATTTGTCAATAGACACAATGAAATCAAAGCTTTATATTTCGTGCACTCCAGTGCTTCTATGCGGACTGAAAGGGTACGAGGACTTCTTCCAGTTACCATGGTTACAGGCTGTGCTCTGTTGGCAGAATGAAAGCGGATGCTTCCAAGATGATGTCTACCGCCCTCATGCGACTGATGAGGATAATGGTAAAAACCTAAGATTGCTATAACTGGACTGGTTTTTGTAATCACGCCTTGCTACGAGAAGTATAATCTCTACAAAGGCCGAGAGCGTGATTTTGAAAATGGGATGCAAATATAATCCAAAGACAATCCCCACAGGAAAAAAATAAGAAGAAAATCAGAAATCTTAGTGACAAATGGTATTGTATTCGTGTCGATTTCGTCATTGAAAACAGACAAACATACAAAAGTCTTCGTAATAAGAACAAGCATGGTGACTGGATCAAAGTTGGGCATAAGGTGTGTAACTATGACAGGATAAAGAAACAGAAAAATGCTCCCTAATTCTGTATTACCTATGGTCGTATTATAAATGATCGATTTTCAAGGTATCCCCAATGATTTTGATCGGTAACAATGTTTCTTTCCTCCAGCCGAACCCGATCGTGTCGTTGTGTCCGGTCATATCAGGAAAAGGAGACGGGAGAGTGAAGTAAATGGTAAGTCTTGGCCACTAAGGTCCGTCATCATTAGCAAGATGGTACAAGCGTGCTGTGGATCAAGCAATGCCCGTCTTGAGTGGAAGCACCCCTTCATCGGTTGAAAGAGCCATGTTGGTGGAGAGTGTTCATTTATCGGTAACGACGCAACCGTAACAAACGGGTAATTCCAGAAAGTAGGATCCAAAAGTGTGACATTTTTGTGTGCCGGTTGCATCTGACCTTTGTTATTTGACTTAGAAATATCACCGGAATTGATTTCAAGCTATTACTATATGTTTGGCAGGTAATTTGCAATAATTCATCGCTCTTGAAAATTAGAAAATGTGTTCTGAACTTGCAAAACCATATGTCAGATGTGACAGGAACACGAAAAGAAATGGACCCCTAATTTCTGGAATTACCCAATGCATTTCCCCGTCATTAGTGAAGGATTGAAGTGCAGTTCCCAGCAAAGGAACTTCCCTTGTGAAAGAAATTACGCCCTCTTTTGGTCCCGCTCAGGCCTCATAAAGCCGAACTGATTTCTAAACACCGTACATCTTCAGTATATGTAATATAGCAGCCAAGCTCCATTCGTGCCCCTCCCCCTTTTTTAGGTTAAAACCTTGGTTATGCGAATGCAAATGGTACCACCATTGCAATTACAATATAATGAGATTTTTTTTATCCTTACTTTTCTGCTAAATATAATGATGAATAAGAGGCTCAATACGTTTCAATGGGTGCCCTAAGGTCTGAGTAATTTTGTCGTTCTTTCCAGTCTCGTTTTTCTCTAATTTTGGAAAAAAAGTTGCAACATGAGAAATGCATGGGAAAGCAATGCTGTTGAATATGTCTCTGTCAGCCAAGCCTACATAATTATTTTCAAAGGTACATTCACACAGCAGTAATTTTCAAGATGCAAGGTCGTCAGCATTGCTTTACTGTTTTGAACTGTTCCAAGCGTTTGGTTGATGCCAACATTAAGTGATTTCCTACCAGAGACTTTAAAAAACTTGTAAATCTTCAACAAATGCAACATAATTTATTGTACAACCATGAAAGGAAAACGAACCGCCCGCTCCCAAAACAAAACAAAAATATCTCTGTTATGTGGAGGATGGTCTATTTCAGGTCAACCCGCGCGACCTTCTACACAATATTTTAAATAGATAACATTTACAAACTGTGCATTTCAGGGATCAACTGCGTCACCATTTCAGCGCAAATCACCCAGTTAAACGTTTCCTTTAACATTTCAAAAGTACGACGAACAAACTTTTGACATCATAATCCGTTAGTACCACGGCGGCAGTATCCGCTCCGAGCGGAACAAAAGAGGGCGTGCTGTTTTTGGTACTCGCCGCATAGACGCGCCATGAGGCGCACAAGTATTTTGCGCGTTTGACGCAGAGTACTACATTATTCCGGCATGTACGGTCTTTGCGTACACGCAGAACGTGTGCAAGAACCCACTTATAATCAACTTTCTTTCGCCGATTGGGGGTGCACTTCAGCTTGGGGCGGTCACGTCTTTTCAATTATCTCAAATACTTCTTTAGTTTTAAGCAGCGGCATTACGAAGGTACTGCAGAGGCTTACCCACCATCGTCATGGTGACATGGTTGCCGGTCCGGATGCACTACAAAAATTGTGGTGTAATTGCTATTAATTTAACACCGTACGTGTTATAGGAGCTCTGATTACACCCAGGGTGTTTAATTAACGCCTGGGTTTTTGTGGTGTGGCATGAGTCGGTATAAGACCATTATTAGTCCTGTTCTTTGATTTGACGTCTGTGGTGTCAAAATGGAAAGCCGCTATTTGGTCAAAGATATTAATATGTACACCTTAGGTCTAATTTAGATCTAACGGCAACGCCCTCACTAATGCAAGATTCCCTAGACGTTAGTACAAATACGAAAAAAGGGGGAAGTGAGCAAACAAACACAACCATTTACATCGATCAGGGGTGGTTTTTTGTAGACATCGCCTATTGGTAACAGTAATTGATTACGGAACAGTAATTTTATGATGCTGGTGGAATGAACGGGTGCTACACATGACACAATAATGCATGTAATGCCTTGAGAGCAGTAAAAGTGAAACGCTTGATTATTGCTGTTGACCAGCGTGTGTCTAAGGCACAGTGAATCCGGTTTCCCCTTTTTTTACAGGGACTGGTTGTCTGATGCACAAGACGGCTGTTGGCACGGGATTTCTATCAATTTACTTACGGAGGCTAATTGGAACCATGGCAACTGGAATAACTAATACCAACTGTCTCTGACACCATTTCCGGCTGTGTCAGTTTAAGAAAAGACAATGCGAACGACGGGGGACACCATTCGGCGAGGCTGAAGCTGTGATTTAAAATGTTGTTTGAATTTATACCTGCATTCCATTTTAGTTTGACAGTTATGTGTGAAATATTATGTGCAGATTGGTGCCGAGGCTCTTTGAAAGTTAAAACGTGAAAATTTTCCTCAAGTAATTTTGTCAAACATAAATTAGTTTCACGGCTGATTTCTGGTATTAGAAACCAATTAAAGATTCGTTTATGAAAGTAAACATCAGAAAGGTATTGCATCAAGTGGGCACTGACAGAAGATGATGACGTATTTCAGAGATAGGAAAGTATCAGAGGTCACAGATTATGGTAAAGAATATGAATGGACGGTGGAAACACAACCCAACTTTGCATAAACCAGGAGGATAATCTTTGCATTTATGTTTCCGTGACAACCAATTAAGTTACCAAATTGGTTGTTACAACAATAACTGGGCGACCCTTTGGCGGTCATGCATCATTCATGGTAATTCTAGAAATTAGGGGTCCATAAGTGTGACATTTTTGTGTCCCTGTTATACATCTGCCCTTTATGATTTGACATGGAAATGTCACCGGAATTCATTTCAAATTATTACTATTTGTTTGGCAGGTAATTTGCATTAATTCATCACTCTTGGAAATTAGAAAATGTATTCCGAACCTACAAAATCATATGTCAGATGTGATGGGGCCACAAAAAATGGGCCCCTAATTTTGGAATAACACTCATTTAAATGTTATTTCTTCAATCCTACGTCATTGAAATGTATCTTTTAAGGTAATACAAAAGTAACGGTGAGATTGATAATTATGTGTCCCAGTTAGTGCTGCGTTTATGAGCAAAACTCATTATAAAAATCAGTTGACTGAAAGAAATAATATTGACCAAGGAATAGTGGTGGGTAGTTTACTCAATCGGAGACAGTTTTCGATCGACTTGAGGCAAACCAAAGCAAGTCTCTGGTGTAACATCCACACGGGAATGGGTAATCAATCAGCCAGTTTTCTCACAAGCTGCATGCTTGTTGACTTGGAGCACAGTTGTCATAGTAACCGAGCTCAGGTGACAGCTTCTATCTCAAAGCAAGAATCCTTGCTTTTTGTCACAAGACCAGGCTATGCGCGTGCTGGTAACCAGACTTCACTCGGAAAAATTGTAACGAAACTGACCAAAAATTTCACGCTTGCTATATCTATAGGAACGATGAATCAGTGAAAATTTAGGCTTGTGTGTACTTTTTTCAGAAATCTCCAAATGCCTGAGAAACTGCTTGCTCGAAATATTTAAACAATTTTGCACGTGACCCTGTGTGCTGCTTATTGTTTTGAGGTCTCAATCTACACTCTTCTTTGGCAATGAGCGTGATTATTGGAGTATTCCTCTTTGCAGCGATCAAAGGTAGGTGTCCATTCGTCTCATTGTAACTTCTTTAGAAAGCCAATTGTTGATAATTTCTCTAAACATAAATTTCAAAGGAACAGTACAATATCAATGTATAAAAAAGTCATTATTGTTTTCTTTTTGCGAAGCTTACATCAAAAATGTGCAAACGTTTGTCGCCGATTTGAACTTTGTTTTCTACTTGACGTGTTTAATTAAAGAATGTTTGTTAACACGATTTTTTCCCTGCATACTTTCCTGAGTTTGCCGCTGATGATCATGAATTGCGATGTATTTCGTTACTTGCACCTGATACGGTAAAAGACTCGCGACCAGCGGCATATCAATCTTTTGGTGGGGGGGGATGCAAAAGCGAATGCAGCTTCGGGCTCCTTCAACATGATGTTGGGGGACCAAAAAATATCAAAAGCATTACTCGTGGTCCAGACATCCTTGCTTTTATTTAGTGGTGTTGCTTTCTTAGGGTTTTGTGCCAATATTTGATCAATAAATATAAACAAATAGTTGATATTTAAATATGAAAAGTGGAAAAAAGTCTTGTTTGTTTGTTTGTTTGTTTGTTTTATTGCGACTGGGAGTATTACACCTTTGAAGCTACACTAGCCCATGGCCTCAGCCGCTTAGCAGCCAATTAATTAAAAAACATGCTCAATTTCTTCTCTCCTTAGACCGAAAGGGGTACAGTGTCGTGTTAATTGCACAACACACCGGTGTCCCCCTAATTTAAAGGTGGCGTCTAAATCGGCTGGTTTAGGTCTGATATTACGCTCAAAATTAATGCCAGACGCTTCCACAGACGCACACTTATTTTTATGTTTTAAGTGGCTGGAGTAGTCAGGAATGGGGGCCTTGCCATCGGATATCATTCGAGAATCCTTTGCTCACAGGCGAAGTGATCGTCGGTGGTGGCGGTGTTTCGCTGGTCACAAAAATGTTCAAAAGTGGTCATACTTGTACATGGAGTACACGAAGGAAAAAGAGACACAACAAATGTGAAATCCTTTTTGAGAGTTCCCAAAACACTTATTGGAAACCTAAGGAAATGGTGTTGTAACATTCAGACAGAAGTTTGAAAGGGTATGTGTTTTTCTCTGCAAGGCATTGCACGGGGGGGGGGGAGCAGTGGGTGAGTTGGAACACCCAAATACACCAAACCAGGCTTACCCCGAGGACCACTGGGGTAATCCTGGGGGTAGTGAGTGCACCGTGCAAGCTGTAATACGGAACAACTATCCCCATCCAAGGGGCTTTGTTTCTTTCTGAACAAAGCCGGTGCACTGCTCCTGCCATGGGTTGTTTCTTTGCTTTAAAACAGTGACCGCGTTTTGGCAAAAGATAATACTATTGGTTTGTGGACTCGAACTTATCTCCAGCCTCGCTCTTTCATTTAACTTAATTAGCTTGCTGTAATCAACTGGGCATGGAGAGTGGTGAAATAGGGGACGACCAACTGTCCACATCATCCATTGGTCATTCTGGCTATCACAAAGATAAGGCATGACTTCGTAGCACCGGTGAGTACCATTATTATTAACATAATCCACCCCGAGCTGAAGTGCACCCCAATCGGCGAAGGAAAGACAGGTGGTTACAAGCGGGTTCTTGCACGTGTTCTGCGTGTACGCAAAGACCACTGATCTCCACATTGGTCAAGTTCGGGCGGCCTGTTCTTGACACACCGTTTCTTGTTCTCGCGCTCGAAATGTGGATTTTTTAAACCGTAAAAAGGAAGCTATAGGACATACTGCGCCTTTGCGCTTTGAGGCCAACCAGTCAAGTGTCCAGCCGGGGACGAGGGTGGTAAAGGTGCCCCCGGGAAATATGTTTTCATTTTCTTCAAGGAATCAAAGCGTCAGCATCCTAGAAAAGGTATTAGAACCTTTCGCAGGGGCAAATGTTGAAAACAATGGGACAGTCGTTTGTGGGAAAATCCACTTTTCCCCCTAAGGACTAAAGACCTGGATACGTCACCGTCTCCAATGTGAATACTCTTCCTCCTCGTTGCGTAAAGGCCGGTTCATACTTCAGGCGAAGCCAAATGTGAAGCGAATTGTCAGGTAAACGGCACACGTCACAATAGAACTTGAATTGTTGGCGTAATGAAATTTGCTTTGTCTTCGCTTTCTCGTGAAGAGATTGACACCTGTGATTTTTCAGTCGCTTGACATCGAGGTGACAGTGGTCACTATTTACCGAGTAGGAAATCTCCTAGGCATTTCATGCATTCTACGCCTACGTAAGCTTACGTGAATCGATCTGTACAGTTAAAATCCACAGTGTTTTGTTGAGTGGTTCGGCGTCTAGCAGTGGTGTACCGTGTAGATTCTCTTTTCGGGGGGGGGGTCCCAGGGCGGGGGGGTAGTTGTCCCTGCCCCCAACCTCCTTTGCTACGTCACTGCTGTGTAGATCACTCAGAACCATCCACTAAAATCGCAGCTGCTGTACCTTAATGAAGTTAAGTCCGAGCGTCCTCAAAATTAGTGCCTACCCAAATCAGTCATCGTACGAAAATCAAGAGTTTTAATAACTTCAGCAATCCACGTAATCTTCACAATCTAGTTGTGGTGCCTGTTATCTTGGAAAGACCAAATACAGTGACGTTTAGTCCTATTTCCCTATTTGGATTGGGGGAGGTAGGCCTATATGAGGTGTTTGTTTTTTTTTAAATATGTACCCCTATTTGGATGGAGGGGTGGGCCTACTATGGGGATTTTCCTTATTCTGCAAGCTGTGCTTAATGAAACTTTGATCTGAGGACCAATACATGACTCCATGAGCCATTTGAGTTCAGTGGGTCCTAGGACTTGATTTGGTTTCACGTCTCTGACCCTCATCGAGATGTAAATTTGAAGTTTATAGACCCAGTTATCCCCCTGAGAAACATAGCTGCAATCTCGCGTGTGGTGGCGGTGGGGCAACTTGAATGAGCACTTATCAACTTGAACATTTCCTGGAGGTATTCAACGGTTAAGGCGAGGAAGGCAGCAGATATGACCTTTACTCTATGCCCCCCGATTGAGCGTGGTTCTCGTTTCCCAAGTTTTCGACGATAAAAGTGAATTCGGGCAACACACATTTTAGACAACACAAAGCTTCGGGTGAAAATCTGCGAATTTTCCGGGTAGATTTTGAGACTGAGATGGTTTGTGGACGCTGAAATATCTAAACGGTTTCCCCCATTATTGTCAAGCCAGGACAAAACCTAAGGACAGTTATTTGGAGGCCCTTTGCAACACGAAGTTAATTTTTCCAGCTACACTAATTGACCTCCGTCACAGAAATATCCTTCAAACACAATAATGTCCACACGATTACAAAATAATGACTGCGCCGAAATTACAGTCAGACAGTGCAAGACTGACGTACGTGCGATTATTATCGAGGGCTAGACATGTTTGCTGTATTTCATGCGGATAAATGGGCAGTAAAAAAAATGAAATTGGTTCCAGAAATTTTCCCTCCTTGTAAGTTAAAGGTTATTATTGTTACATTGGGTACCTGCCGGGACTTCAATAAAATACGCCTGCTAGGTTTTCTAATGACAGACGTCAATCTTTGCCAAATATCCCTGTTTGAAGCAAGGGTGTGAAAGTATAGGCCTTCTAACAGAATATTCTTATGAAATTGAATAATGTCAACCAAATCCTTCCCTTTTTTCACATTTGATCCATCATAATGCTCTCTGTGGGGGTGTTGACATTGCATAAGCCTGTGAGGGGGTCCAACGCGAAGCATAGACGCGGAGCAATTACAATCTATAATTCAAGGAACTTTCCTCTATTTACTTCTTCAAGGAAAAACTTTGGTCTACAACAAAACTCGTTATAACACATTACTTTTCACCTTTGACAGTTCATATCACGAGTTCGATAGAATGCATGGGTATATTACATTCCCTGCAAATTATCGAAGGGGTACTCAACCAGTGCCGCAACCAGGATGCTCAAGTGGCCCCTCCCCCACGTTGTGCTCCAGGGGACTGGGATTTACTGATATCAGAGTTAGTGTAGGTGTATATTGTACTATGTTGTTTTTTTCAGAAAGAAGGAAAAACACCGGGGAGCTGATAGGGCTTATTCGAGTATAGGCAGTGCACATCTAGTACCTTTCTCATTGTACGCTTTACAATACACGGAAAACATGTAAGAATGACACCTGGTGGCCATTTTGTTATGATTTTTATATGAGGTCAAAGGTGACATGGTCGACTGACTTTAAAGCAGATGCAGTGGGGTATTCGGGTCTTCGGTCGGGGATGGGTAAAATAGGAGAATGTCTCAAAAGGCAACATACTTTTTTTCATTCATATGAGAATCCCAATCGCCCCATCCACCCACCCCCAAAAAGCCAACATTTAAGGCAAAATTGGTTGTACCGTCTCGAAAATTACTTTTAAAAAGCACATAAGCCTACAAACAAATAAATTGGCAACATGTCTAGGGGGCTTCCCCAGCCCCCTATATCCATTAAAAAAATGAGACCGAGGGGTACGTACCCCAACATGTCCAATCGGTATACACACTCTAGACTATTGTTACCTAATACATCCCCCTAGATGTCTGAAAAGAATTCCTCAGATTCCAGTGAGACAATGACGAACACAAAGGGGGGGGTTCTCTCCGTCTCATATCTCACTTCACATGCAGCCCCAACCCCACCCCTGACACGCTACTGAGAAGATGCCACATTCTGAAATGGGGCCGAGGAGGGATGACATTCAGAGAGCGCATTCGGTTAACAGATGTTGCAAAGAGTCCCCACTAAGATGTCTCACTTCCTCTACCATACTCGTTGATTTCAATATTGGCCCCTTTTCGCAAGAATGCCGCTCCCTCAGTGTCACAGGTTCGCCAGCCATCACGCGGTCAAGCTAAACTGTTTTGACGTCCCGTATGACATATTTCTTCGAATGTTTCCAGCCAAGTGGAACTGTCTGTGCGTTGAATTGGGAAATTCATTTTGAAGTCACTGACTCGCGTTAAAGGTGAAGAACGATGCGATATGCGCTAAAACGTTGAGCGCCGTGTATGTATCACATCATTGAGATTCAGTCTAAGTGCAAGTATATTACAGTGCAATGCACACGTATATGTTTCTACTACCGTCTGGCCGCTTATGACTTGGAGTATTGCCTGCAGAAATTAGAGTCATAGGAACGTCTGCTGACCCATTAGAGAGACACCCTCTATTGTCAACCAACGCAGTTTTCTTTTTAATATTGTGCACAGGTGCAGTCAACATTTGGAATAGGCCTACGAGATCTTGCAAGGATTCTTGGCATCGTGATTTCGAAAAGTTGTCATTATTGGCGTTTGGGGAGTTACTAATTCACGTTACCAAACGTCTCTCACGGTCAGCGTAAGCTACCTCCGCCTAAGATCGCTTTGCATAACGAGTCCCATGGGACCGTCTATGTTGTATGCCATAATGCCCTTTCTCTAGCTCCCATTAGCGAGCTGCATGACGAATCCCCTGGGAACGTCGATTCCGGATGATACGTAGCATGCATACAATGCCCCTTATTTCAGTCATCAACCAGAGTTTTTAAAGTAACTAAGTTCACTCAAAAATAAGATTGTCTACGAGCGATTGTTGCTCTGCACATGCGTAGATGACTTTACAGAGGCCTAATGTTTATTGTTACGATGGATACATAAAAGGTCGAATGTTCTCTGTTTGAAAACATTAGATTATTCCACAAGGTAGAAAACTCTATCCATGGTCAATGACCTATTACAATTTATATCCTTTATACCACATGGGGCAATTACTCTGACGGTATTATATATATATCTTTTATACAACATGATACTGTATAGCATTATAAAAGCCAAAACAGTACAATTTCTCTCATTTGGACAGTTGTAATTTTATAACTCAAACCACACCATAGGCGACGTGTCAATCCTTGCTGAAATGAGAATGATGTTGGACTTTTTAAAACATTTTAAGATGCTGCACGAATGGGAAGAGGATGTTGATTGCGTGTACACGCAAAGTGAAACTTGTTTTTTATAAATTGTCATGAAAGCAGTGTAGTTTCTTATGCCTTATACCTAACGGACATGCCGGAAGCAGACGGGTTGACCTCCAGTATCGCCTGATCCTTTACAAAGAAGGAAAATACTGTTAGTTATTACTGTTCAACAACAACAAGCATCGGTGTGAGTTGCTTCGATTAAATGAGACATGCGTGATTTTTACACCACACCAAATTAAACGACGCGATATTTACTGTAAATTATCCTCTTACCAATTTCAATCAATACACTAAACATGAGAGAACACCCATGCTGTAAAGAAAATTCCAAGACAGATTAATGAAATGAAATGCAGGTCAAAGATAAGATCAAGAGAAAATCAGGCTGGGCATGATGAAATACATATGTGTAAATCTTAATTTAAGTGGATAACTGCCGCGTGTGTGAAGGTTGCGCAAGCGGGCAGACTGTTGATTCAAGTGTGCGTTATCAGTGACGCCTCCATATACGTCTAATCACTTACCACGTGATCGTGACAAAATTAGCTGATTGGCTCAGAATGTAGGCGATGACTATAAGCATCGGCGGTTCTGTGAACCATTCCTCAGTCAGCGATGGAGACCCTACCGATCTTGCAGGTTGGCACTGAACACAACACTACAGATGGTCCGTTAACGGAAAATGATCTCGCTGGCAGCATTGGAAGCCGTAATGCCTTAGGGATAGTTTTATCGGCCATCTTTTTGATTATCATTATTTGCCTGTCCATTCTTGGCAATGTAACTGTGATCATAGCTATAATGAAGACCCCTCGCTTGAGAGAGAAAACATCCAGTATATTCCTGATCAACTTAAGCGCGACAGATCTGCTGAATGCCACACTGGTGATGCCCGGTGCGTTGGTATCTCTGATTGCAGATAGGTGGCTCTTGGGGATGTATTGGTGCTACACCCAATGCGCCCTCAATTACTGGTTCATCATTGTGTCCATGTTAACTCTTGCCATGATCAGCATTGATGGGTTTTATGCTGTTATACACCCGTTGCATTATATGAACATAATCACGCCAAAAGTGACTAGACTTGGCATCTGCTATGCGTGGTTCCAAGGGTGTGTGTTCGCCTTGATACCTGCTCTCTACCGCTGGGTCGTCTACGATTATTGGGAGGTGGTTTGTGCCATCGATTGGGACAGCTACCGCCCAAATGGGGCGTTGACCTACGTCATCGTTGCCTTTATTTTGTGTTTTCTGGTTCCCAGTATTGTGATGACGTACTGCTACACCAGAATATGCCGCGTTGCGAGACAGAAGGCAGCGAGGAGAGAAGGTGGACGGCCAAACGCGAGGAAACACATCAACGACAAGCGGGTCATTCAGAGCTTAGTTCTGATCGTGGTCATCTTCTTCCTCTGCATGACGCCTTTCTGCGTCACCAAACTCATCAAAATCTTCACCAGCACCAGCGCTCTGCCACCCTACCTCTACCTAGCCTCGGCCTGGTTCGGCTACCTCGCCAGCGCCACCAACCCATTCGTCTACGCCATTTTTCGGCGGGACTTTCGCCAAGCGTTCGCCAATCTCTTCTGTCGCGGCCAGATATTCCCTGGCTTGGTGCCGGCAGCCCCTGACGCCTCCAACAGGCAGATCGACGCGCAGCACAGGAGGCAAACCGTGAGCCCTGCAGCAGCCACATCAGTATGCTGACAGGATGATGTGTATGTCGAATAGAATTTAAAAGCACCCCAGCTTGCTTCATAAAAGCAACATTGAAACAAGCAGTGGCCAAAGACTTAAGTACAGCAGACATGCACTAACGCTTGGCTAGACATAATACTTCAATGTTACTCCGACGGTCCTGAATCTTTCACCTCCTGGAAGACTGAGGACTACTAGGATTTATGAAGTATACACGATATATACCCATGCACTGTATCGCTGCGAAAGCGAGATAATTATTGTTGCCCATCAAAGCCTAATTGTTGTGTTGGTATACAGTTAAACACACGTCACTATCAAAATAAAAGTCGTCTCGTCTGTGATAGTAGTTTCGGACTGCACAATGTTCTAAACCTGTTCGGGTCGTAATAACAATACTCTACGGTATCAGATGAGGAAACAAGTTGCATTGCTCTTTTGGGCATACACGATTCGACTGATTCTTCATGTTCATGGCTTCGCATCATTTGTCACAAACTATGAATATCAGCGATCCGTCACAATTGGTGGAACACCTTCCAGCGGTAGCAATAAAGATTACCGGCGCCCGTATACACATACGCATCTCATTCAGTTTTGCATGAAATTTGGGCCATGCAATCATGCTTTATAGGAGTCGAGCAATGAAATTAACTTCAACGCCCTCGCACGGGATGCAGTTTTTTTTAATGTCGTGTGCTATTTCTCTACTTACATTATATCTGATTTTAAGAAGTTTGTTTTTTTCAGCACTAATTATGTCATTGTCATTTCATTAGGCATATCATGAGAATGTAATTAGGAGAATTTTTCTGTATAAAACCGGCTCACTGGCATGATTTGTGAATTGCAACTTCCTCTGAAGTGGTTATCAGCTCATGTATGTATGTTGTACTGTTTATGGCAGGACTCCACCACAAGAAGAAACGATACCTGAGTATCCTGACATTTTCGAACTTGGAACGCTGCATCCAGAGGGAATGAACGCGGATTTTTCCGCGTTCATTCAGAATTGAATCTGCTTGCCCTGAAGAAGGTACTCATTTACCGAAAGCTCGGCAATCATATATTTCAGAGCACTGATTTAATCTTATATTCTTGTCGATATTCTGATCACGGTGCTACGCAGCCCTTCCTTATTTCCCTGTACAAGACGGTGTTTGTTTGCTCGCTAGTCTCGGTTCAAGTTGGTTGTCTTTTGCTGTTTTTACGGTGTCACGTGTCGTCTAACAACTGCGCAAAGTTCCATAATGTCCAAGGCTCACAGAGGTTTGCTGCGTCGAAAGGCCCGGAATTCCTCCTTAATTTTATCGGAGGAACTCAACGATGTGTAAGTGTCAACGTCTCATAGGGGATCGCTCACAATCTTTATCAAAACCTGATAAGCCTCCCCCACCCTGTTCTCTCATCTTAAAGAGCGCTGAGACGGCTGTATCATTGAAATAAATGATAGTCCCTTCAATTTCAATACGGGTGGCATCCATTGCAACTCGATTCATATTCCAAGGGGATGTGAGTGCATGGTAGGGCGTCCCCTCTCTCTCGATGTCTATTCCAATGCGAGGCTGCCCGCCTCGCGACTTTTAGTGACAGTTTTGGGCTTTTTAAAGTTGGTTCTGCCGCCACTTTGGTAAAAAAAACAATTGTTAATAAATAACATGTAAATCCGTGAATTTGTTTTTCAGAAACTGAACTATTTCTCTTTCCTACTTTTCTGTTAGTAATGTGTTTCCATCGGAAGACAAGATAAAACAAAGACAAAACCTATACGTAAAGTTATTGTGTCGATGTATCTCCCGATAATACAATTAAATTGTCGTTTTGTATCGCGTTTTCTCTTGGGCGTAATTTCCAAAATCCTGAAAAACTGTGCGGTATGAAGCGCTGATACGCTGGTTTCCGCCTCTGAATGTAGTGTAATAGTCAACCTCTATCCCATGGGTACGATCTTGCCGGCCATGTTCCCACCATGCCTTGCGCTAACTATTTAAATATCCCACTATGGGTGCGTTCGATTAGCTTAACGTGTAAGTCAAACTTACACGAGAGCGTTCGTTTAGCCATCACGTGATCCTCGTGCCTGCCCAGGTGTCAGCCACTACTACCCCGGCTGCCGAGCGGGTCTCTGGAGGCTGCCCGAGTGTAATAACGTCACGCATGGACTGTTCGTGCATGGACGTACATGATGGAACGTGGCGGGGACTTGACCTTTTTCCCTGAATGCCTTGGCGGGTACACTGCAGCGTTCGATTACCCTCATTTCGAGGCTCCCCTTGCGTGTAACACTGGTGTAATCAGGGAAGCTAATCGAACGCACTCTATTTGGGATATTTAAATTAAGACTTTAGGCAGTGTTTTACGCGCGACGCAGATTTACGCGTGCGTATACGTGGGTGTGAGCGTGCAACTTTTGAAATACGCGCGCGATTGACTTTACGTTTATGTATCTGGTTCGTAAGTGACTTCGTCACAAAGGCGGACGCGCCACGATTTGCAGGCTCCCATTGGACGATCGCTGAAGTTGCGCGTTAACTTCCAGTTCCGTGGCTCCCTGTAAACGGTACGGCGATCAATGCATGATAACTCTATGTGCAGTGCATGTACAGTGGGCGTCGTTTAAACTGAACTGACGTGACACTTATGAACCGGATTTCATCCTGAATAGCCAGTCAGCGTCATTTTCGTATTCTACACGATTTTCAGCGCGCACGCAGCCCATGGAGTCGAGGATTTGTAATAGTATATCTACTAACAAGATCAAGGAACAATATGTATCAATGCAAGAAAGATAATGGAAAGGCTGGGAACCAGCCTGGACCCCCATGATGACAAGGTTCACGCCCGATTACGACAACGTGAGAAATGTCAAAAAGTCATTACTGGAATGGATTGAAATCCTTGATGAAGACCCCCTGGGGCAAAGCCACTGAACTTGCTGTATGTGTCTGTGCCTTTGTTTCCCCTTCATGTTTCAATTTTGAGGACAAAATACTTGTGTACCTGTGTGCAGCGAATTTACCTCATGACCTCGCCGTACCGTGTGTAGGCCTATTATAACCATCGCGTCTGGTCCAAAATGTTGGTCTCGACCAAAGATCTTAAAGCGCCGCGTAGCAGCGCAAGATGGGGAACTTCACCATGAATGGGCGCCATTTCGGTTGGACTACACCTGCGCAGTGCATGTTAGTGCACAGGCACAGCGACAGACGTTAACGTTCACACTCAAATGGCACCCTTTTTGGTCGAATTACCTATCCTGCGCTGTTTACGCAGCGCTATATATAATCTTTGGTCCCGACCATAGACAGGTTATTAATGTCTGCGGTCTCAACGCAGTACTGAAACTGTGCGTTTCGGACACTGTTGGTCGTTGTCCCACTCGACTGAAGGCACCTTTCCATAATTATGTACGTTTTCGGGTGGGTTGCGTACGCGATGCGTTCATGCGTTTCGCTTTATACGAACACAAAAATCGACTCCATTGACATAACACACGGATATGTGCGTTGCGTTCGACCGTCAAAATCGCCTCGGGAAGATTTGTACGGATAAGCAACGCTTGACGCAAGTGTTGACGGGCATTTGGAAAGGCGCCTTAAGACGGAAATTTACTTCATTCCACTCAGTACGATCATGTTGATAAGTCTTTACTCCGCAAAATATGCATCACAGTTTGTTTCAAGGCGAAAGTTTTCATGAGTAAAATAAATATTTCAGGGTTAATTTATATTAGATGCAAAATACAAATCAATTGTCACTTAAACAAATCCCGACCGGCCCATCGTAAGTAATCAAGGGCATACATTCATTTCATTAGCCTAATAATCAAATGAACTTTATCAATCATTGCTTACGAACAGTGGAAAACAAAATGGCCACAGATTACCAGACTGGTTTGCAGAGAGAATATATTGAGATAAAATAATCCTATTTCTCTACAAAAAAAACTTTTTAACAGCTGGTTCACACCTTATTAAATGTACATATCATGAGAATGTTGACGCCGGTTCACGTGCAGTTGGTGACGCACACGTTTACTGTGCACGCTCACGTTTCCTCATATTTTTTTCATTTTTTCACATACATGTATATATGTTCATTACCTCGTACTCGTCGCTACCCCAGGGGAAACCCTGGTGCACAGCATGTAATAAGCAGCCAATATTCGGAGTAGGCTTTATTTCCCGTCTGTAAACTTGTTTAAATCCATTATGCGTTGTCTTCATTCGACCGTAAGGGCGGAAGGCTATCCTCGACTACCGCTTCGCATGACTTAACAGCTCTCACGAATCAGTCTATGTTGTCTGCCAATCCTATCCTTAGCCGGCTGTGAAAAGCAATGGAAGATACGGGATAGCCCATCAAGTTGGGTGCCAATCACTCACTCTCTCGCGACGCATAATTGTATACATCTGCAAGTGATTTTCTGACTTGATAATGGCGACGCACGTATTCAGACGGTATACACATGTAGTTAAAGAGCACCTCAAAGTAAAACATGTTTTCTCTGATTTCATCTGTTCAAATAAATACGGAAGCATCCCAAATCGAACGCAGTGTCATTTGTCATCAAAGCTCAACCATAACAATTAAGCTAAAAAGATGTTTTTCTTCTGTTTATGCAAAGATGCGAATTCTGGTTGTAGATTGCGTCAATGAGGAGAAAACGAGGGGAACCCTCGCCCTTTTATGTATTTGAAGCGGATAAACCTTGTCATGCAGCCATTGTTTGGCATGTACAGGGCGAGGGTTCCCATTGCTTTCCTTGGTTTCTCCTCAATGACGCAATTAGCATTCTTGGCATGAACAGAAAAAAAAACCTTTTCAGCTTCTTACAGTTGAGCTCTGAAGACAGATGACACTGCATTCGATTTGGATGATTTCATATTTATTTGAAGAGATAAATCAGAGAAAACATGTTTTATTTGGAGGTGCTCTTTAAGCCAGCTGTTAAAAGGAATAGCAATGCCCTCCAGCACTTCCTTTTGAAGTGTATGTTTACTGGTCTTTTGTCATATGCAAACATTAGCACCTGAAAAATCGCTTGGCGATAGTTATATACATAAGATGACATACGAAGTAATACAGGACATTTAGATTCAAACTGATTTTCATGCAATTCAACCTTGATGAACGGCGACACGCCGCTCATAGATACTCGACGGAAGTAAGATGAATTCCTACAATTCTGAATTGAACGACAGGTTTGCTTTTTTTCATCAGTTCAACGTCAGTTTGTGGTACCACAATTTCTTACACTGTGACAGTGGCTTTTAGCTTATTTATAAGTGTTAAAATGAACTGCAAAAATGCTGCGACCTTGTAAGCAAGTTACTTGTATAGTTAAACAGCTGACGAAGATGCCATGCTACGGTGGGCTTAAAGGGACATAAACGCAAGTCGCAGTGTTTACCAGTGATTTCCTCGTGTGTACCAGTGATTTCCTCATCTCACACGGCTACATTTCTCAAAATTTAAGAGTTATTCATTTTAATTTATGAGAATAACCCAACTTTTGCAACTGTCACAGATGATGCATATGGATAACAAATACCGGTACTAAATTTCGTGAAACTGATTATACGATGTTCAGCTTGGTATCGAAAATTGTAAACATAACCAGAGATCTTTGCTTTATTACACCTAGGCTCCAATCACCCTCGATCTCCAATGTGTGTCCAGTTTTACCGTAAAATTAGCCACTGCTAGGCAGTGACTGATCGTTTATGCGTTTTCGACACCATTAATAATTCTAACTTGAAATCAGATATTTCACATTACGGCGTAAAAGATTTTTTTTCATTCAACCCGGCAGTTTTTCTATATTGCTATTTTTTTGCAATGCATAATCTGCTTTGGTCGTTCATCTTTTATTGTACATGTTTGCCTATTTCTGTTTATGGTGACTGGAGCAGAAACCAAAGGTGTACAAATAGCACATTAAATTTAGTTGCTTAAATACTAGAAAACCGTTAAGTTCCCCTCAAATAAATTGCTGATGTCCCCTTATCCAGCGACTGTGGAAAACGGCATCTAATGGATGTAAGCCGTACATTATTTGCAAGTGTACAGATCGATGTCGATTGGCCAATGTGGTAAATTCGGCAAAATGATTTTAATAAACAAAGTGTTTACCGGAGGAAAGACTAAAACAATACGATGTTTAAATTTCGTTTCCTCGTGGCTATATCCTTCTCTCCAGTTGAGCTGGAGTAACGAAGTCTAAGCATTGAGCTAAGCGAGAGATCTGGAGAAAATCAAGCAGCCTAGAATAGTCAATTGTGTCCGTATGGTGGTTCATGGTCGGTTTATGGACGACGGCGTAGGTAATCTGAAGGTGTTTGGGGCGCTTTGTCCGGTATGACTTAATGTTCGTTTGTCCGCTTGTTCTCTTACCGTAGCCACGGGGTCGTTTTTTAACAATCACAAAAACGCCATTCGATTTAGCCGAATCCCTCTTTCAAATAAATATAAAAGTATATTGAACCAAGTTGCACCTCTGCATTGAGATAAAAAAATCATTTGCACGGGCAATGGATATTCCATAGAAAGAAACCGAGATGCTGAAGTCCAGGGCTTCAGAGGGGTTGCTGAAATATTCAGGACAGATACGAAAGACCTCGAGTATTGAGCCCATGTTTGTAATAATTGTGTGTTACCTAATAAGTCATAATGTAGCATTGTCCAGATCAAGTTATAGTACCTGCCCAACCAACATATCCCCTTGTTTACAATATATTTTTTTGTGAAAAAAGATTACTTGTTTATCCATGAACATCGGATTTGTATATGAAACCCAGTTAATTCGTTAGTTGAACTCGACATCTGTCGGGCCAGTTACGGGAACTCGAGGAATCATGCTGCCTGCCAGTTTCGGGCATTAGGATAACAGCGCCCCCATCGTTTCACGAAGGTAGGGCTAAGTCTAGCACCTGTGCCTTCGTCCCACTGAAGACAAAGTGCGCTGGTGAGTTGCAGCCGGTTGAGTCGAGCCAGTGGCCGAATGGTACTGATCATTCTGGCTGGTGATTTTTTTTTTTACTCTAAACAAATCCAATTACAGGAATTGGAAGTTGATTTTGAGATAGGAGGAAGATAAACCTCTTGGGAAAAAGTTGAAACCGTAGAAAACAAAGGATTTGTCCGTAGCAGTATCATTTTCAAACAGAATACGGGCGTTCTACAACAGTGCGCCACCAAGAGTTTTCAACACGTTGGCCAATCACAATGCGCGAAGTCTGTCCACCCAATGCGCATTTGGAAAGGGTCGACAGATTTCACGCGTTGTGATTGGCCAACGCGTTGTAAACTCTTGGTGGCGCACTCTTGTGAATAGCCTGTTTTAAAACCATTTTTCAAGTACATTTTCAATCTTGAAGCTCTACAGCAAAGGCCAACATCCCCTAACAAGTTATTTCAAGCTGCCAACACTCAAAGCAAGGGTGCCTTTAAAACATGGACATTTCAAATGATAGGCCTACTGAATCCAAACTTTTGCCCAACAAAGCATCTGACTTTTATTTGCTTTCCGGTAATCCAACACTTAGCGCAGTCACCGTGCAACAGTAACACATCACACATCAAGCAATCCAATACCATCCGCGAAGATTCACAAGTATAATTCAATCAGAGACCCATACACTCATTTAACAGAGATTTACACATACCGTAAACCTAAAATCTAGAAAGCTTTGGTTTTTTTGCAACTGTGAAAAAAAAAATTACAATTTGGATTTTTCAACATGACAAATTTTTGCAAAACACTCTCGGATGCAAGAGGTATGACGGTCTCACACACTTGTGCATTGCCACAAATTTCACAAATACAAAAATTGCAATATATCAGATAAGAATGATCCTGTACTCCGAGAACATATTCCATTTTAAAGGCTGGGAGGCCTATCGTGTAATGCGTTTATTTAATAACAGCACAGGATAAATTTTTTTTAAACAATTTTTTTAAACAATGGAATGGATCTGCTGATAGAGAACTACAACTACCGGTACTCATCACATGATTACAGCAAAAAGGATTGAAATGGCAACTGTTAGGGGGCTACTTCATGATCAGCAGGTGTGGGACCAATGTCAAAAGATCAACTGAGCACAGAATGCAGATTACCAGCAATAGTTTCAGTCACTGGTTCCGGGGGGGGGTTGCGTAGAACATAAATCTGCTATTAATTTTGCCAACCTGTACTTTTCTGCTCTAGAGTGCCTTGGCTGGTTCCCTGCTGTATCAATAATTGAGACAGGTAGCTGATATTGTTATGAAAATAGAATATTATGTAATGCTTAGGATGCCCCCATCTATTGTTAGGTGCAGTGCACACAAATATTAAACATAATTAAAGTTGTGGAACAGTGGACTCGCAGATCAATATGCAAAATAATACACAAGAAAAAAAAATTTTCAATTGTAATGCACATTTGGGGTCTGCAAAGGAAAGCTTTTCTGAAGGCCAACTTTTCCGAAATATTGACAAAACTACCACAAAATCAATGAAACAGGTTCCGAAAATTTCAGCTGATTTATAGACATTTCAGAAATGGAAAAATTCCTTCCATTTTTAACATGACTGTGGTGGCTACTGGACCTAAAATATCTCTTGAAAGTCGGTATCATTTGATCTGCGAATAGTGACTCCATTCCATGGGGTCCAGGTAATAGACCGATCCAGTACGCCCCAACCACAGTGCCCATGGGTACTTAGCATGTGCTCTTCTCTAAAGCAACACGGCATGTTCCAGCAGCGCGCATCACACGCGCATGCACGCCTGTGCATGTCGACTGTGATTGGTCAGAAAACAATGGGATGGGGCTTAATGGATCGATCTATATACATAAGCCTAGCAGGAATCAATCTAGCAATCTTGTCCACCACAATCTTAAATACGAGCCGATGCGAGACACACTGATCCCAGACTCGAGTTTGAGTGAGACCTAGCCCCACACCGGGGCCAGTCAACTGGACTACCTATTCAACTGGACTACCTCCATTTGCATTACGGAGGTAGTCCAGTTGACCGACCTGACATGGATCTCAGTGAGGCCTAAAAGTTAGACCTGAATCACAACTTGTTTTACTTCGAAGAGGCTGCCAGGTTTCCAACAACCAGGCTGACTTGAGCCTGAACAGGATCAGGATGGAAATACAAGCAAACAGCAGAATTACAAAGAATACATTATTGGAGTGTAATAATTGCCTTGTACAATTATGATGCACATACAGGTACATTTATGTATCTACTACCTGAGTGGGAAGTTCAACTGGTAAATACTTTCTTTAAAATATTTCACATTTGATTTTAAGTCAAATCATCCACAGGTGTTGTTTCCACTATCAGAAAAAAAAAGGTCTTATTTTCCTCTGTAGAACCCTAGGAACTAAATTTGTACTTTCTAACAGTTTTTCAGATATGACAAAATATCACAATAAAAATAAATTTGGTGATGAATTAAGGTAATTATAGTAATGCCCACGGAATTACACATTTTACTAATATAGATATTCTCAATAACTTGATCATCTAACAAAATGCCCAATCCACAACCGAGTTCCCGCCATGTTAAACATTTCCAAGTCTTTCTTATTATAAACTAATTTACATACATTCTCATCTTTTTAATGCATATATGAGATTGTTCAGGGTGTTGATAACGAAAAGAATTATAAATGGGTCCACAATGCCGTGGACGGCTTAATGGACACTAGCACTTAGCAAATTTTTGTTGGCAAAAAAAATCAGCTGAGGCGCTGAAATTTGCTGAGCACACAAAAGTATGTACTTAGCAGAAACTGTTTCAATGGCTAAAATACTGTGCAAAAGAATTGTACTTTCGACTAGTTTTCCGCTTAGTTTTTACTGAGCACAAAAATCTACTGAGCAATATTTGCTGCTATTGCAATCGGTCCAGCCATGAACCAATCCTTGGCAGCGCCCACGGCCACTGCACAGCAGTTTGAACTGGCAATCATGTTTTTTTGTGTGTGTGAAACAACTTATTTCTGCACTCTTTGCACTCCGTGAAACTTCACCCCCACGACTGTCTAAGCACCGGACGATTTATGTATCTGCCGAGCATGTATAAGAGCCCACAGAGAAAGCATGACAGAGCCCACCTGAAGGACAATCGAAGTGGGTAAATTTGGGTATTTTAAGTACAAAGAGTGTACCCATACCACATGTGTCCTCTTAGCAGGTCTGCCATACTTCAGACAGGCTGCTAACTGAGGGCACTCTCCGTGCTGTGGACCCTACTGCATGGTATGCACTGTTTCCTGCTGACCTGACGCACACTTTCGGGAAACTTTAAAAGACTTTGTGTGTGACCTGGCACAGGGCAGCCTGCCTCAATCTCACAGGCTCGGGCTCCATCGGGCCACTACTCTGGGCGTGCTTCTGCACTTGGTCAACTATACCAAGAAGCACGGATAGATTACTGTTAGCGGAGGTTGGACAGGAGGGTTCCTGAATGTTTTTGTTTCACCCATATGCAATTGGTCGTGCGTAAAGATGCTTCCATATGACTGCAGATAACATCCTTGCCCAAAGATATCTGCCATGAAAAAATTGAATGACATGAAAAGGAGTATTCTTTCCCCATAAATATAATTATACTTGTCTCTTTACTTATGAACAAATTCTCACAATTCCCTTGAGGGACACATAACATTATTTCTTAAATAGTGCATAGAGATTCCGATAATAAATACTGTTAGACCTTCCCAATATTTATTTCAATATCTAACTACATACATACATCCAGACCCCATTACAGCCTACACAATACAACTGCACATGTGTATAAAATTTATCTAATAGAGCAAAGAAAGTTTGACAGTTTCTCCTTTTTTCGTTACTGGTCACAAAGATTTTTCGATATATACAAATATCATGTCAAAATCTTCAAAAAAGGTTAATCGTCAACATCATACTAAACCTGGTATCTGAGTAATTCCACACAAAATCACTCAGGAAATCTCTAAGGACACAAAGACTCGTTTTCACGAATCCGTGAAACCAATTGGTGAAGTACACAGTGAACCCCCACTAAGAAATCGATTGTGTTGCTTTGTTTTTAAGCCACGGTGAAACTCACTGTCAAATCCACACTTGAACCCACTGTAAAAACCAAAAACCCACCTTGAAATCAACAGTGAAATCCAGAGTAAAAAACACTGTGAATCCCTAGGATTCATAAAAGCGCCTTCCACTGGTTCCAAGCAAAAAGAGGAAGGCACTTCTATATTTAGCATCAAAACATTAGAGACAAGCACTACACTTTCAAAATCTAGTCCAAAGTCAAGCTAACATCGAGCCTACATGCATGAACGTGTACACTAACTGTGCTAAAATTCTAATTTTCCCTCTCTTTTCAACCCTTGCCAACATGACTGCAGCGCGTGAAAAACTACTCCATGAAGTTTTGCCAATCACTCTCCACTCAAGAGGAGCAGGCTTCATTTTGCAGTAAAACAGACTACATAAAGAATACCAAATACACCAAACGAGAATACCATAATGCATAATATCATAGGAAGAATGACAGTCTCCTACCATTTCTCTCTAGAGCACATCTCTCTAGGTGTTGTTTATCAATGACGCAAACGTTATATGCTGAGTAAATTCCAGGCCCGAACAAGTGGTCCAACTGGCGGTAAGAATCAACTTGAGGGTAAATACGCTGGGGGTAATCATTTGGTATGACAGCGATCCAGATGTACATATATGCTCTGAGCACAGCAGGGAAAAAAAGTGCCTACGGGTGGGGTGCGGTTATCAGCGTGATAGTAGATACAAGAGGCTGGTGAGGGTGTATTCATTTGTCTTGTGAGAGATGTTTTGTGACTCGAGTATCGCTAGTGAGACAAATCTTGCAAGCGATGAGCATCCAGTGTACGACCAGGGCAGGATCTCGCGGATGCACTAACTGGGGAGCAGACAATCTGTGCAAGCCGAAGGCCGGTTTATACTTCAGGTGAGCGCAACAGCGGAGTGAAATGCACTCAAGTTGAAATGTATTCAACTTCTGCAATTCATAGCACACACTCACACATGATCTGACGTCGGGAAGTTGGGTTTGCATTCACGCTAGTGCCAACCATGACCCAGAAGAATTTTGCAAAACTTTGACACATTTCACAGCATTGATGTACGTGTGCATGTACCCAAAGGTTCAATTGGTATGTCATTTTCAGCAATTTCTGCTTCAGAAGTTGTTGCGTCCTTTGCTGGGCTTACTGGCCCCATAATCAGCAGGAAACTGTGGACTCAATAGCATCCTGAGTTCGGGACGAGTAGCTGACCCAATGGAAAGTGAGCATCTGAGTCTTGTGAGCAACATTCAACACTACTCGTGATGAACATCCACAATACAGCAGAATCAAACACAGATGTACGATATGCTTCAGGTTTCAGAATAATGGGCACTCACTGAGCACCACAGCAAGGTTGTACAAAACGTTTATTGGGGGGTGACGTTAAAGACTAGTCAAATGACGTTTAGAAGTAAAGAATTAACTTGCACGGGTTCATTGAGCTCTCTTGTACCACGGAGTGCAAGCTGGACATTTAAAGATTATTTGCCATAGCCCAGATTGAATAATTATTTCACAGCAATTATTACACAGCAAGACTGAACTACAGAATGAAATTCGGTCTACAAACTGGCTATTTCAGCTTTTGAAACCAAAAAAAAAAAAAAAATGCCATGCTCAGGGCTCGAAATTGGGCGAATCATCACGGGAGAAAGTACTTGCTCCCTAGGCTGCTGAATGTGTCACTTTACAGGAGCAAGTAGCTCCCAATACAAGATTAGAGACATATGTTCGATAAAGGAAAGACCCTGGTCCTTGCTGTTGCTTTTGTTTAAATTCATGACACTGATAACCTACTGTACGGCTTAGACTTTGGCAGATATAAAGCCTTGATTGAGTTGTTATTTTTGTGAGTTGCATGTGACGTACAATTTAGTAGTGAGCAAAGATTGTATAGCCCCTTCGCGACACTAAGCAAAAAGTCGGGCACCGGGCCTTTCTAACGTGCACATGCATGCAGACGTAAAAGGGAACTAACTGCTGCAATAGAGCATTTTTGAAATGGGAGGATTAGGCTGAGACTATGGTTTTACTGGTTCCAGCTATTTTGGAGCATGACTGGAACCAGGGAAACTGAAGTCTAAGCACGAAGGGCCAGTTTCCATACAGTCGTGACACTGGCCGCGGGTATGCGTGTGTTCCTGTATCGGCGAGCATTGCATGCGAGACTGCGGCGTGCGCTCGGTGACATCGTAAACAAAATTTTACCGTGTTATGGTTCCGTACAAAGCTGATCCGAAGTGAAGTAAAAAAGTTCAGGTATTTTTCATGACAAAAGTAGAAACAAACGGTAAATATGCTCAGGTACATGGAATCAAACGGGCATAAGTACCGGTACTTGCGCCCGTCATTATGATTTACGGGCGCATTTCTGAGGCCAGCAGGTGCATTTTAGCTACCTGCGCCCGTTAATTTCGAGCCCTGATGCTGGTATTTACTAGTAGCATGAATGAACGGTAGCATGAATGAAAAACAGCTGCGGTATTCTGCATTTAAAAAGTTGTTACCTACTCTCAAGCTGTGATACCTCCAGTTATTCCTGTACAGTGGTAAGCAAGTACAGTACAGGCTATGTGTGCAGTACCTGGGTCACTGCACACTTTGTTCTGTGTTAGTTGGAATAATAATACGCGCCTTATCGGACAAAATTTCGCCCTGAACTGGACCATACTCAATTTCTTCGCCGTCCACGGTGATAATGCCGTCTTCGGTGCGGGGAACTAGGCGGAACGCTTTGACAAAGATCGACTGAGTAAACGGCAGAGTCAGATGCTTCCCTGTTTGTATGGCATCCACAAACTGCACCATGTTCCGGCGGGTCTGGGGGAAATGCAAATACTGCACGCTGATGATGCCCTCATCAAACTTCCGGCCCGGCCAGGCTTCGACATCCTCGGCAATGTGGGAGATGTAGTTGAACAGAATGCCGACGAAATCTCCCTCTATGGTGGTCCATCCGGCAGGGAGTGGGTCTCTAACATTTGGTGGAAGGAGCGACGATTGAAGAGACGACTCTATACTTCCACTACAACCTGAAAGGTTTGCTGGGGGTATGTCACTGTTGCTTTGTGGTGGGGCCAATTCAGCCGCCTTGCCACTGCCGGGTAACTCGCCATCTTCGGTGATAAACTCCTCGGAGAAGGCCAGCCCATTCTCAGCTTCTGCCTCGGTCAGATTGGCATGCAGGGACCTGAATCTGGGCAGGGGCTGTCTGGGCATGTCTAACCCTGCCGGGGTCGTATCCATCGTGCTGCGGGGACGAGGCAAGCCTCGCCTTGTCTTATTCTTTGGAGGCCGCTGCTTGAGATGCTCATACTGCTCTTGGTTGTCCACGGGGAGGAAGGACAGGATCCCGCGGTAGCGCCGCAGGTTGAGGACACGGATGATGGTGCCGATGGTGAAGCGGGGCTTGCCCATCCAGCGGAGGCGTTCACTCTCGATGTCAATGTCAGCGATGATTCCCCAGGTCAGGGCCAGGAAGGAATGGATGTGATGGCTTTTTGTGTTGATGGAGACCAGGTCCATGGGACGGTGGCCTCCCTTGCAGACCACAAAAGCAGCGTGTAGGGCAGGGAGCTTCACAGTTTGTTCTCTGCATTTCATGGAAGACACAGAAGCGGATAAGATGATCAACGGATTTGCAGCCTCAATCTTGGACCAAAACTGTGAGGTCACCATTTTTTTGGAGTGACCAAATTGCGCCAAATGAACAGGCTCCGGGGAAGTGCTGGCATTAAACAGATAACAGTATCCAATTGTAAGATCACCCCAGATTATCAGAAGTCACTCATGCCTGCACTAATGCACCTACTCTGAACACCACTTACTCCTCAACCTTGTTTTTTCGAATTTGATTGTCCTTTTGATCCCCCCAAGACCACTTGCAAAGCTCTGTGAAGTGCTAAGGCCAATTGACTCGGGATCAATATCAAGGAGCTCATCAGCAGGCATTAAATGCTTGACAGTTGTTTCTGATTAGCAAAGAATACTGTATAGTACATGGTATTGGGGTGGGAACAAGCTCTTGCTCAGAAAGTACATGTATATTCCAGGCTTGGCCCATTTCTGCATGAAGGAACTAACTCCTCAACCAATGAGACACAATGAAACCAGGAGAAGTGCAGGTTGCACCTGCCCATGGGAGAGACTGAATTTGGTTTAGCTCGTACCAGACTTTAAGGGGTGCAGGTGGCCAAGTGATTAAGGTTTGCGACTCCTGCCAAGCGGGTCAGAGGGTCGACTCCAGCTGCTGACCATAAGTTGTGGTCTTGGACAAACTACTCAACCCTTGCTTGCCTTTCTCCACCCAGGAGTATAAACGGGTGCCGGCATCAGCTGGGGAACAACCTGCTACCGACTAGCATCCCAAGGGGGGAGAGGGATATATATATACTCAGTCTTTTCATGCCAAGGAAACGGGAGGTAAGTACTGGGCATGGTTGAGCCACAAAGCTCGGACCAGACTTGTGTGTTGCTTACCCGACTTTGGACATGACTGCAGCATAGAGGGCATTGCCAGAACCAGCTGGTATGATGCCGATGGGGACTTTGAGGACAGAGGATGGGTCTTGGTGGTTCATCATGCCATTCAGCACCTGTACACAATCACAAAGCCGAGGTTATAATGTACAGCATATTTGTCATCCCCCCCCCCACATTCCTGCCGATTCCCGAGGAAGTGGTGGCAAAGTGAGACTTGGCCAAGGGTTTCGGTCGGGGGACCTTGGCTCCATCTAGGCATGTAACCTTGGTGAGGGACACGAGGGGGTGCAAACAACTTTTGAAGAGGCAACTTACAGGAACTCAACTCTGACCTGAATGGGGTGTATTGTTTTTATTCATTTCAAGATTTCATCTGTTACATTTGCCAGGAGGAACGTGTCCCTGTGTGTTAACTTCCTAGGATATCCATCTAGCCTACATGTAAGAGCTTGGTACATTGCAACAGATTGCAACAGATTAGGCAGCTTCGTAAAATATTTTCAGAAATGTATTACACAAATTATGAGATGTTTCACACACTTTAAGTGGCCTGATTGGAGATAAAGCTCACAGTACAAAGGAAATAAAGCAGCTTAAAAGATGTAACAACAATGTGGGTGAGTTTTACCCCACCAGCAAGAAAGTGCAAGCAGTCTACCTCATAGACCAGACCATCTCCAGCCACCACGATGATTCCTTGCCACTCATCAGGATCCAAAGATGCTGCCATCTCCCTTGCTTGGAACTGCTTCTCTGTGACACCGAGACAGAGGATGTACCACCACAGAGTTAGTATAAGCTGGGGTTTTGGAGTACAATGTACAGGCACAGGTGCTCCAAAGTCTATGATAGTATCATTTTGAGAATAATGGACGAGCTACATCTCTGATCACACCTTCCAATCACAAGTGCATTCTGCTCCCATTGGCTGAATGGAAGGCTACACTGGCATACATGTACATACATGTACACACCCACACTGTAGGGCAGTGCCTAATATCCAAATATCTGAATATTCGATCAATTATCAAATATTTGAATATTATTTTCCTAATTGAATATTCGAATGTAAATTTCATGAAAGGAACGGGGATTTTCTTTTGTTTTAAATGAGAAAAATTGCACTATGGAGGCTTGCTTCAAGATGATTCAAATGAAAAACGATTCGAAATATAAATTATTTTTAACACAATTTAAAAGGAATAGAAATTTTCAACAGGGCAAGGAGTATTTTCGTCTCTCAATAATGCTAAATCATGGCTGGAGATACTCCTAGACATGAAAAGATATTATAGTGATCATATTGAACAACTGTGTGCATTACTACAATTGATTTGTACATGGTTTGTTCCTCAATAATCTACCGTTCAGTACAACCAAATATTCAGATATTCGATCGAATTAAAGGTCGAACATTCGACTAGTGAATTATTCCAATTGACTCAGCCCTACCACACTGTACATACATGCATCCCTATCAGGTGTACCGGTACATGTATAAAGACAAGACAGGATGGATAGTCATTCACCGCGTTCAGGGGACAAGTTCTTTTTTGGGGGAAATTGGAATCGGGTTGCGGGGACATTTCTGAGTCACGATCTGTGCATTTTTAAAATTCAGGCAACAAATGTTGGAGAGTACTAATACTACACAGAGTTAAGACGATGAAGAAAGATGGTAACCGGTATTGACGATGCACGGTACTGACTGTGTCATTTGATTACGGAAACTTGAACTATGGAGTCTGCCTGATTTTTTATTTGCAGTTCCAGGGACCCTGGGCCTGAATAAGACAGTAATGGCCATATCATGTACAAGAATCAGGTCAAGTGCAGCAACCTTTGTACTTTGATGATAATGCCGGTGGTACGGTATCGACACACGTGCAAATACACAGATCAATGCGTATACATGTACAGACTACGGAGTAGGTTACATGTATATGCGCATGTACATTCATGCTAAAATTACCGGTAATGTTTTAAAGTTTTACAACCGACAGTACCCTGTACATGTACATGTACCTGTGTCGTGTACAGTACCAATGTCACAAAACCAAATGGCCACATCTGACATGGAGCAGAGCAAGAGATCGAAAGTGTTGCTTTTTGTACATGTACGTAAACATGAAATAGTAGCAGCAATACGCAGACATGCACTGTGCTGCATCTGTCAGGGTTAGGGTTCAGTGTCTACAAGGAGTGGATTCATTTGCTACTCCCTTGCATGTACCTGTATATAAAAGAAAAATATTGATACTGTGCACGTGTACAAGTTTTAGTACATTCATTTACATGTACAGTGTACATGTATCTTACTAAGTTTACATGTTTGTCCAAATGTGCACTGTACAATGTGCTGGTGCCAGCATGTGTTCAAATGCCAATACCTGTAGCCATACTGTCCTCCCGGTACCCCAGGAATTCTATCCAGAAGGGCAGAAGGGGGCGTTGTGGGAGAACAACCTGCAATGCACTGTACAGAGGGGTATGCAAATTAGACCCTGTGCAGGGTCCCAGATTTTCCAAGAATCCCAAGGTTTTGGACTACTCGTATTTTTGTGGGATTGAGAAAGGAACGTTCATCACCGGCGGTACATTTTGGACTCGGTGCCCCTTGAAGTCAAACCATAAATGGACAAAGAATGTGCTCCTGGACGGGGTTGTTGCACTGTGGCCGATTTGAGGATTGAGGAAGTTTCCCACCAAAAAAGGTCAACGTTTTGCAATCCTTCAACTATTGCGGCTACATGTATTGAACAGTACATGTACATGTATATCCAAGACTGTCAGGGTGACATGTAATATGAGAAACCAGAATTTCAAACTGAAAGCCTTCAAATGTCTGACAGTTCTTATGTACACCGTATGACTATTAATTGATGTACATGTACTACGGAATACAAATGTAGATCCTTGTACTGTTAACTTCACAAATGGACCAGTTACATGCTGGCCTATCCCTTTACAATGTTTCTTAAGTTGGTGTACTGGTACATGAACTGTTCAAAAAAGTATAATGCATTACACTCTACATGTTTTATTTGTCTTTTGTGGTACTGTAATTTTACCCCCAAAATGGGAAGTTTTCTATCCCATACACGTATGCTTGCATGTAATACATTTTCAAATAACCAGTGCGTTCTGGTACATGATTGAAGTACATGTACATGTACAAGCATTAAGCACATGTGCTATGTACATGAATATTGTATCTAGTGTATAGCATGCATAAATCCACTGCTGACATGCATGCATTTACTGTGCAGAAGCTTCGACAGGCATGAAAACCATTTACACCTCCTCGGATGACTTGGAACGGAGCACACACTGTATGATTTTATGCACGTGGAATACAGGGAAGCATTTTTGTGCCCGCATGTACCGGTGCATGTATGGATCAAGGGTGGAAGGGCAGGGTTAACGGAGATGCAGGGCCAGGATGCTGTCTAGAGAACATCGGGCAGCGCCGCATTACACTGTGCAGGAGAGCTGCCTTATGACTCCTGATTACAAATGGAACGATTTGACACTTCAATACCGGTAGACCCTCCGGTTTTGGTGGGTGACGGGCTACTGGGAGTAAATTATTCATGTTGAGACAGGGGGTTAAGGATGCAGCAGGAAGATTAAAGGAAGATTGTGGGATCAAGGATGAAATCAAAATGCCTCAACATTCTTCTTTTCCTCATCTTGCCCAGTATTCCCTCAAGTGGTTCTCCCATCTTAATTCTTCTCTCCTCATTCCCGTTCTCTCATCTTAATTCTTCTCTCCTCATTCCCGGTGTAATCCTCTTCCACCCAGTCTCCCTCTCGGCGATATTTGCTCACTACCAACTGCCCCAGGATCTCCAGCTTTAGTCTCTCTTTTTTTTCCTCTCTCATAAAGATTCTTCTCTGTTTCACACATCTCCTGCCACTGGTCTTGCGTCGTTGGCCACCACCACTCTGCTCTAAGCTATTTTTCCATTTTTTTCTCCTCGGTACTGTTTCCTGCACTTATAGCAGGATTTTTTACCATATGGCTCATTAAATGTTATGTGCATTTGAATGTTTCTTTATTTGGATGTTATAGATGCCATTATTATTATTACCATCATGACACCCCCCCCTCAGTACATGAACTTGTCTCCGCCTTTCCTTGTTGTCTTTAATCCTCATCCCTTTCCTCTGTCTCCATTGTTCTGTGTTATCCATTCTCAGGACTTATCACACATAAATCAGGTGTCAGTCTTTCCTGTTATTTCTGTGTGCACAATGCCCGCATTTACCTCCAAAAGGGAAAGCGGTGGTTTTTCCAGCAGAATGTACAATGTCTGAAAAGGTCTCTTGCGAAATCCAGCCGCACAAAGGAAACCTGTCTTACCAGTGGCATGGGGAAGGAGCCCAGATGAACGGTTATTTCACCAGCATGAGCGAGCATTCACTACTTCACCGTTTGTATGTGGGGTGCAGCTCCTTGTGGTGATTTTTTTAACTTATCGGATGAAGTTTTCTACTCGTAGCTTGGGGGACTTTCCAGAAGATTGGCAAACAAACCGGTCCCACGTGACCAGTCCACTATTATTTGCGTGACTTTGAGCATGCACTCTTTAGCTCAAGCATGACATAAACAACAGTGGCCTGGTCACGTAGGACAGGTGTGTTTTCTGTCCCAAAGTTTTCCATTCAAATGCATTTCCTTAAACTTCATGTTCAGAATCAGGCAGCGTCAAACATATGGTCCCTGCACACATGCACACACACATGTATGTATGTGGGATCTTCTGGTACCAGTATGTAATTGTAACTGCCACCAGCTACATACATACAGGTACATTTTGTACTGTACTTTGGAAAACAGCGACTGGGTTCAGCCCGCATCAGCTCTTTGGTTTTTGTACGAGCTTCTTGTCAGATGTTGCTCAGTTGTGTTTTTCCCTCCAGTAATTTGTTTCCAAGACAGACACCACAAAGTTCTGTACATGTATCAAGCACATACATCAGTCCTGACCCGAAGGTGTGTACACAACTGTGCCGTTGTGATGATGTCATCACATGATTTTTTTTTATTTATTCATTTTTCTCATAGTGATCACTGTTTTAAATCTATTTCTTGAACAAAAGGTATTTTCAAAACTCGTCTTGAGTAACATTTGATAATTTATGAAGACGTACATGTTCATGCACATGTAAATGTTTTCGGAAAATTTCATCACAATGCACTTTTGTTATCATACAAGACAACATTCGACGGGACATGCAGTGGGTGCGGAAGGTGTGGCTTGGGTGACTTTTTTCAGCTCGTTTTGCACACTTGTGCACATGTAAACAGAGGTGAGTTGTTTTCTGTAATGAAATTCGCATTTCAAATGTTACCGTAATTATGGTGCAGTACATGCACATGTTAAACAACAAACAAGACCGTTATGTGTACGTGGCATAAACACTCCCACCTGTGTCCTCAAATTGTGAAAAAAGTCATCAGATATGCTAAATTATTAGTTACTGTATGCTGCATACACAACGTTAAGACATACATGTACCGATACATGTACACTGAACAGGTAGGGCTTGAATGCAGGGAGTTCAAGGACACATGCAGAGATGCCGCCATTGAGGATGAGGAATCCATAGGGCCTCCCCCAAAGCCCAAACTTTATCGCACTGTATTTGGTATGAACGCATACAGTACAGCCTGTACATCGCGTCACGCACACACTTGGTTGGTATAGCAAATACATGTATGCTCCCTTAGACTCTACCGAAATGCACTGTAACGTACTGTACATGTACAAAACCAACACAGATATTCATGTAATTTTTTTATCATCACAGTTTGTTTTAAAATCTGGAAGGGTTTAAAAGGCGGCTGTAAGGCCGTTAAGTTGACCTCCAATCTGGACGCCTTCTGGCCAAATTGGCAGGGGTTGGCATCTCTGCACATGTCCATGTACCGTACATGTAGCATGAAAATACTATCCCCCTTTCCATTTTTCAACATCAATCAAAGACCTTTTGCACTTTATTCTACACCCATGCTTGCTGAGGGTACAGCAGGATGCAGAGTACTTAGGAACCTCACAGATGGGGGAGGCTTGTTTCCCATGTTTGGTGTTCCCGGTAGGTTCAAACCCAACCACACTCTCCTCTAACGGGTAATGCTCTTCAAAAATAAAACTTCAAATTCTTCGTTCCCCTCCCCCAAAGAAGATCAGGTAATGGGAACATTTAAACTTTTTTCCACTCTTAACCTTTGGCATGCAATCCATTTACAGTACAATGCACTCATGTGTAGTATTCATTGTTTGCAAGTGGTGCCATAAAAACACAATGCAGTCAGAAACTTCATACAATGATACATGTAAACAGACTCTCTTAGTTCAAGATTTTATCACACAAACTCAAAAATGCTTCAAAACGTTTTAACCAACGAGTCCTTGTTGGTTTGTACAAAAAATGTACAAATGATGAATTTTTGAGAGAGAAAAAAAAGGGGTTGATTTTCACAACGGGTGGGGAGCATCTGCTTACTTGTGACAACCACCTTGTAGTCAAACTCGGCATTCTTGAAAACTGGCTCAACCTGCTTGCTGAATATCTGCACTCCCTTGCGGCGTCCGCTGGCCGGGTTGACAAGCACCAGCAGCTTCCTGGCCGGGGGCAGACAGGCAGGTGAAATATCTGCAGACAGAAGCAAAAGAGGGATTAGGTGTGAGAAAAATGTGCCTACAAATGTACATATGTATGTACAGTACATATCTGGGCCTCATGCACATGTACTAGTATGCCTGTATTTCCCCTGGGGTGCACTAGTGACCTCATTGCCAATCCATGGGCTTTAGATTCTTCTGGTACATGCAGGCAATAACCCTCTTCCCCAACAAAAAAAAAGAACGGGAGAAAAGGGAATCGGGTTGGCGTGGTGGTTCTTTCCACGCCTTCCACCTTTCCACGCTTTCCGATCCAGGTTCGAATCCCTGCTCCATCCCTACCAGATTCAATGGGTTTTACCCAGACTATTCCTCTGGGGTTTTCCTCCCAGCCTCCCACCTCTAAAACTGTAACTGCTTTTCATTGTCTCCTCTCCACAGGCTTCTTCAGGCTTGAAAGCTACAGTGCCTAGGGTGCCGTTTGCGCCAAAATGGCAGCATGGGCTAGTATACTCCCCAGGGAGCTGAGATGGTTTCAGGAATGTTCAGATGACGTGAGCCCGATGTGCAGCCTGGGATAACAATAACACAGCACATTGAGACATTCCGTAATATGCACTGTATAAGAACTGATTATTATTAATGTACATGTAACATATCCAGCTCAAGAAACTTAAACAAAACAGCGACAGCAAAGTGAACGATTAATCATTGTCAACTTCATCAATGCTTGTCAACTTATTAACTTCGTAGCTGTTTTACTTGCAGCAAATATAAGGATTGTGTTTTGTTAATTGGCACAAAACAAGTGCACACATAAAGCTGCATTTTCAAGCTGCATCTGTTTGAGGTAAGACAGGCTGAATGCATCTATGCAGTTTCAGCAAGTACCGGTACATATTCATGTGTAATAGCACATCAGTGTGGGGCACTGGCAACCTCTCCCACCCCCATCCCCTTCAGCTGGTTAAATGGGCTCAGAAATTACACTGGGGTACATGGAACAAAACACTAGTATAAGTTCTTCAATCTACGGTCACAAATGCTTTGGAAATCATCATTGAAAGCTCCTGGATACCCTTACAAGAATTGCCTGTGTCAAGTCTTACGCATGTACATCTACACTCATCAAACCACTTCCCTTTATTTCACAGCCTCTCTCCCCCCCTTCCTTTCTGAAGAAAAAGTAAGACTGCTTTGGGCAAGTTTGCAAACTACAGAGACTACAAAATGAAATATACCCATACATGTACAGTGTACGTGTACATACATGTACATGTACATGTACAAATGTATTGTACCCCACACACTGGAACATGTACATGTACAATGTATGGGCTTAAAGCACATGTACGATGTACATGTACTAGTGCATGCGTACCAACTGTTACAGTATAATTGGGGCCAAAATATAAAAAGCCTGGTGCTACAATAATGCAATGTACACTCCATCTGATTAGGTACAACAAAACCACAAACCCAAACGAGATTCAATCTGTAGACCTGTGCAGGAAAAACATGGACATGTATTACAGGTACGCGTGATTCGAGCCAGCTGATTATGTACCACCTGCGCAATATGTAGCGATACGATATCACGCCACCCGATCATCTTTAGTTCGTCTTAACGCGTGATGCTGCAAAACCAACAATATGGAAACTGAATGGACATCATCACAGGCACTCAGTTTCTGTTTTGATAATACAGCTGAATAAAACTCCAGTGACTTTCATTTCTAAATTTCCTCTTGACTTGAGCACAGGGAAGTTGTACTTTATGATGTGCATGTGGCAGATGAATTTCTCCCCCATTTACTGTACTTCTGACATTGCATTGTGTACTCAGAATTGCTGTTTTTCACGATGAAATTCAAATTTCATCAAGCTTCTGTAACAAGTGAGTCCTACATGTTCATGTACCATATACATGTGTGTACATGTACATGTGTTCTTATTCCTCCATGATGCACATTTATGGGATCTCGCCGAGCTCATTTTTATAAATCACTTCCAAATAGGGTCTGCTCTTTTTGTGTCATGGTTACATTTTTCCTACATGTACATGTAGCCTGCTAAAACTATGGTTGGCCGCCAGAACAAAATTAAAACGATAATTCACAAAGTATAAAAATCCCATGCAGCTACCAGTAACAAAACACCAGGTAAAACTGTCATTCATGTACCTGAAAATACAACCCTCTTTACAATCCATGAGACAAATGCACACTATGCATGAAGTCGAGGTAACATTTTAAAAAGCCACCAAAGGGGGATTTTCTTGCAAACTTTGGCCACCCATAATGGTACAAATTGTAGGCAAATTGAGAGTGGTCTTTACATGTACATGTACCGATACATGTACAATGTACATGTATGTACATGTACCTGCAAATACATGCACTTATTACTGCACCACACATTAAACATTGTACATGTACTTTGTCCACACTGGTACACGTACATGTATACATGTACACTGTACTGTATATGTACCGTATAATGCACCTCTGTGCTAATGTCTCCACAGATTTCTGGAATATCAAAACTGCAGAAAAAGAGGGAAAAATGATCAACACAGGATCCAAAAAAAAAGCAGTCAGTATCAATCTCCCATACTGTTCCACTGGCATTTCATATTATTTCTCACCAAACATTCAACCTGTCAGTGTTGTATTGTAGTTGGGCCAACCATTTCTGGGTCTCGAGTCAGAATCCAAGTCTGAAAAATCCCTTTCTGAAAATATGAGTTTTAGTCGTTCAATCTATGTTCTTCTACACAAAATGGCACAAATAATGAATGGATATGTGCTGGATACATGTACACATGTGCATGTACATGTACAATGCAGATATTTATAGTTTAGTAATATTGTGACATGTATGAACAAAAACAGGGCTGATTTTTTCTCAGTGTTTACACCAGTGTCACATACTGGTACCCTGGTACACGTACATGTACATGCATCAATTATTCTGAATATAGCATTTAACCCCACTTCATAATATCCAAATGCCTTACAACATAGAGAAAATATTTTTCAAAAATAAAAAAAGTCATACATGGGTTTTATGGGAAAGAATTCTGAAGGTTTGCAACAATATACGGGTACCTCCTGTTTATGATTGTTATGTTGAAAGGGTAGCGGAGACAGCACACTTGTCATATTTGGGGTGGACTCATGCCAGATGGGGGCTGAGTCCTCCAGTCTTTTGGCCAAGTCCAAGTCCAAAACAACCAAGTCTACATGTGTAAGTCCATCAAAAATGGACTAGAGTGTGGACTTGAGCTGAAGGACTCTCCAATTATTTGAATGTTCTGACATTTGATCGATGACTGAATAGCTAAATACATTCATTTTCAAAATTGAATATTTAAAGTACAAATTGATGAAATAAACATATGGCAAACTTTGATTGCAGTATTTGAGCAGCGACAGCCAGTACAGTGATGAGTAATAACACATTTATCCATGGAGTATTCCTCCATGATGTCCACGTACTGTAGATGTACTGTAGCAGTATCCAGTATTCAATACACCATCCTTTATCTACTCAGTGCACATATACCTACTGTGTGAAGTGAGCACTTCCTTGGACTTGTACCCAGCGGTAATTATTCATTAACTCACAGAAAACCTCAAAGCCATGACTTCCTCTGTCCACGTAAGAGTTCCTCGCGAATATTACTCATATCATGTGGTACATGTACATGTACATGTATATACTTCGTTCTAAAACTACATGTGCACTTCCTTGTTTTACTTGTTTTGGTTGTTAAAACGGGCATTATGTAACAGACCAGTAATCTCAAGTGTCAATACAGTCTCCTACTGAGTACCAAACTCTTTCCACAGGCCTAACTGAAAACAGATTTCCGAAACAAAAAGCTTGGAAGACTCTAATTCAGTTGCACCAGGGTGTGAGGCATTGCAAATTCTGCTTGTACAAAGTGAAAATCCAAATTTACCCAATACTTTAGGCATACATAATTATTAGGAATAATCCCACTGCTTCCAACGCAAACCTACAAGAGGTCCCTTTTTTATTTACAGTATGAAAGAAAAGTAATTAGTACCCCAATCCTTGCATCATTAAGAGCAAACTTGTTTAAAACTTCTAATGCCTTGTCTTTTTTTTTATCAAAACAACAAAAAAACAGAAACGGAAAACACAAACCAATAACAACAATACCCAGGCAGACAGGAAGCAGGTTCCTCGGATGTTCCTGGCTCTGCCGGTATGCTTGGATTAATACATGTGTGGCGGAATGGCAGAAATGGCGGGGGGGGGAGGCCGTCTCAGACGTGTGTCAGGACTCAATCAAAAGGAAAAAAAGGGGATATCATGTCTCTCAAGCCGACCCGTTACCGACACCTCCGACGATAGTGCTGCACCAAGCAGAAAATTTATAGGCCCTAAACCTTCGGAGTTCCACCTCGCTGGTTTAGTATTTGGAGATCCAAGACAAGGATTCGCTGTCAAAATATATGACCCAGTGAAGAGATAAATCGAGCAATTAAGAGTGTAAGATTTTTCTTAAAGACAGCCTATCCACAAAAGGAATTCACAATGCAGGCCAGTTTCAGAACAACTCAACAATATTAATTTAATTCAAGTCCGACAAGGCAAGGATGAAATGAGAATAAGTTTTATACAAAGTTAATTTGTATACTATACAGTTAATAAATGCCCACGAATCCAGCTGATTGCGAGAGCTCTAATAGCTCTAATAAGTCCTCAGAAACATAGGTCAAAGAATCATGAATGAACGTAATTACGCCCCACTTTGACTGTGCCAAGTGCAGTGATGTCATTTTTCATTAATATTCATGAGCACTGTCTACCAATGGAGCAGACGGTCTGTCCCAAAAACTTCGGAAAATAATTATCTACAAAAATACCTGCCCATCAAAACTCAATCTAAAGACTTCATTTAGGAGAGATAAAATAAACAGAAGTTTTTACTCCTAAAGGTGCCAATTCTACAGTCTAAATATGAAAATAATCGAATAAAAACTTTGGACGAATGGT